CATGGACGATATCCCGCAACCTGGCTCGCTCGAGGCGGAGGCTGGCGTGTTCTGCTTCAACATTCGACATGACCGGTACACGCTTGATTACCGGCGGTGCGGATAAGACCATTAAGGTGTGTTTATCCATCTCACCTCGCCGGTTTATCTGACCCCGAGACAGGTTTATGCTGAGCAATCGCAATGATGTACTGTGTCATGCCTTGTAATGCTTGATTGTATTGTTCTTTCTGTATCATTGGAACTTCGGGCTGCTTATAAGTATAGCTCCCGTGAGTTCTTGCTTGTGCCAGTGTGATTGACAATCAGCACAGGTGCTTCAGGGGATCTCCGTTGCAATGAAGCCTTAGTGGCGTTGGTGGTGACGAGCTAAATCGCGACCTGGTAGACATACTGCTTGGGGGTCTCTAGGTTGTTATCCAGTGTTTGGGCATCAGTCGGCTATTTTCTCGTATCACTGCTGTCTTGCTGGGCAAGTGACTCAGAATGAAACTTGAGCTCACAGTAGTACTCATAGACTCTAGTAAGTTAGTAGCGAATAAGTACACGAAGCACGTGAAGCGCGACACGTACCACCACGGGCGCGTCTGGGACGAGTGCTGCATTGCCTCGGCCACTCAGGTTTTACAACGACCTCCTCCTCCCCACGTACTCCCTCCCGCCTCCAGGGTACGTGCGAAATGGACATCCTACACACGCAACTCGGTGCAATCGAGCGTCGTCTGGCATTCGTCGCCGTCGACTCGATAGACTGGAAGACCTATGTGCAAGCGTTCTCGTGGGCCGTCTGCTTGTTCGAGTCCTACCTCATGTACGCCTTTCGCCTTTCAGATTGCGGTTTGACCTGAGAGGTGCTCCAGACTTCGGCAATATCCTCTGTACTCTAAGCCTACACCCCCACCAGCGCTCGCAGAACACTTCACCGGCGAAGTGTACACAAAGTCGCAGGCGTATGGCAAGGACAAGGCCAAGTTCTCGCTCGTCACAGGCTTGTACAAGCAAGCGGTGGACTCCTTCATGCTTCATTATGGCATATATGCATGGGCATGGGGCGTAGCAGGGAGTCTGACCGCGAGGTTCGGCTATGGGCCTGAGTACGAGGTAAGTCGAGGACTTTGAGCAGAGCTCACGACACCGGTCAACTCACTCATTCACTACTAGATCACCCAATCCAACGTCTTCGCTATCGTCCTGTTCTTCGTGTCCTCGCTGCCCAGCCTGCCGTTCTCGGTCTACCAGACGTTCGTCCTCGAGGAGAAACACGGCTTCAACAAGACGACACCCGCGCTCTTCGTCGCCGACATGCTCAAGGGCTGGGCCGTCGGCCTCGCCCTCGCGCCACCCTTTCTCTCCGCCTTCCTCTGGATCTTCAAGTGGGCCGGCGACCGCTTCGTGCCGTGGCTCATGGCCTTCATGTGCGTCTTTCTGTTCCCAGTTGCCCAGGAGTCTTGCGACAGACGGATGGGTGCTAACTCGGGCCGACAGGATCGCGTTCCAGCTGACGATGGTGGTCATCTACCCGACGCTCATCCAGCCCCTGTTCAACAAGCTCTCGCCCCTCGCGGACGGCGAGCTCCGTACACGCATCGAGGCGCTCGCGGCGCGCCTTAAGTTCCCGCTCACGCACCTGTACGAGATCGACGGCTCGAAGCGCAGCTCGCACAGCAACGCGTACTTCTACGGTCTCCCGTGGGTGCGTACCGTCCTGCGTTACCTCATGTGTGGTTTGGAACTCATTAGAATCAACCCAGAGCAAGCACATCGTCGTCTTCGACACGCTCATCCAGCAGAGCAAGGCTGGCGAGGTCGAGGCCGTTCTCGGTGCGTTCCCTCGCGCACCTTTTTCCAACCGAGTACGGCATACTGAGGCGCTGTCGGCGGATAGCACATGAGCTCGGACACTGGTACTACCTCCACCCGACGAAGATGATGCTCGTCTCGCAGCTGCACCTCTTCTCCATCCTCGCGCTCTTCCCCGCCTTCCTGCACGCGCCGCCCGTTCTCCGCGCGTTCGACTTCCCTGCGCAGGTCGCCGCCCGCCCGCCCACCATCGTCGCGTTCCTCCTCTTCCAGGTGCGTCGCCCCTCATCCGCTCTCTTACTGGGCGAGCTGACGCCGTGCAGATGATTATCTCGCCGCTCGAGTCAATCGCGGGCATCGCGCTGAACGCGGTGAGCCGCAAGTTCGAGTACGAGGCGGACCGGTTCGCGTGCGAGCTCCAGAGCATGCTCAAGGCGGAGGAGATGGCCGACATGGGCGACCGCCTCGGCCGCGCGCTCACCACCCTCCACGTGAAGAACCTCTCTACCGTCTGGGTTGACTGGCTGTGAGTACCTCGCGGTGTTGTCTCTGAAAATGCTGACGCGCTGCAGGTACTCGGCGTATCACCACTCGCACCCGACCCTCACGGAGCGGTTGCGCGCATTGGAGGGCTTCAAGAGCGCCGCGGCGAGTGCGAGCAAGAAGGAGCTTTGATGCACTCCGCCTTCGAGGGCACAGGTGTGTTCTGTCTCAGAGACGTGAACCTTCTTGAAAAGACCACCCACGAGGGAAAGTAAGTTATGTAGGGGGGAATGATTATATATTGTTATCTCGCACAGGCCTATGGACACGGACTGCGAAAGTAACTACGACCCGCCCTCAGAGGCGGTCTGCTTCAGCCGCCGCTTCTCCGCCCACTCTCTCGCTCGCACTCGTCTGGCGGCTTTCGCTTCGTCGTCTTGGACATCCGCAGAACCCATCGTCGGCGGCTTCTCGTCCGTCTGCGACTTTCTCATCGTCTTCTCCACATCATCTCCTGACCGATCTGAGTCACTGTCAGCTTCGCTGTCCGATCCACCGTAGCCCGCTAACCCCCCAAGGCTAGATTTGGGTTGCGCCTTTTGCTCTTGTTCCTTGTCCATCCTGGCGTGAGTCTTGGCAAGCCGCCACGCGCGGGACCAGCGGCCCTTGAGGAATGCGAAACGGCGGTCTGCGCCGTGATTCGCCAGGATGCGCATCTCGAGTTGTGCAGGGTTCGGCGAGCTGAGGACGTGGGACGCCGTGCGGCGCATGAGGTCCCTCTCAGTCTCGTCGGGCTATGAGATCAACGAGGTCAATACTTTGTAAGATGTAAGGTCGTCGGGTTACAGACCTCTTCGTCACTCCCGCCCCATTGCTCTTCGGCAGGCTGCTCGTCTGCCTCCGCCTCCGCCTCAGAGCGTAGCGCTCGTAGTCGATCCTCTCTGCCTTGATCAATGAGACGGCGTCGTTTGTCTCTCCGGTATTCCTCGACCTCGTCTGATGAGAAAAAGAATGTGTCTTCTGCGTCGGATGGTAGGTCGGACCACCCGCCGGGGGAGCTGGGCACGTCTGAGGGTATATCGTACGAGATGGATGGTAGAGCGTCCAGGAGCAGTCGTGCATCGTACCTGCACTGTATGTTAGTACTTCTGCGAAGTGAAGAGATCGAAACGAGCCGTTCCCGAATGTTTGAATTCACCAGAGTCCTGAGTCGCGATCACAGCCAACGCCCCGTCGGTGCCCTACGGAGGTGCGTAGCAGGCCAGTGCTGGGAAAGGCCTACCTGTCCATCCACAGACCCTCCGCGTCCTCTTCATCTCGCCGCTCTGTGGTGGAAGCTTGGCCGAGCGAGACCAGCTCCTCTCCATCGTCCTCAACCTCCACACGTCCACCGGCAGCGCCCTGCCACTTGATGAGCCCTTCCCCGATACGAGCCTTGCGTTTCCCGGCGTCCTCGTAGTAAGACACTTCCAGAGAGTCAGCCGCTGCGTGGGCTCGAGGCCCGCGGACGACATCCGCTTCGTGCGCCTGGACGAACAGTGCGGGATCCGGTGCGCTGGGCACGTCGTGTTCCTCTGCGACGGCCCAGCGGTCGCGGCCGCGAGGACGCGGAGGTTGTTTGCGCTTCCTGGTCTTTGTGGTAGACATAGAACTTAGCGTTGTCGATGTATAGGGCGAGGAGATACTAGAGATACAGCGCGTGCAGCGTTTGAGGCCCAATGAAAAACGCATCTGCTGGGAGATGATCCAAGCTGCTGGGAGCTGCGCGCGTCGTCGAAATGTGCCCGAATCTGCTCGGAGCTGCTAACAGCTTACAGCAAAGTCACTAAATGACAGCTTGTCAGCGAGATAACTCGTCGTCGTTGGTGCTTAGAGTCTTTTGCCTCTGAGTTGGAGCTGTAGCCCATCGATATCGCTGTCGAGTCCACCCCCTTGCGTTAAGCACTTACGGTACCACTGCGCGGTGCGCATTATGATATCGCTAACGTTCCCGCCCGTTCTGGTCTGACGTAATGTCTTTGCAGCGACGGCCGTCGTCGTCGTCGACGTCTTCCTGCCCCCCTCTCTCATGCTCTTACCACCACCATCACCTAATGTAATTGCCCGCTGCTTGTCTACCGCCCGCCCGCTCACCCTGCTGTATGCCCGTCTCATCTGCTTACGTGTCTCTTCTCTCGCCCATGCATCTTTCTCACTTGCCACGCACCTTCTTGCCTGCGCGCACACCTTGCTCGCCCGCCCCCTCCTTGTTTTCCCTCCCCGCACATCTCGCTCACACTTTAGCTGCCCGTCCACTCGCACGTTCGTTCCTAGCACACCGCGCCATGTAATGGACGGCCTCGAAGGCCAACTTCGGAGTGCCGACGCGCGTGCCCAGCGCACTGATTGGCTGGCGCCCCACCCTCGAACGCGCCTCTGACCGCGTCTGACGGCCTCCCGACGCTGTCTCGACGGCCATCGTCCGCCAGTCGAGTCTCCGTCGAACGCCCTCCAAGCACCCGTCCGTCGCACTCTGCCTTCCCCCTGCGCTCTGCTCCTCGTTGCCCTCCCGTCGTCTCTCTGCCCCCCACGCCTTCCCCTTGCTCCTCCCGTGCTCGCCGACACGCCAGCTCGATCCACGCAGCCGAGGCGAGTCTGCAGACACTCCCAATGTATCCGACCTTGTTCAGCTTGTAGAGGCGCGTTTCGTTGTTTCGTGACTTTGTCGTGCGCATTTATTGAGTCTATGCGCGGCACACGAAGACCTAATACGACGACCTCGCACGGGATACGCCCAGCCCCGACTCGTCGAACCATACGCACTAGCGACGCGACGGACCCCACCACGCAACACACGACGCGTGGTCAACGACGGAGCGACGTCACACGGCGTCGCTCTGCCACCCACCTTCGTGGACATCCCTCTGAATGACGACGATGCAGCCGCTGGGCCACGCATGCGACATAGCGTGCCCAGACGCATCTGCTAGAGCATGCACGCGCACGACAGGCACGGCGTCAGCCGTCTTGGACCCTTGGTCTACGAATGTCAATCGACTACGGTACGTGCTATCGACTCGACCCCCATCTGTGCCCCGCTACCACGACAGTACCACAGCTCGATGCTTCTCCCCCGAATCATCAAGTGTGGTGTGCACGCATGTCACGGTCACTCTCGGCTCGACTTTCAGGGACCGGACGATTCCCTGTATGGAACCGTTCAGCGAGTATGCAGTGCACCGTGCCCAAAAGACTGACCTACCACGCATCACTCGACCCTCGTACCGAGCGCACGCGTTCGCCATCGTCACGCATGGTTGCGTCACGGCGGGGCGCATCGAGGGTCAAGTGGGTCAATCAGTGAGTGACCTCGCACATATACGTCGACGTGGATTCACCTGTTCACCGACGTCCATGCTCATCGACATACGCACACTACGACGGCACCACACACGCTCGACTGATGAACGGACACGTCAGCAGGGAGACGCACGTGGACACGAACACGAACTTACCGTGCGAGGGATCTGTGCTGCGCGCAGGACAAGATTGGGAGACGGGAGGAGCTGGTGGTCTGCAAAAGCACGTCGCTTCCCTCTGCCTTATATCTTTGTCCGTGAGTGCGAGATCCCACGCCGTCACCCGAAACTTCGCGTAGCCATGGCCGCCCTCCCTCCGCGGATGCCTAGCCGACTCAATGGCATTGTAGACTGGACAATGACTGATGCAGTACAAGCAGAACCAGCCTGAGGAACGCACGCGCAAGTCGTGCGTTTTCATGACAGGAACCACCATCGATGCGAGGTATGTTCTATGGTACGTCTCGGAGTGTACATCGCAGATAGCAAGACTGATACCTGTCCGATGACACCAGCGAGCGACAGGAAAGAAGGCCCTGAATGTTCCCGACTTCAATTATTTTTTTTTTTTTTTTTTTTTTTTGGAGGGCTTTAACAGACGCCGGCAGTTGACAATTGGTCAGCCCCGGACGTCCAGCTTGCGAACGGGTTTCCCCGTTAGTGCAGTCCACGGAAAAAATGCTGTTTACACACGGTTTCAACAAACCAGTGTGGGGCTCGTCACCCGGGGTCTAGGAAGAGACGGAGAGTTGGTGAACTACCCACTAAAAAGCCTCTGCACTGGGTCCAGTCTTCGGGGAGCGCGAGTTCGTCGAAGATTGTGCCGTTCCAAGTGGCGGTGATCAGATCGCGGTTGAAAGCTAGTTTTCCGTATTTACGCCTTGTGGCCTCTGCATCCGTTGCAAGTCTACCGTTCAGAGTGAATATGAATTTACGTCGTACATGGGATTCCACGTGGTTCCAATTTTCGTCGGTCTCGTGACCGATTACCCTTTCGCAACGGAGTTTCCATATTAGGTGGGCTGCTTCAGAGATGAGGATTCTCCAGAGTCGAGTTGCTCCAGGCCTTATTTTGTTTTTGCTGTCAGTCCATTTCGCAAGTCCGAGGCCGTGGATCGACTCCATCGTTGGAGTATTCCACGGCAAGTTTTTCTTTTTCCATATCGAGGCAGCTATCCCCCATATCACTTTCTGACCTGTGGCTCGGCACTCGAAGAGGATATGTGAGATCGATTCGAGGGCCCCGCAGAAGCTGCATTGGGCTCTGTCCTCATAATTCGGAATTTTCAGCCAGAATTCACCGCATTTCAGGCCGCCATGGATGCTCTTCCACAGGAAGACGGCGAAGGGTCTGCTGAAGTCCTTGTGTCGGCTGGTTAGCCAGATCGACGCATGTCCCACCGGACCGGTCGTTATGTTAGCTTGGCGGATGGCGGTCAAGTTACGCTCGGTCATTTTCCGCATAGGGGTGTCCTTATGTTTGAGGATGCCTCTGTATGCGATGGCTTGTGTGAGTGTCACAAGGCGGGCGCCGGTGACTTCAAAACGGGCATCACGGGTTAGAGGTGCGTGTTCTTTCCTAGTGAAATCGAGGTGTTCAGGACTGGATGCTTGTTGTCGAGCAGTTTCCAATGTCTTCAGGTCATTGGGTTTATTCGCGCGTCCGAATGTAGTGGGCGCGCATCGCTGCCGCAGTTTGTTCAGTATCGTTCTCATATGTTCTTCTAGGGCGACGTCTACCCAGCCTCGGTCCTCCCATTCCGGCAATTTATCCATGATTGTTTCGGCCAGTAGGCTAGTTGTGCATATTATGTGTAGAGGCACGTCAAGTGGGGTTTGTTCCACAACGTAGATGGCGACCGCTAGGTCGCCTGGGACTATTTGGTGAGTATTCCTCTCAGTAGTCACCGTGAACAGGGCGTTCCTGGCGTCTTGTGGACCGAAATACACTGCGTGCGGAGGGGCTGGTTGGGGAGGGTCGTTCCTTGATGATTTCTTTACCGCGCGCGTGGGGAAAATATAGACTGTCGTTGCTTCGTTATGGACGATCCGGCCCGGTCTCTGTCTGTGGGTGGGTGGGTCTTGTTGTGTATGCTTGCTGACGAAAGCGCGGAAGGATTCAGATATGCCTCCGCGTGCGGTGATCGATGGGTTGAAGAGGACGGTGTCCCCTTCATCGATCTTGGCTCCATCGTTCTTGGACACTCTGCGAGACGTGAGTGTCAGACCGTCTGTGTAGTTGGTCACCAGCGGGTTCCATTTCGGTAGGATTTCACTCAATATCCTGAAGGCTGCTAATCTACACTTCTCCGGGTGTTTACATCCGTCTGTTCGTGAGGTTCGGCATTCAACGCATGGGCAGTTGTCCTTACCCCAGTGGGGGGAGTGGGTTGCGTCGGGATGGACGTGCCGCATGTTGATCGCGTGGAGCGCAGCAGGTCCGATATGAGGTTGACCGCATGGTTGTCTCTCAGGCATTTGCTAACTGCTGAGTTGTTTAGCCTTCGGAGTGCTTTCGTGGCGCCTAGGTGATACCACGTTGGCAGGAGCTTCTTGAGTGGTTCGTCTACCCGCAGCGCCTCAAGGTGAACTCCGTATTTCTTGCTCGTTGACAGCATATCTCTGATATACGATGGTAGGCCGGATTTCGCGCTTCGCGAGGTGTTCCAGCTTTGCAGGAACGTGTTTAGTTGGGTCTTAGGTTGGATTGCCCCGGCTTCCTTGGTTACGTGCTTGTTTATAATGGCATCCATCGCGTACGCCCAGGTGGGTCTGTTACTCTCGAGGTTGAGATACCGTTTGATCCACATCAGGTTCACAGCTTCGTTTCTGGCCTTTATGTCGAGAAGACCGAGGCCGCCCTGTTGGACGGGGAGGTGCAAAGTGTTCAGGTTCACAGGGGGGACTCCGTTATTTCCCCACATAAAGGTGCGGACTATCTTGGTGAGTTCAGTTTCTATGGACTTGGGCATACCTTGGACGACGGTCAGGTATTGCGAGATTCCCCCCGGGCCCATCTGAACGATGTGCCTCTTCCCGAGCATCGAGGGTCGGCATTGGCCCCATCTCTCTAGGAAGGCACGGATCTTCTGGAGGGCTGGGGTCCATACGCTGACCTGGCTTACTCCGTTCCCTACCCAGGCTCCGAGGATCCTAACAGGTTCGCCCTCCTTTGCTATGCGGACGTGGGGTGGTATGATCGGTGAGTTCTGTTTTTCGGGGTCGAGGCGCCGGGATTGGAGCACCGCGTGTCTGTAATCTTCCGAACCGACCGGAATGACTTCCGTTTTTCCGTCGTTGAACTTAGCGCGTGAGGCCATGCACCATTTCGTCAAGATCGTCCACAGAGTGGGCCATTCGTCGCTTTTCGACAGGAAAGCGGACGTGTCGTCTGCGAACAGCTTGGTGACTAGTCTATCTTTTGCACCGGGAATGGCGAAGCCTTTTAACTCCGACCGCCGGAGTGCGTGTGCTAGTGGCTCTATTGCTATGTCAAATATAAGGCATGACAGTGGGTCGCCTTGGCGTACCCCTCTGGTAACTTTGAAGAAGGAGCTAGTCTCACCGTTTACAATGACTACGGTTCGCGCGTCTGAGTACAGGGTTTTGACTTTGTCAATGAAGTGGCGAGGTAGGTGGAAGGCTTCTAGGGTTCGCCATAGGTAAGCATGGTCAATTTTATCATATGCTTTTTCCTGGTCGAGTGCGACGATGACGCCGTCCTCTTCTGTAGCTTCAGCGTAGTCAACTAGGACGCGGCATGTTTGCGTTTGGTCCTCAATATGTCGGCCGGGGACGAAACCAGCTTGGTCGTCGTGTATGATCTTCCCTGCGACTTGGCCTAGGCGTGAGGTGAGTACTCTCGTGTAGATCTTATAATCCGTGTTTAGGAGAGTTATAGGTCAGTAATTGCTTATTTCCCTTCTGTCTCCCTTTTTGTAGAGCGGGCACAGCCATCCTTCAGCGAAGTTGCTGTTAGGAGGGAGGCCGTTTACTTCCATGTCGTTGTACAGGCATTCGAGGTATTCCAGACTGTTGAAGTCGCCCGCGTCGGAGTCTCCTGACATGAACACCTTCCAGAATTCGTAGGGGATGCCGTCTAGTCCCGCGGCACGGCCTGTTTGTGAGTGTCTAAGGGCTTCTTTTATGTCCTCTTTGCTAACAGTCGCTGATAGGAAGTCCTTGTCTTCCTGGTCGAGGGCAGAATTCACCGTTTGCAAAACTTCCTCGGTGGCCGCGAGTTGGCCATCTATTGTAAAGTCTGGTGGGTTTGTATTTTGAATGTTATCATGGTAATCTTTTGCTAGTTCCGCCATTTTGTCGGAGCGTGTTTCAAAGGTTGGCGGGTTCGAGGCGGGGATGCGAAGAGAGTACATCACATCACGCGGTCTGCGGTCTCTGTTGATTGCTGACCAGTATTTCGTCACCTTTTCAGAGTTCATCACGTAGCGAGCTGTTGTACTCAGTTTGGAGAGGGATCGTTTCATCTTCTCTAGCTCCAGTATTCTATTCTGGAGGACTGCCGCATCGTTCTGTAGCGGTTCCGAGGAGTCTGCGACAGGTGAGTGACCGATTTTATGTAGGTGTTCTGTGAGCTTTTCTATTGTCGCTTTTAGTTTAGGGGCCGATTTTCGCAGTTTGTCTCGTGCAAGTTTGACAAGGTCTTTCTTGAACTGGCTGTGGACGTGTTGAGGTGTGCGATTGTGGTCTCTATGTTCTTTTTGGGTCAGCGCCCTCATTTCTGATATTGCCTTCTTCCCTAGGGTTGTTACATCTCTCCGGAAATCGTCGTTTTCCATGATATGGATTGGTAGGGCCCACCGTCCTCTGCCTATGAAGGGAGTGGTTTTCGCGCTTAGGGCTGCGCTAACCAGTCTGTGGTCAGTGCTTACTCCCGTTGTTTGTATCGTCCATTCATGAGATGTTCTGATTATGTCATTTGTTGCGTATATTCGGTCTATCCTCGATCGCGTTATGCTGCCCCGTTGTGGGAATGTGAAGTCCTTCATTGTGGGTTCTGTCATACGCCATCCGTCATACACATCTAGGAAGCGGAGGAGATCACGCAGGTTCTGAACAGCTTGGGGCGAGTCTTCCCTAGCTGGTTGTCTGTCTATAGCTTCCTCGACGATGTTGAAGTCTCCGGCGAATATATCTGGTTTTCGATATCTTCCCTTTTCAGCTAGCTCAAGGAGTAGTTTCCAAAAGGCTGCATTTTCATGCGCGGGGTTTGGTGCGTATACATTCATGATCGTAAGGTACTTGTCAGCGTGCCAATGCATGCGCAGAATCATCGCTCGACCAGGGATGATTTCCGAGAACTGGATCCCCTTCACATCGACAAGTTCACGGTTAAGGACAATGGAGACGCCCTGGGTGGACGACGCAGATTCTGAGCTAGAGTTGTGTAGAGTTATGCGACGGCCGTATAAGCGGTTTATCATCTCTTCGTCTTCTTTGGTTAGGTGGGTTTCTTGTAAGCAGAGTATGCCGATTTTCGCTTCTCGCATTAGTTGATTCAGCTCATTCCATTTCTGATTATTGGGGCTTATTATCCCGCTCCTTCCGTTCATGTTCAGAGAACCGATATGGATATTAGCTTTTGTCTTACGTCCTGTTCTCGGCGCTGATTCTCTGTGTGCCTGGGTTGAGGGTGTTACCCTCTGAGCTCGGGCTCCTGTCCTTTCATCTCGACGAGGCGTGAAGAGTGAGGTGTCAGGAGCAGCCCCGTCACCGGGTTCCTCCATCCGGTCCTCAAGATCTGCTTGGACGGGGAGTTCGCAGGTCTCTCTTGGACGGAGGAGATGTGTGCCGTGTGCCAGATATGCATCCGTGGGGGGGGGTTTGTTTCATGTATGTTCGCCGTTGCTGTTCGCTTCCCGGCTACAACGATCCACCGGGGGCGGAGAGCGCTCCTGGCTCTCTCAGGGGACACGCAAAGCTAAGTTGCTTGGTTTCTCAACCCGGACAAGTCTAAATAGTGCCCGTTTCGCTGTTTAGAATGCGTCAGAAGACCGAGGCTTTCCTGTCCTGCTTAGAGCAGTCAGTAAATTTGGGCACCCGGGCAGCTGGGCATGGGGGATAGGGGAGTTAGTTCAGAATGTAGGAGACATCACTTTTTAGGATCACGCTCGTGGGCCGTTATGCGGAAGATGCATGATATTCGAGGTAGGATTATACAAAGGCGACAGGCGACAGATAGATCGGTATTACGACGGTACATGTTACGCACGCTGGCCTGCTCTAGCATCGTTGAAACGTCCACGGCTGTTGCCGCCGCGAGTGCGTCCGCCGCGTCCGCCACGACCGCCTCGACCTCTCTGGTCATTGTTCTGACCGCGGCGGTTGTTGGCAAGGGCATCGCGGACTTCTTCCAAGGTAGGGCCGTGCCAGCCGGGAGTTGACGGCAAAGAGCAGGCTGCAGTGGGATGGTCCGCAGCGTGACAGTACATGCAGAAGAAAGTCGTTATGAGCGGTACGGGTGGTCCAGCGAAAGCATTTCCAAAGGGGAAAGCGCGGACGCTGTCGCGGAAGTTCACCCATTCCGCTGCGTCGGCGGTTGGCGATTCAATGTAGAGGAGAGCGACGAGTTCCTTGTCATCGTTGCGGCCTTCCCGTATTGTGATCATGCGGACGCGGATAGATTGGATGATGAGGCGGAAAGCGGCGTCGGCCGTCAGGTGGCGCCACCGGCCTCCAGCGTTGATGTCCGTCGTGATGTGGTTGATGGTGATGCCGGACAGGACCGCCGATTTGAAGCCGTCGCCGAAGGCGGCTGCTAGGCCCTCCTCGGTGGTCACGCCCAGGCGTTCAGGGTGAAGGAAGCCCCAGATGAAAGTAGGTGGGTCGTGTGGTGCTGCGATCGCGCCAAACGTCCCGTACGTGGTGGAGGCCCATTGCTGGCGCAGGATTCGTTCGCGTTGAGCAATCGTAAGGTTACCGACACGGTAGTAGTGGGGCTCGGCATTCGGACGCGGCTGTGGGTTTGCGGCGATCGGTTGTGTAACGGTCGCGTCCGGAGCGCCGAACTCGTTCTTCAGGATCGCAGCTGCGACGCAGAGCCGTCCATAGTTACCCTTATCGCACGCACCGGTACCTGGGAAGTGGATGAGGACGCAGTTGTCGTCCGCCGTTGTCCAGAGGACGAGTTGTTCGGCCTGAACGTTGCCATACGGCGCGTAAGGGTCATCGCTCTGTACCGGGAACCATCCGCCCGGCGGCGCGCGGGTCATCGTCCGCGGGCCGGAACTGCCGTGCGAGGGAGGCAGGGGAGCGATCGGACCAGCGGGGAAAGGAGCAAGCGGGGCGATCGGCCTCACGTTGAATGGGGCCGGAGGTGTGATCGGGCGGGCGCGTGGCGGTGCGATCGGATCGTCCGGGAAGAGGGGAAAAGGACCAGGAGCGTAGTGAACGGGGCGCGGGTGGAGCAGGTTGGGAGGAGACCGCGGTGGTAGCATTCCCGCAGCACTACCAGGCGGCGAGGTAGGTCGTCTGGAGAAATGGGGCATCGTGCTGGTGTCGTTCGTGGTGACAAGAGGTGAGCCAGGATACTCATCCTGTAATGTGATAACGTACATGGACGGGGCTAGAGGGTCGCCTTGGTTCACGCCCATTGGCATACGTGACGGTCCTGCAATTGTCCTCGAGGGCGGTCTCGTCGATGGTTGGTGCGTGGGCTGTCTCTCTTGGAGGAGCGGTGGAGGAGAGGCAGATGCGTATAGGTCTGCTGAGGTATTAGTGCACGTCCGGTATTGCCTGGATAATAAGGCTATTTACCTTCTATGTTCCCCTCAATTTGCTCAGCGACGGCCAATACGTAGGGGCTATCTTCACGTAGGCTTTGCTTGGCGAGGTATTCGCGGACGCGGCTCGAGCTGCCCGGGACGCTCCATACGTACGGCTGACTTGGTGACTTGCCGCCTGATACGAGGTGGGCGGGGATAGCGACGACGGGTCGAGGTCGGTATTGGTCAGCGGTGAAGTACGGATTGAGACCGTAGAACATACGTATTATCTCCGTTGATAGCTCGATTTCGTCCGGCTCCCGCATTGCGAAGTCCGATTCCTCCATGTCCGACGTTGTAGCGGCCGGAGGGTCTCCATCGCTGCTCGGAGAGGAGAGAAGGGAGATGACGACCGGGCGGACGTTGGGAGGCGGGAGAGGAGATCTCGGGGAGAGGCCTGGACACGCGGGATCGTACCAACTTCGGCGGTGTTGCCGTCTACGTCGGTCGACACTCTTCGGCGCTTTCGAGCGTCGCTGACGGACCTCTCTGATGGTCGCTGCGCGGGCGTCGTGGTGTCTATGGGGTAGGTAGGCCTATCCCTACGTTCACAGGCATCTTGCCGGCAGCCTTGGCGCTCTTTTTTGCGCGCTGTTTCTTGTTTTTGAGCTTAGAGGCCGCTGCCTTCTTCTCTGCACGCGTACGGGCGATTGGGGCGAGGTTGATCTCTTCTTCCTCGACTTGAAAGGAGGATGTTAGAGATAGAAGTATGGAAGGTGTGTGGTTGCGTACTTTTAACGACCACTGTCGTCTCTCTCTCGCCTAGGTTCGTATCCTTCCCGACCTCCGTGGCGTTTCCGTCGATCGTCGACGCGGCCTCGGCTTGCTCTTGGGAGTTAGTGAGGGAGGGCGTGGCTGTAGCCTCAGAGGTGGTCGCGGTGTGCTGTTCCGAGGTTGGCTGAGGCTGAGGCGGAGGCGAAGACGAAGCGCGCTTCGCCGCCACCATGGCAGCGTAGGTGAGGCCGGTACGTTCGACGGGCGAGACGGCCCTCGGGGACACCCAGGGGTTGCCGGAGACAGCGACGGGAGCGGTGCTGACGGGGCGGCGTATGGGAGAGCCGGCGCGGATGCCAGTCTTAGAGCGCGCGAATGTTGGGCTGGACCCGACGAAACGAGGAAGCGAGGTGGACCCATTTTTCGTGGGGGTTGAGGGCTGTTGCATGATGGGCAGGAGCTGGCAGAGGGGAGAGTTTTCTAAAGTGGTGAAGAGCGCAGCCACCAGTGCTTCCTTTTATCCTCATGGCCAGCCATTGAGTAATCCTGTCGATGTGACGTCCAGGATTGGATGTGGCTCGTTGCCCGTGCGGCCGGCTCGTTACCCTCAGTGTCATCCTGTGCATGCCGAGCTTAGGATGTCTCAGGTATTTGCTTTACTCACGCGGCGACACTGGGCGGCCACAGCAATAAATTGCGTGTTCGTACGGGAGGCGGGACATTGTTCAAGGCGTTTCTATCCAATTATGACGGATTTACCGCGTGACTTACCATTGTCCTAGTTAATGTCTTTGTCTGTTCGTTGTAGGATGCGACTTTTAGGTTTGGCTCGGTGTAGGGTGGCGGTGGTCTCGGCGTAGTTCGCGTTGAGGGAGAGTGGAAGGCGTATAGGCGAGTCCGGCCTTTACAGTTGTAAGGCACATATACCTAATTTGGACGAAGATATTGGCAATGTCGGGGGTGGCGCGGCGACGGCTTCCACGCGCTGATGGCTTCTCTGTCAAACCGTGTGAGGTGATGGCCGTTCGGTTGTCCGCGGGGTTATTGGTGATCGGGGAATTGGGTTTTGTCCTCGAAGCGGATCTAGTTTATGGGAAGCATGGTGCCCAGCAGTAGATCGGGGGGCCGGCGGGGATTTTTGTGTAGAGATATTCATCCAAGAGTCGGTGTCCCTCATTGCGTAGCAGTTCGGTGGAGGTATCTTCCGATGGTGCTTTGGGGTTTGGGAGTAATGGGCGGCACGGGCTGTGTAGTATTGACAGGCGGTCGCGGACTCAGAGTGGAGGTCGCGGAGTCAGTTGGTACGGGTAGTCTAATTGAGCGCCTGTGCGCGGGATAACGAGAGGCTTTATTTCAAGCGAGTGATCTGCCGTGATCAACGGCTTACATCAGTAGTGGTAGCTGGGGAATATCTAGACATTCTCTACTGCGTCCGTATCGCCTAGCTTTCATTCGCATCCCTCCGTGCCGTAGCGCGTTGGTGGTTGTAGCTCGGTTCATCGTCTGCGCTGTCGTCCGAGTCCGAGTCGAACTCGTAGGGTGTCTCGTTACCCTCCAGGAGAGCGAGGTCATTGAGTAAGAGCTGGTGTGGGAGTGGGGACGGGGATAAGAGGTGGTATAGGCGTGTGTGGAGTCTTCGGTCTCGGTCTCCGAGTCTGGACCATGACGTTGGGACTCGGACGTCACATGGGACTAGGCCCCCGTCGATAGACCACGTGATCCAGTGGCGTCTGAACTCGGCGATCTCCCGAATGCGGCCGACTCCGGACTGGAGATGTCCGGCAGCTAGGATGATTAGCTGTCCAGACTCGATTTGGCGGGTCGGGCGTGTTCGGACGATCCACGTCCAACTCGATCCCCGTCGCTCAGGGGTGTTCTCCACCTCGATCGTTATTGCTCTGGCCGGGCTGGTCAGGAGTTGGAGGTTTGGAAGAGTGGCGCGGGGTGGTAGAGGAGGTGTCGGGGGGGGCAGCGATGTGGGCGTTCCAAACTTCAGGACTGTGGGGGTCCAGGGTTTGATCGTCCTAGGACGTTGCTTGATTTGGCGCCTTTGTGTTTGCATTGTGGGGGTGGCTTCACGGGTGGCTTCACTGGTGGGTGCCATGGGACTGTTGGAGAGAGTATTGAGGAAACTAAGGAACTCTTTTAACAGGGGGAGTGGGCGTTTACGTTTGGCATGGCCATTTGTTCCAGGTGAGCGCTGATGCGTCCGTTACGGCAAGGAACTTCTGCTTCTAATAATTTATACAGGCGCTCCGTCTTATGACACGTGTTAAGGGGTGTGTTGTGATGAGGATGTATTAAGGAGAGGTGGTAGGAGGTGTAGACCGGCGTATGTTTGGTCTTTGCAGTTGCTGCTCGAGGGGTAACGCCCGTCTCGGCGGTATTCGGCCGATTATGGCTTTTGTTAGTGTGTGTAGCCTTTGTGGCTTGAACTTAAACTAAGCGCCGTGCCATCCAGCTCTGCTGGCGGGAGGCCTGGCGCCCGCCCCAGGATGCATGTCGTAGCGTCGAAGCCGCTGTGTGCGGTCTGCAGACGCATTTTGGTAGTGTCTAGGTGGTCGGGTGCACCCGTTTATGAGCTCTGTATACATAGAGTATAGGCTAACACCTTATGTGTTTGAGGAATGGGGTGGATTGCCCTCGTTCCCGTTGGATGCAGAGCGTAGCTGATCCCGGTCGTCGCGCTCAACAGCTGCGGCGAACCTTACAGTGCATGTTCGTTTCACCCTCGAGAGGGTTACTTACCCCCCGGACCACGAGAAGGTCTGCACAGGGCTCGTCGGCGACGAGCCCTCCCGGGGGCCGACTTCAATTATTCGTGCGTGCCATTTGCATATGGAGGACTCTGCAGTGCTTGTAACCCTTACATTTTGTCGATACCTACAGTAGTTGTCAAATCCGCGCATCAAGGCCAAAAATCGAAGGCGAAGAAGTGAAGTGCAATGGTCAAGACTCGGAAATACGGGCGAGCAGGCACGTGCGAGTGAGAGGCGCGATATGTAGGAAGCGGGTGGGCGTAGTATGCAGGTAGCGTCCGGGGTGGCTGGGCGGGAACGCGTGGGCGCGATATGCGGGTGGCGGGCGTGGTATGCTGTCGGCGAGCACAATATCGCGGGCGGTACGCAGGGTGCGGGCGCGCAGGCGCGGGCGCGGTATGCAGGGCGCGGGCGGCACAGGATGCGGGCAACGTATACACGATAAATGCAATATTTTTCTGGCAGCTAGTGCAATACAGGAGCATCTAGCAATATGCCCGGATCTGCTCCCAGCTGCATACGCATAATTTTCACACTCAGAGCAGCTCCGAGCATCTAGAAAAATGCGAAAAGTCCGGATTTCATGCTCCAGGCTGCTCAGAGCTGCTCGCAGATGTCCTTTTGACAGCGGCCCCACCGAGCAGCTCCGAGCATCTCAGAGCATCTCCCAGCAGATGTGTTTTTCACTGGGTTTGAGGGACGGCCGACTCCATATATACTGCATGTCAATAAGCGCCAGCTTCAAGCTGGGGCCTTATATGCAGTCTAGACCTATACCAATCTGTATTTACAATCTGTATGTAGATACTACTACAGTCTACCGTAACACATTGTACATGAGTACGTAGTACACAGCACACAGGGAGCGTGGACGAAAAGATAGTAACCATACACAAGAATACGCGCAATCCGCTCTTTCCTTTTGACTGGCAGTGGCATCAACAAGAAGTACCACGACATTGACATTGGGACTCACGTAGCAAGCCGACCGTACCTTCACTCGCTCTCTTTCACTGCAGCTTCCTCCAGCGTCACAGCTGCGCCCTCAGGCCTCAGGCCTCACTGGCAGATCTCAGATATAGAACATACTATCTCCGAGGTTGGGGTGCACACCGCCGCCCCACATCTTCATCGCCTCGTCCAGGACCTGCGCTTTCTCCTCCTCAGTCGCGCGCATCCTCTTGCCCTTTCCCTGGCCGCTGCTGACGTCGGCCAGCTGATCTCCCGTGTTCATGATCGTGTCCAGCCAGGCCCTTGCCCTTTCGCACGCCAGGTCAGCGAGGTACGCAGGAGGGACGAGGCTGACCGCCTTCGTGGCGCGAGGGAAGAGGTAGCACAGCATGTGCGTGCCCTGCTGGAGATCATTCGAAGTGAAGCCGATCTCGTCGTAGATGACGACGTAGCGGGTGGGCTTTACTGTGCCCTGCAAGCCAACGTGTGCCTGATCATGATGAGTCGTCAGCTGGCGATCAGAAGTAAACAGTGAGCCTACTGAGGCGGCTTACCTGAAGATAGAACTCGAACAAGAACGGGTTTCCGACACCCTTGTCAACGATGGTCCCGGGAAGCGTGTTCCCGTTGGGCGACATGTGCTCTGTCTCCGTAGGATAGAAACGCGTGTTGTGGCGCTTGACGCACACAACGATCGTCAGTGTCGGCGCATAGGCCGGCGAGCCTGGCGTTGTCACAGCACCGAAAGCGGCCTTGATGGAGGGGAGTTCCCTATCCAAGATCGTTTGGCGATATTGGCTCTGAAAAATGTGCCGCGTCAGGTCGTTACGTCGAGCCATTCATAGAGGACGTACGTCGCCCAGACCGTCTCGGTACACGATGATCTTCGCCGGGAGTTTCCCTTTGTTCTTTTGCTTGTAGAGCTGCAGTCTTCCAGTCACCATGTCCGTCAGATCCGCGACGACCTGGGTGTGCCGTTAGCTTGTGTGACGCGATGTACTACAGCGCAATGCCATACCTCCTTCGACTCTTTGTTCTCCGCAGGCCTCTGCATGCGCAGCTCCGCCGGGTAGTTACTGAAATTGTTGTCTATGCTCGCAACGATAGCCGCCAACGACGGCGACCCCGCCTTGCTGCTCATGCTCGCATGGGTCACATCGAGGCCGATCAGCATCGTGTCCTTCAGCATCGTATCCTTCAGCCACCTCGTGGACACAGCGTCCAAGACGTGGTTCACGCCGCCGAGCTTCATATTCAGCTTGAGCGCGACGTTGCCGAAGTATGCACCCTGGCCCTTGGGGTTCATCGCCTTCGAGGGCTGCATGCCGACAGTGTGCACGCCGAGCTCCATGTCGCATATGCGCTTCAGCCCGCAGTAGACCCTGCTGTCCTCGTCTGCGAGGAGTACGAGGATGAACTTCGGGGGCGGCCTCGCGGTCTTGACGTGAGTCTCGAGTGTCGTCCGTATGGTCTTGATCGCTTCTGTTCTGTGGCGATCATCGCTGAACGGCAAACGCGCTTCGAGGATGGGTGGGCTCGTCGCAGTGAAGCCGATCCCGCTCTTCTTGCACAGACTCACGAACGCGTCGAGGAAGGGCCTCAAGCTGGCGTCACTCGCTCCCGTGAACGTGCCCTTCCCTTGTAACAACAGGAGGACGGCCCAGTTCGGCACTCTACCTCCGACTTGGAACTGCATTCGCGCAAAGTTCCACGTCCCGGGTTGGAAACTAGGGGCGCTCCCGGACTTGTACTGTGGCGTAGGCGGGGGCAGGATGCGGCCGGGGACGACCGACATCTTGCGCTCGACATGTACGCCGAACGCGTCCATGGCCGGGGTGTTAGTGTCTTCCCCGAGGCCAAGGTACTGGAACCCCTCGTTCATTATCATTTCCGCGTTGACATGCGGGAAGTTGGTAGCGTGGTTCAGTATGACCGTCGTCGCGTCGCCGTTCAGCTGCCCGAAATACGGTTGACCTGGAGGGATCGCGCACAGTTCCGCGGGTATATGTATCGCCGACGGCTTCTCCTGGACACAGACCAATGGGAGATCGTTGGTGTGCTGAAGCGGAATATTCGGAAAAGCTGTGTCGGGTAGGGAATCTATAGGTCAGCAACCATTTGGAAGACAAGCATGACACGTACCACTCGCGAAATGCTCCGCGACAGAAACTGTCTTGCCCATTCCTCTATGGTAGAATGTCGTCATCTGAGCCGTAGTGTCCAAGACCTTCTGAATGGTCCACGTCTTCTCGTATCCCTGATACGTGGTGATCACCTTCAGCTTGCGCCCGAAGTCGGGGGCAACAAGTCCTCTGTTCTGCTGCATGGAGGCGAACATCGCCTCGGCCAAGTTTCTGGGGATGTAAAACGGCGCTATGCCGGGATTGATGTTGGTCATCATCTGCTCGTATGTCGGGCGGATGGACATGAAGAAGCCTCTCCAGGCCTCGAGCCCTCCGCCCAACATGATAGGCGATTGTTCGGTCAAGGACCGGAAGAAGAAACGGGTCTGGGTGTCTCTGCCGATTCGAGTTCCATTTTTACGGGCGTGCTGTTGAGTGACGAGCTGGAGAGCGGAAACATATAATTGTATGTCGATGTCCCTGCACTCTAGGTCGCCATCCGCATATCTGATTGCGTTAGTGCTAGTAGCATGACCAATCCAGTTGACACACTCACCTACGCAACATGCCCATGTCTAGCTCGTGTTTAAGTACAAACTCAACGGAGATAATCTGGGGTTCCCGATTGCCTTCCCCTCCGAGCTCGACATTGATTGTGAACGGATCTGGTAGTCTTGCAACGGAGAGCAAGCGCTGACTACCATCGTGGGCAACGCGGCCGTTATAGTTGGCGAAATCAGCGTGTGCCTCAACGAGCGCGAGTACCTTTGCCTTGCGATCGGCGGTGACGGCCTTTGTGGGTTGAAACTTGAGTTCGTAGTCGAAGTATGTCTTTGCGTCGAAGTTCGTAGGTAGCAGGTTGGTCCGAAGCGTGATGTTGATGCCTTTGGTCCCAGACGCAGGCGGGAGCGGGAACTCCGGCCCACTCTCGACGGCAGCGAAGCCCTCGAGGAGCGTGTCGTGAGAAGCAAGCCGCTCATCCTCGACGGCTGGGACATCAGCAGCGAAGACCTGAGGAGCACCGCGCCCACGCCCGCGCATGGGCCCGGGACCACGACCACTATCGAACTGGCCTCGAGCACGCGTGGATGGGGGCGCCAGGCCCCTTCCAGGCATGTCCGAGGCACGCCCTCGCGGGTAGCCCCTACCTTGCTGATCGCCTCGAGGGATGTACCCACCCCTCTCGCCAGGAGACCCCCTTGGTACTGTGTTAGGAGGACCTCCACGCGGCGACGCCCGCCAGCCCCTCCCACCAACCCCGCTCGCGCTTGCACTCCCCGCTTGCTGCCCACCACTCTCAGACAATGCTGGAGAGGCGGGAGGTGGTACTCCCGACTGATCGCTGGATACCTGTCCGCGGCCTCTTCCACGCTGGGAGCCGCCTCGGTCGTAACCTCGCACTCGACCACCGCCTCGTGCCCGACTAGGAGCGGCATGCCATGCATTAGGGTCCGACATGATGAACCTCCTGAGTAAGCTGGTATGCACTTGTCCACTATCAGTGAGTTGAACGGCAAGACAAGGGAGGGCTCACCGATGAAAACTCAGCGATGTAACTTAGTACACGTACGGACAGGAGATGCGGCCGGGTAGTCACAACCCTTGTAGGGCGTGAAGCCGCGAGGCAGACTACATAGTCACAAGACATCTTCATCGACCAGCGGGTATAACCTTGACTGCGCCCGTATGAACTCTAAGTAGTGCGGCACAGCGCTAGCAGTGAGCACGAGCCGGGAGTCCTGGCCTATGATATAATGATATGCATACCTTGGGAGGGGAACATATCATCTCCATCGTGTATCCCGACGCTTTTGGTAGGTAGTCAGTCATTTCAGTAGCTCAGGAAATATTGACTATGCCCGGAACTCACCAGGATCCATCATTCATATCGTTTACTCTTTGGGTTTTAGACGCCTCAAGTAGGAGGAGCAGGTTGCCATATTTGGTCGATATACACACGCCACCGGCTAGCTACACTGCGGTACTGCGCACTACAATGCAGCAACGTTGCAGGAACACTGAAGTATGGTACAATACGACGCATGCTAAACCATCGAGCGAGGCCAGAATGTAGTGACAATGCTTGACATAGTACTCGTGTGAGTACTTCTAGTCTGGATTATCGGTTTTGACGTGATTTATAGCGGATTCTTCAACTTATTAGCGGCCTCTCAGTCATGACCACAGTTTCAGAATGCTACCTGGATTTGGCAATCCGAGAGGTAGGCTCACCGTTGGACAAATGACTTCACGAGAACAGACAGAGCGAGACTCAATGGAAGTTTGCACACATAACGACGCGGCGTTCCGTCGGGTCCCGAGATCGTGGTCCTTATCAAGAGACAACTCAAGGACACACCGAGTCCGAGTCGGATTCAAAGAGCATCATCGTACGCACCGCCATCTACAATCTGAAGCTCAACTGAAGTGAGTCATATGGCATATGTAGTGTGGAGATTGGGAATCATCTCCGGAGCTCTCAGGTCGTGCAATGCTGCCGCCAATTTTCGAGGGCAAAGTCATTCTCATCACGGGGGCGGGAAGTGGTATTGGGTCGGAACACTTGCCACTTGTCAGAGGACACAACTGATCAAGCCACAGGCGGGCTACGGCCATTAAACTCGCGAAGCTCGGAGCCCGCCTTGCCATCACAGACATCGATCTCGGCGGTGCAGTGGACACCTACCATCTCTGTGGAGGCAAACCGCATTACACCGGTGTCATGGACGTCAGCTCGAAGGTAGACGTCGAGCGCCGTATAGCCGAGATAGTTTCTGGCCTTGGCCGTCTGGACCATGTGTTCAACTGCGCCGGCATCAACCCCACGAGCATCCCTCTCACGGAGACGACAGACGAGTACTGGGACAAGCTCGTCAACGTGAATCTGAAGGGGATCTACCTCGTCACGCGCGCTACGATCCCGCACCTCACGACGCCTGGCGGATCGTACGTGAACGTGTCCTCGATCTGTGGACTCCATCCGCAAGCAGAACAGGCTATCTACTGCGCGACGAAGCATGCGGTGATTGGGTTCAGCAAGAGCATGGCGCTGGAGCTGGGGCCGAAGGGCGTGCGGACCAACGTCGTCGCGCCTGGATATATCGATACGCCGACGAACTCGGGCGTGGTCAAGGGCGGGGAGGACGTGACGCGAATGGAGGACGGCAACAGCCTCGGTCGACTCGGGACTCCCGAAGAGGTCGCGGACGTGGTAGCTTTCTTGATGAGCGAGGAAGCGAGGTACATGAACGGGAGTGTGGTAGAGATTCACGGCGGACTGAAGGTGCTGGAGTGTTAATTCTCGCACGAAACGGAGACTTGGAGCCGCACTGAACATGAACAGATGGTAGTCAATTGATCGACTCCGTCTAGTTTTCATACTGGTGTGCATGTTCCGCGGTCGGCGTAGTGTCCAGGTGTGTCGTGATATGCATAGTGGCCGTGGACTCATCTTGCCTTCTACTAAGATAGAACCGGTACGTGTTGCATCCAGATTTTACGAGCGTTTGAGTATTGATCGTGCTTCATCCCGACGAACAGAAACGTACATACAGACGGGGATTTTTGTTGAGTCCTCTTCAGGTTGTGCACCGCGGCGTTTGGCCCACCCTTTCTGGTCCAGCCTAGATAAGCTCCTACCGACAGCCCGCACGTACTTCACGGAGAATTGTGATACAGGTACATACTCCTGGTGGGCCACCCCACACTGTCAGAGTGTCAGCGGGTCAGCAAACCCCGAAGACGGAGGCTAAGCCACGTCGATACGCAGCCTGCGCCGTCAACAGTGCATGCGGCTGACAGTGGAGCGCGGCCACCAGGCTCCGCCGGAGCCTCATAGATGGCTTGCCGTGCGGTTTTTGTGCCGAGCTGTCAAGGCCTCCAAGAGCCTGCCTTCATCACTCTCATCAAGCCACTCCCTGTGTCACGAGTCTCTATTCTATAAATTGAGAGCTGGTGAGTTGCAATGCCTTCGATATCGTGTCTCGCCCAAGGTTGATATGGCCGCTTTCTCATCCTCTGAATCTCAATTGGTTGCTCTCTTCGTTGCGTGCATTGCTTATGGCATACACATTGTAGCGTTCGTTGCATGCATGCGTACCTGGACCCATCATAGCAAGCATTCTCCGCAAACTAACACATATTGGCCATGGGTATCCGCATCTGTTTCTCTTTTTCTTCTGGGCACTCTGCACGTCTCTGGTTTATGTGCCCATAGCATCCTGGCCTTCATATGTTATCGCGGATCCCACGGGACCGATGGAGATTTCAAACAGCTAGGGCGCTGGATCTATGGCTTGCGGGTATGTGAGCACTTATCTGGCTTTTTGGTTTGATGCTGTTGTTCATTCTGGTACCTCAGTGTATCTGCTACCACCTTGTCGTTGCGGTTTCTGATGCCGCGCTAGTGCGAGCCTGTCTACTCACTAAGAATTTGATACTAATGAAGGTCCCAGGTTTATCGCTGCTGGCTGGTCTACACCTTCTCGCAACGGAGATTCGTGGTCATTTCCATTCCTGCGATCCTGTGGCTCACTTCAACCGCCGGTGCTGTGTTTATTGTCTTCGAGGTCGTGACACGCCTGGATGAGTCAACTGGCGAACAAAGAATGTCATACACTATGCCTTATTGGCCTATGCCGTTTTGGCATAGCTATCTCTGCGTGACCCTTACGCAAAATGTCACCACTACTGGTGAGCTCGTTAAGTAGACGGTTCGACCATCGTTTACTGATCGATATTTGAGGCCTTACTATCTATCGGCTGTGGGATGTACACAGGCAAACTTCGGCGCTCCTCGCCTCAAGTCGTGGTGCATCGCAAACCATCAGCTTCAAAGCTGTGAATGTCATCTTGGTCGAATCCGCATTCATTTATACGTCTACCATAATTATTGTCACTATCACAAATTTTCTGGAGTCTAAATTCGCCTCCTGTGCCGATGCCGTGGTGAGCAAGTTCCAATATCATTGCATGGAAGCCGCACTGCACAGTTAATGCCGTGATACCAGAGCTTGCAGTTAGCTGGGATATGTTTCGACCTAGTTCTCACCAGGATCTGGAACGACGTTGCAAACGAGCAGGTCCGCTCGCCTGCGCGGTCATATCGCTCGGACCTCGAGTACCGGCCCCAATTGCGACGGCCGCCGAGGCGTACTAGTGTGTCTCTTTCATTGCATACCAGCCCTCTCGATCCAGAGCCCGCGGTCGCTGGTGCAAGCGGACAGTACGTGCTTCCGCAGTATAACACTGAAGAAGATTCAAGCGGAAGGCTCGGGGTCCAAGCCATCAGGTATGCGTGTAGTATGTTCGCCTTCCCATTTTCCTCCGGCTTGACTAGTACTCTCCTAGTAGGACTCGTTGTCTCTCGATGCCGGACTTGAACATAACTCCCAACATGTCATGGCCACAGGATCAAATGGAACCACATGGACTTAACCGACGCATTACGAAGCGTCAAGGACACTTAAACGTGCAATACAGTTCCCCGTGGACTATTGAGGACGACTGGTTAGATAATACAGCCACTCTTAGACACCACGGGCACATTAGCTACTTACCATAAACAAGACAACTCGTCCCGGCTTATCTCCCGTACTACTTAGACTCGCGCTCCCTAGTTTATGTTTCCCCTCGTCTTGCCAGCACCCATTGTTCGGGCTTCCGTTCTTCGTTCGTGCACCGCTCGCTCTCGCTCGCCTTCGCGCCTCGACCTCTCGACCTGTCAAAACAACCCTCGACCTAATCCGCTCGTTACCGCATGCTCGAACATACCCCATTGGCGACGCACGCCAAGTGCTGGTGTCACTCCGACAGCACTCTCCGAGTCTTCAGTCCTTCTCTGTCCCGTCGGCTCACTAGCAGGCGAGCCGCGAGCTGTCCGACTTGATGCATCCGCTGTAGGTTCTAGTTATACCTTATGATGACATGATCAGTAGTCAAGCACTGAGTACTTGCTAGTACTGACGCAGGCAGAGCCGCATGAACCAGTACAGTTATGTAAACCCAAGCACAGATCTTCCTTTTCCGAACGTCCCGATCGCTTACATAATTACTCTCCATCCGGTAAACGCTCATTTGATGACGCTCAACCTCACTCGACGTGGTTTCTCTTCACTATAAAACCTACACATGCGCTTGTGATAGGTCCAAGGCTGGCAATTCAACACTACCGCAGACTCGCCTGTGCCAAGGGTAGCGTGCTCCCCAGTACTTATCGCGAGGGAGGCCGATTCGCACGGGCTGTCGTTGCGGCAGTGTGCTCGATGGTATGGCATAGGGATTGCATGGACACACCGCGTTGGACGCACCGGATGTGTAACACGAGGATAGTCCCACACAGGTAATGTGCAGTCATGTCCACACGGATTCGCTTAGACTCACTCATATTCGGTGACAGTACCAACTTGAAGGGCGATATTCAAGCTGGGAGAGTCCGGCCGCCCGCGTCAGTGCGAAGTTTCGCGGATCGTGTATCGGTACGACCGAGAGGTGTTGCGCATGCGATATGACTTGGTGATTCTGCGCGCAGTCACTGAGTCAGTGCTGTGCCGCCGCCCAACACCAGGACTCAGGTACTCGCACGCGTTGAGCTTCCGCGTACCTTGCACTTGCATAAGGAATGCACTCTCCTGTAACACTGCATCGTGTCTTCTGGCCTTACGCAAGAAAATAAGTTACGAAGAGGAAGAGTAACAATCTGAGTACGCATCACTTCATACCAGCTGGCGTCTCCCAACTTACGTCTTAATAGAGTACGCGACGAACGGCAGCGGTTCTGGGCCCATGCGGTCAGCACGAGTCACGGCGTCTTCCGCTTCTTAAGGTTAGGATGACACAGCCTCCAGAAAGCGCTGAGAACACGACCTATAAACCCACTCCCACATGTACGCAGGCCCTCAGGTTGCGTCGCCTTTCTCTCTTACTTACCATCATCTACATAGAACGAACATCTTCAAGAGCAAGTCATGGCTGATCAACGAGGACGAGGCAACGATCGCGGTCGAGGAGGCGGTCGCGGTCGCGGAGGAGGCGGTGGAGGAGGGCGCGGAAGCCCAGGAGGTCGAGGCAGCCCGGCACCGAGGATCAGTCCCTCGGTCTCTACCGCCTCATCCGTGCCCGGATCCGGCGACAGAGGCCGCGGAAGTGGTCCACCTGGATTCAACCGTGGGCAAGGACCTCGAGGCGGAGGCGGGGATGGCGGACGAGGTGGGTACGGCCAGGGCGGTGGACGCGGCGGCGACTTCGGACGTGGAGGACCCAGGGGAGGAGGCGGACGTGGACGCGGAGGTCCCGTGGGCATCTTCGCTGCGGGTACACCTGCAGTCGTCGACTCGCGTCTCAACACGCTCGACCAGCTCGTCACCTCCTTCCAGAGGCTAGGTGTGCGCGATGAGATGCCACTTCGTCCGGGCTTTGGCAAACTGGGCACTCCGCAGACAGTCCGAGCGAACTTCTTTGCCGTCAAGACCACGAAGAAGACCTTCTTTGATTACGATGTCTCTTTCACTCCTACCGCTCAGGCTGGCAGGGACCGTAAGATACGCATATTCCAGATCCTAGAGTCCCATCCCGACTATCGAGCCCACGTTGGTTATGTCGCCCACGATCGCAGTCAGCGACTCGTGTCGGCCGTGAAGCTACCGCAGCCACTCACCATTTCCGTCCAATACATCGAAGAGGGAGAGACGGCTCCGCGCGCAGATGCGCTAACGTTCACTGTTACCATCAAGTTCGTGCGTGAACTGGACATGAACACGTTGAATCAGTAAGCTTCTCGGCACTGTTCGTTCATGTCGCACTCAAATGTTCTCGGCAGGTATACCGAAGGCCAACCCGACGCCCGCGATAAAGACCTTCAACCAATCGTTTCCGCGCTGAATCTCGTCCTACAGCAGCACGCGTCCAGCACTGGTATACGCGTCGGCCAGAACCGGTACTTCTTCCGCGCGTCAGCGACGAGCCAGCCACTTGGCCTTGGGGTAGAAGCCTGGCGCGGGTTCTTTATGTCGGTGCGCCCGATGTACAAGCAGCTGATGGTAAACATCAACGTATGCATGACGGCGTTCTATACCCCCGGGAACCTGGCGGACGCGATGCTCGCGTTCCAGCGAGAGAGTTCGGGCGGCATGCCGAAGACTTTCGCGGAGAGGCTCAAGGTGTCGACGAAGCACTTGGGCTACATTCGCAAGAAGGCGATCTTCCGCATCTCCAACAAGACGGCTAGCCAGGCTCGCTTCGACTGCCAGGAACTCGGGGGAATGGTGACCGTCGAGCAGTTCTTCAAACGGAGTATGTCTCTGTGATCCTCTAACTCTTGCTAGCATTTGACTGATGTCTGTGTCAGAACATAATATCACGTTAAGACACGCTCACGACCTTCCCGTAATTGATCTCGGGAACAAGGACAAGTCCGTTCTGGTACCTGCGGAGCTCTGCGAAATCTTCCCGGGTCAGGCGTACCGGGGGAAGCTGAGCCCCACCGAGACTGCGAACATGATTCGCTACGCGTGCAACCCGCCTGCATTCAACGCCTCCGCAATCCGCGACCAAGGATTCGTCGACCTCGGCCTCACTGCCAACGCGCAAGGCGGCCCGCTGAACGGCTTCGGCATCAGCGTGAGCCCCGACATGGCTGTGGTGCCGAGCCGCGTGCTCCCCCCGCCCGGAATCGCATACTTGCAGGGCCGCCCGAACGTGCGCGACGCGAGCTGGAACATCCTCGACGTCAAGTTCCAGAAGGGCGGCAACGCGCCGAGCTGGGCCGTCATGCTCGTCGACGACGGCGGGCGGGACGAGTTCCAGGGCATCAGGGATCCTGAGCTCGTCGCATTCCTGCAGACGTTCAGCAGGAAGTGTGCAGCGAGCGGTATCAGCGGTGTCAATCGCCCGAGGAACGTTCTGTCCACGGGAAGGCTGCCTCGCATCGACCAGGACCCACACCGAAGGCAGGCATTGGCGCAGATCCGGCAGACGTTGGTGACTCTCATCGGGCCGCAGATGCCGGGCTTCGTGCTCGTCCTCCTGTCGAAGGTCGACAACTACATCTATCCGGGCATCAAGCGCTTCGGCGACGTCGAGCTGGGCGTGCATACTCTTCATATGCAGGTCGGGAAGGCGCGCGGGGACCTGAAGAAGCAGGACCAGTACTTCTCAAACGTCGCGCTCAAGGTGAACACGAAGCTCGGCGGGACGAACCACCTATTGGACGACCGCTCGATGCAGTGGCTGCGCAAGATGAAGACGATGGTCGTCGGGATCGACGTCACCCACCCCGGGCCTAGCAGCACACGCGGCACGCCGTCCATCGCCGCGGTGGTCGCTAGCTACGACGACAACTTTACTCAGTTCCCAGCTAGTCTGATGCCGCAGCAAGCGGACTGGAACAAAGATGCGAAGGAGGTGTGTGCCATCCCCACGTTGACTCCCCGTATAACGTTGATTCTGCTTGCAGATGGTTGCGAATCTTACAGCGGCGATGATCGAGCGTTTGCAGATGTATCAGAAGAAGAACAAGCAGCAGCTGCCGGAGAGGATCATGATTTACCGTGATGGTGTATCTGAGGTGCGACCTCTGCCTTTCTCCTACATGCTCATTCAGCCGACGTTCTATGGTTTACAGGGGCAATACGACCTTGTTCTGCGAGAGGAGCTTCCCTTGATTCGCGAGGCGTTCAGGAAGATCTCCCCGAAGACTCCGTATAAACCCAAGCTCACGATCACGGTCTGCGGGAAACGCCACCATGCCCGATTTCAAGCGACCAAGGAAGCCGACGCCACGAAGAATGGCAACACCAAGCCCGGGACCATACAGGATCGTGGTGTCACCGACGTCTACGGATTCGACTGGTACCTTCAGGTGAGTATCCGGGCGCTTCCGTGTCGTACGCAGGCGCCTAACGGGCGAGCCTGCAGGCCCATAATGGACTGCAAGGGGAGGTCCGCCCTACCCACTACTTCGTCGTCTACGACGACTTCCACTACGATGCGGATACTCTGCAGCAAGGCACGCATACGGCGAGCTACCTGTATGCGCGCGCTACGAAAGCCGTGAGTTTGGTGCCGCCTGCCTACTATGCGGATCTCGCGTGTGAACGGGCGCGGTTCTACCTCAACTCGTTGTTGAACCTTGGTGATGAACAGTCCTCTGTCGGGGGAAGCACTGGGGGGCGGAGGTCGCAGGACGAGGAGAAGCAGCGGGTTTACGAAGAGGCGATGCGTTTGTGGGGTAACGGCATCCATCCCAACCTCCGTGAGTCGATGTTCTATATCTAATGGCGTTGTGAGTTTGTGTAGAGTACGTGATGTACGATAGTCTGTATGTTTACTGTACCTGTGTGTAGTATAGAATGTGTCAGGACATACTAGATACCGTGTCTGTGTGCGGATGTCGTGTCGTGGTTCGCGGTAACCACATTCTACGCGCTTTTTCGGAGCCGTACTCGTCGGGTCCGCCCGAGGCGGAGAGGTGGGCGTTGATGTGGATCCGAAGGACTATCCCATGCGAACATTTAGTGGGGTACCGGTACATGACACGGCATGATTGTGTGCGTAATAACGTACATATTGCTCCTGAAAGGGTCATCCCTCTACGGAAGCTTAGGTGTCCAGTACAAGAACTAGCATATGGCAGAGAGCCGACGGATATGTTATTGAGACGTCTCCGGACAACATGCGAAAGGGCCGTGTCTGCACCAGAAACCTAGGTTCCGATGCAGGACGGCTCCACCAGTGAGTCGCCGGAAAGCCTGGGTTGCGTTCAACATAAGCTACTACATTGGGCATGGAGTAACTGAGAGGATATCGTCACAGTAAAACGACAGAACCTGAATCTAGCACCAGAAAAACAGCCCTGCGTTCAAGGTCATGGGAAAAACGAGCGCGTGGTCGGCAGTTAATTCGTAACCTACGATCAGGTCGTCAGCGCGCGAGCTCGCAAGAAGCACAAACCATTCTTCGAAGGACATCCAGACAAAGGACGTATAACAAAAGCCTACTCTGACTTGACTGTACCGGCTGTGTAGACAGGTGCTGCCAAGTGATGCGGACGTCGACGTCCGACGCTTTGCCTACTGTGGCGACTGTTTGTAAGAGAATCAATCGGTTTGGCCGGTCCCGACTCTGCATTGGATTTGTCAATCGAATTCTCTAGACTTGCTCTAGACAGTCATTCACACTTTGGGGATGAATGTCTCTTCGCCGCGGGCCGTTCGGAACATAAGAGCGCATTGAGCTGGTGGACGCGCGGTCTATCAGTGCAGACCATCGTAAACTGTAGACTAGAAGCAGCAGTGTCAGTTGGTATCAGTAGTTGAGAGTGTTTGAGTGATACGAGGCCCTTGTCCCCGCTACAGAGCACATGCAGAGGCTCTTCGGATATGTACGTGTAACAACGACTCCGATGGACTTCCTGCAGTGCCTCAGGTGGGTGAGAATTTGATGTACATTGATCGGTGCAAGCAATGCGACTCACGTCGTACTCACCAGAAGCTGACCAAGAGCACAAGTGACAGTCGCGCTGTTACGCTGCCCATCTTATCTCGTGCCAGTGACTCATACCAAACTGTGCATATAGTGGTCGGAGTCGGTATCAGGTACAAGCCCTCGTTCCGGTCAACATGGGATACAGTGGATTCCACTAACCAAGTTGCATACGGGCACGCGCGCAGAACACCGTCGACCTTGAGTCCAGTCTCGGGAAGCAAGTTGCGATCACAGCCTGTGCTAATTCGCGTCCGTTAGATTTGGTTATCTGAGTTGCAAAGACTATTGACAGTTTGTCATCGGACCTTAAAGCCTAGCATCACAGTTGTGGCGCCACCCCGATTCGGACCGATCTTCTTGTTTTCCCAACTTCAACGCTCTACTTTGACTCAACTGTCTTCTACCAGTTGGCTCCGACGGAGTTGAGATTCTTCAAATTGATTATTGTACCCTGCTTACTTGCTTGTCGGCCCGACCGTCCCAGATCTATGCGCCCGAAAGGCACTGCCACACGGACAAGGGTGCACCGTGGTCAATGGGCACAGTGCGGTGACAATCATCAGCCGCTGACCTACGTTCAAGTTGGCGTAGCGGCGCCTACGTGTCACTGCATAGCCTCTCGTCCGGACTCTACAGTACCAGCGGTGAGCAATTGCTCTGCGAGCAAGTAAGTTATACGTGTAGCTCTTTAATGAATTTCAAGTGTTTATACGAGTTAAAATTTGCTGAGCAGTGTACACTGTACAACGAGCCCTCGGCTCAGTACACATTGGGGCTGACGCTCGAACATCGCCTGCCAGGCATTGACACCGACGGACTCGGACAAGCAACCGGATTGTGGCAATTGATAGCGCACATTTCACCTGGAGTCATCCAACCACGCGTTTCGCCGCATAGCGCCTGTCGCAGTTCCTCAAATATTCTGACGTGGCAGGGGATACACTATACTACCTCCCTCCGTCTAATGGCATCGACTATCACGGCGTCGCAGTAAGTCACCAACGTCGCTGTTCGCCGTCCATTGACTCCTCATTGCTGCAGAGTCGTCGCCAACCACTGTATCAATGCGGCTATCAGTAAGTATTCATGCCATCTCGCCCCTAATGCTTACGAGTCCTAACACCGGCTGCCTCCTACTAGCCCTGTATTTCTATGAGCGTGTTCTGACCATTGGCCAGGAGATTGGTCTAGTTTGGAGGCGTGCATCCAGGAGCCTCTTCATGCTCGCTCTTTACGGCAGTATGCACGTTTTCACGATGGTCTATCTCCTACTGGAGATCGTTCTGTGGAGTTTCAGAAAGGTGACGATACTCTTCTTCTGTAGAATCAGTGTCTAACCTGATTGCACATAGGGGTCTGACAGCGTTCCATTACCATTATGACATCGCGGCTTACAGGGTTTGTCTGACTACATAGTGGAAACGTTGCATCAATCATGCAAAATACCAGCCTCTGTGCTCTGTATCTCATTTGGGGAGGTATGAGGTTCAGTGTTGTGCCTGTAATCATCATCATCATCATCATCATCATCTCATTTCGTCTACTCAGGCATATCGGTGTTACGTGTATATGCGATCAATGGGCGGAATAAGTGGACACCGTTGGCCACCATGGCCTTGTCACTTGTTCCTGTAGCAACAAACATTGTAGGTACCCACTCTGCTGTCAGCATAGAACTTCAGATTGACAATCACCTGCTAGGTTTCATCAGCCGACACAACCATGTCAACCACCACATATCTCCGGTACGTGAATGTTCACTGTTATCCGTTCGTGTCCATCTTCTTACGCGGGACTCAGATATACGCAGTCAAAACGTATGAACATGCCCGCAATTGATCAACTCTTGTGTGCACAATAGTCGAGACCGTCACCCGTGTCTGCGTCATAGCTGCGGACTCCCTCGTCTTATTGGAAACATGGCGCAATACATATGACCTGAACAAACTGGCGCGTGGCCTCACCATGAAGCCCTCTATCACGTCGCTTCTTCTAAGAGATGGTGAGGTTCCGAGCGTCATTGCTCTACCGACTTGACTAAGCAGGCTGTCGCACGGTTGGCCCCGGTTCATAGGTACTGCGTACTTCTGGTGAGGCTTATGACTTCCTCTGCTAGGTGCTACCTGATTAATGCTGTTTATTACAGTGTGCTGCTTACTGTGAACATCGTCGCCACAGTGGCGTGTGCGATCAACGTGAGCACGTCGCTAATATGTTACACAGTCAACTCACGAATTGGACAGCCCGTGTTGGAGATCGCTAATTTCTGTTTCGTGTGCGTGACAGAGCCTCTAATTGATGCAGGCCTTCGAATTGACAAGCGGAACCCAGGTTCAATACCATACTCCTCTCTCGGTTCTTCTTGAATCTCCGAGAAGCCTCCTTCCTACCTGAACCCGGCTCCACCTTGTCTACACTCTCTCAGACTGGTCTCCACGTCGCCGATGCATTACGGGTGCTAGGAGGATCCCTTACTGACCATATGGCCTCTTCGGAAGACGTACTGGACCACACTGGCGAGTCGATGCGTGACGTAGACGAGGAGGGAGAGTATCCGGAGGAGATAACAGAACGGCCAGCCCATTTGTCGAGCCTCGATCAGCAGGATTCCATTGACACAGCTGTCACAGCAACGGACCTCCCGATATCCAGAGAAACCAAACTCCATTGGTGTACGCTTATGCATGCCGAACTATAATCTTGTCGACGGTAATCATGTGAGCAGGTTCTCTTAGAGCAGTAACATCTCTAGTAACGGTATCACAGCGGGACATGCACGTATAACCGGGCGACATATAGTAGTAGTGCGCTAATCTCGCATGATATCATGAGTGTACATTATGATTGCCCGATAACTTAGTCCGAGGCGTTTCGCTCGACGCGCTTGCGCCACATGATCGTGTCGCGCACCTTCAAGTTCTGCCACTGGCACTCATGTCCTCACTAGCTTACATAACACTCGTTCTTGTTACAGAGCACACAGAGTGAGTAGTTAGTATTGTGCGAGCTAGTGAGGTCATGGAATGGCAGAAAGTACGCGACACGATATGCACTGCTCCGACTAAGTAGTCGAATATCGGGCAAGTTGCCCGTGACCGTAGCAGCGGTGAGCGCTTGAGCGTTGGGTGAGCGCGAAGTCAAGCGCTAACGACTTGTACAGCACCGTGACGCTGTCAGGGAGCGATGCAGATATACCGTACAGTCATTCGAGGTAAGTACGTCGATGCGTACTGTCCTTGTTCCGTGCTGAACTGATTGTATTACGCCATATCCACAGAAGTCGTTCAGCACGATGGTCCCGGTCACGCGTTTTGAAGGTTTATGGACGTTCACACTTCTCAGGCACTGGCACTGACTCTGCGGACCGTCAGGGAACATCAGCGGGAGCAGCGGCGTCGTCACACTGCCTCACTGCCCGGTCTCCGCTCCGGTGGCGGAATTTTGTAATCCATTACGCATTGCCCGACTCCGAGTTACTTACATATGACAGCGTATCAACGCCTTCGGTTCTTTTGTACAGTCTCGCGCCCGGAGAACCTCTCTCTGTGAGTGCTAATCCCCTCGGTGAGAAAGGAGATTCATTGGTCACGGCACGGCATATCAGTGAATTTGAAACCCGGAGGTAACATCATCTGCTGGGTATCGTATCGCGAGTCCTTTCCCTCAACGCCAGGCATTGACACTGACCGTGCCCAGTCAAGAAACCGAGCTGCCATTGTGGCGAAATCTTTCATTGGCGATGTATGTCTTCTACTGTAGTCAGGACTATTGATCCTGTGTCTCGTCTCACAGCGCTTGTTGCAATGCCTTAAGTACCAATCACGCAGTGGATACACCACCTCACTTTTCTTCCGTTCACTACCATGGCATCGTAGTAAGTTGCTGATCTTTCAGGGCTCTGTTCGGCGCCCATTGACTTAGATTCTATGTAGCTCTGTTCGCGACTACTGTTTTGATGCGGCTTTCAGTGAGCATTCATGCCGTCCCCGAGTCGCTATTACTAAACACCAACACCATCTTAGCCCTGTATATCTATGAGAGAGTCCTGAATATTGATCAGGAGATCAATTTATTATGGAGGCGCGGATCCAAAGGTTTCGTCATGCCCGCTCTCTACGCCAGTATGCACTCTTTCACGGCGCTATATCTCCTACTGGAGTTTGTTCCGCCGGAAGTATCCTGCAAGGTGACGGCACCCTTACTGCGTGGTATCTGTGCCTGACTCAAGTACACATACAGAGGTCTGACAACACTTCGCAGTCCGTCTCTCGGAGCACGACAGACTTACAGCTGTTTGTTTGCATACATAGCCAACACTCCGTGTCAATTCTGCAGCATGCCAGTGTTTGCGCTCTGTATCTCATTTGGGGAGGTATGGGGTTCAGATTCCTGCATGGATTCCTCGTCTCATTCACCCTAGGTATCTCGGCGTTACGCATGTATGCGATCAATGGTCGAAACAAGTGGACGCCTTCGGTTACGATGGCCTTGGCATTTGTGCCTGTGGCCATCAACGTGGTATACGTTCATTCTACTTCCTGACGGGCAGAGTTTGAACCGATGACTATACTAGCGTGTCTTCTTAGTGGACAAGAAGTGGACCGCCTCACGGCCTCCAGACTGCATCATCTACGAAGCTATCTCAAACACCACAACTTGCGAGTGCGTAAATGTTTGCTGGCGACCATCCCCATTACGATTCTCACGCACAACTCAGACGTACGAATTCTTTTCACATGCCTGCGCCCCCAATTAATGATCTTTTGTGTATACCGTAGTCGAGATCATCACTCGGGTTTGTTCCATTGTGGCAGACTCCCTCGTCCTAATAGAAACTTGGCGTCACACCTACGGCATCAACAAACTGGCGCGTGGCCTCACAACGAAGCCCTCCGTCACGTCGCTTCTCCTCAGAGACGGTGAAGTGCCGAACCATATTGCCCTATTACCTGAAGTAACTAAATCATCTTGCGAGTCCATAGGTACCACCTACTTCTGGTGAGGTCTTGTCGTTCCTTTGCTACTTCTGTTTAACAAACGCTGTGAGATCGCAGTGTACTGCTCACAGTAAACATCGGTTCCACAGCGCTGTGCGCAAAGAACTTGAACGTGAGTGTTAGTCACCATCATGATGCTATCAGTGCGCCGCTTAACTCACAATTCGGACAGCTTACGATCGAGTTTGAAAACTTCTATTTCGTGTGCGTGAGACGGCCTCTCAGTCGCGAGATGACGGATTGATCGCGATCTCAAACTACAGGCTCACTACTATCTTGCTCTCTCGGTTCTTTCTGAATCTCCGAGAAATCTACCTTCTACCCGACCCTGGCTCAAACTCGTCAACATTCTCTGATATCCGGTTCGCGGATGCATTGAACAAGCTGGGTGGATCCCTGGCTCAACGTTCAGACGATCCCGAGGGCGCGCTAGGCATATCAAATCTCAATGGCGCATCCACGTTTGACATCGACGAGGAGGGAGAGTTTCCGGAGTCGGAGGTAATAGAACAGTCATTCACTTTGTCGAGATTTGAACAACCCACTAGGGTCGTCGACTGACTCCGCGTTGCCTAGAGGAACAATTTCCTGTTGTGACGAGAGACAATACTGTATGTACGTAGCCTATGATCGTGTTGCACCTGAGAGTCAGCCACTGGCACTTCATGTCCTCACCAGCTTACACAACACTCTTTATATTGACAAAGCGCATAGGATGAGGAGTCGTGGTTGATTATCGGGCAACCGTGACCATAGCGGCGGTGCCAGTGAGCGCTTGAGTACTGGGTGCCATCAACGTATCCAACAAGCGCTAGTAACGACTTTGCACAGCACCGTGACGCTGTCCGACGAGCGATGCAAATATACCGTACAGTCATTCGAGGTAAGTGCGCCGATCCGTACTGTTCATGATCCGTGCTGAACTGGATGTACTTATCACGTTATATCACAGAAATCGTCGCTGAACGCAATGGTCCCGACTGTGTGATGTAGTAACCATTACACCCCGGAGACTTCGTCGGCGTTCCGAAGCGAGGCCCACTGGTAACTCGGACGGAGGAGCATCACTGGGCAGCAGTGCGGTTGACAGCTGGCGGTGGCCGCATCAGCGTCAGGCCACTGTCCTCCTGCGAACATCTCCATCACGCTTCGTCCGCGTCGCTGATGTGAGTGTATGCCAGTGAGCATCGCACAGCCTCGCGCCCGCGCCTTAAATGGCTGATGTTGCGGGAGCCTGAGTACACGGGGCTGCCTTCCTCCATCCAGCGGAATCGAGTACTATGGCATCGTAGTGAGTCATCAACGTCGCTAGGTCTCTGTTCAGCGTCCATTGACTCCTCATCATTGTAGCGTCGTCGGCAACTATTGTATCAATGCGGCTGTCAGTCAGTACTTATTTACGCTATCTCGCCACTGGTTCTCACGCCTAACGCCGACTGCATCCAGCTCTATATGCTTATGAGCGAGTCCTGACTGTCGACCGGGAGATCAATCTGGTTTGGAGGCGTGTATCCAAGGGCCTCGTCATGCCCGCTCTCTATGTCGGTATGCATATATGCATGATGGTCTATCTCCTGCTGGAGATCGTTCCGTGGGGTTCGGGCAAGGTGATACCACTTTCATACAGTCGAATCGGTTGCTAACATAGTTGTCCATAGAGGTCTGAAAGCACTCCGCTGACATTGCGACGCCGCGACTTACAAAGTTTATCTGATTGCGTAGTGAAAACATCGCAGTGAACACGCAAACTACCAGTATCTGTCTTCTGTATCTCATTTGGGGAGGTATGCAGCTCATTTCGTGCCTGGAATCATCATCTTATTTCGTCTACGTAGCCATATCGGCGCTACGTGTGTATGCGATCAATGGGCGAAAAAGGTGGACCCCGTTGGCCACGATGGTCTTGCTACTCGTGCCTGTAGCAACGAACATCGTACGTACCCACTCTGCTGTGTCAGCACAGAACTTCAGAACTTCAAATCGACGATTAGCTGCTAGGTCGAATCAGCCGATACAACCATGTCAGATGCCACGTATTCCCAGTACGTGAATATTCGCTGTTACCCATCACTGTCAGGGTTCTCACGCAGATCTCAGTCGTACGCAATCATAGCATATGGCCGTTCTCGCAACTACTGACCTCTTGTGCGCATCACAGTCGTGACTGTCACCCGTGTCTGCGTCATCGCGGCGGACTCACTCGTCCTATTGGAAACGTGGCGCAATACGTACGGCCTCAAGAAACTTGCGCGTGGTTTCGCGGTCCAACCGCCTATTATATCGCTTCTTCTCAGAGATGGTGAGGTGTCGAACAATTTATGCCCTACTGTCTTCGCTAAGCCGTCGTGTCAATCGCGCCGGTCTATAGGTACTACGTACTTCTGGTGCGATTTGCTCCTCGCTTCGCTACGAGCCACCTAATCAATGTGGGCAACCTGCAGTGTGCTGCTCGCAGTAAACATCGTCACCGCAGTGCTGAGCGCGCTCAACGTGAGCACGTCGCCAATATAATATCCGGTTGACTCACAATTCGGATAGCCTGTATTGGAGATCGCCGACTTTTGTTTCGTGTGCGTTACAGGGACTCTCATTTGCCCATCATGATTCCGAATTGACGATCCGCATCTAGGCTCAATACCATCCTGCTCTCTCGATTCTTCTTGAACCTCCGGGGAGTCTCTATCCTACCTGAAGCCGGTTCTACCTCGTCTACAATCTCTGATGCTCACTTCGCGGACTCATTGTGCACGCTAGGCGGATCCCTGGCTGAGCATAGGGGCTCTGCAGAAGACGTATTGGACGACATTGGCGAGTCCGTGTTTGATGTTGACGAGGGAGAGTAGCCTCCGGACGTAACAGAACGATTATTCCTCTCGTCGAGCCCCGATGAGCGGGGGCGTGTTGACACACTCCAAACCCAGTCGACGGACCCCACGATGCCAGACGCCGTTGACGTACACGTATGCATGCCGAACTTAAATCTTGTAGACGACGACCATGCGCTTTTTGCATTGAGCAGGTTCTCTTGGGACAGCATCTCTAGCGTCGGTACGCACTGGGACATACGCGTATAATCAGACAACATGTAGTGGTAGTGACGATAGTGTTGTTCTCGCAGGACAATGAGTTGCGATGCACTGACGCGTTGAAGGTTGTAGTTTCCGAGCAACTCGGCGTGCCCCAATTTCCTCTCGGACACGGCGACTGGTACTCAGCACTCGAAACCGTAAGTATGCTATTGAGCATATTCATCCTGAGGCCTGAGGACGCTATGTAAGTATTCGAATGGCTCGTCAACACCAGAATTTATCGCCGCGCATTGGGTGGAACCGCTGCGTGCCTAAATTACACCCCGAGGCAGGATTTCGCCGACGGCAGTAAGTACTACCCGCACAAATTGAAAGTGCTCTGTGTCACATCCGTTGCCAGCTGGTCGCATGCGACGGCACTGAGCGCTCGGTGATGCGCCGCACATGAACGGTGCCTGTGGCGCAGACTTGCCTCGGACCCGCTTTCGAACTCTGATAGCGGCAGAAAGTCGGTAATTTGGAAACTACGCCCCTACGGAAATAGCCGCCGTACGGAGTGCGCCCCTGCCCGATATGGAAAGTGGTGACACGGCGAGTCACCGCGTAGAGTCCTGCGTGCAGGTCGCTCCTGTCCATGTGTAGAATATGTTTTGAGACCATTTTAGGCATGCATGATGCGTTTAGTGCACAATATAGTTAACAGTTTGTAGTCCAGTAGGCCAATACCGCCTCGGTGCCTGATGTCACAGCGATGACAGCGTGACAAATCACTGTGACACAGACTGTGCCGCCGCCTTCGCAGAGTGGTGGTTCGTGTTCAGCTGCCCCCCCTGCACCCTCGACGACGCCCTCTGGTCTGCCGCATCTCTTCTGTCATCGGAGCAACAATGCTCACCTTTGGACAGGCCGCTGCACTCTACACCAAGCCGACCTTTTTGGACTGGACATGCAACACCTGTAGGCGGCCATTAGAGATCCGAGTGACGAAGAGTGACAAGAAGCAGAACCGTGGGCGATCCTACGTATTGGTGAGCCACGAGTCCGTCCATGCTTGAAGTCTCTGACACTTGTATCAATGTACCTCAGTGTAGCGCACCAGCAGATCACTACAAACCCGAACCGTGCAAGTACTTCCGCTGGGTCACCAGCCGCATTGATCTTCGCTTCAGAGCCCATTCAGCCGTCTCACCGAAGGGTATCGGACAGCCGACATGTCGTCTCACGAAACATGATGGGGTGGGCCGACGTTGGCCGACCAAAATTGTCTCACCAAAGAGGATGGGGTCGGCCGAGGCCAAGGCGGAGGCAGTCAAGACGGGCAAGATGGCCTTGCAAGGCGGTGTTTAGTAGATATTGTAGTTCATACTGACTGGTACTACAATAAAATTGAATGGCATGATAACACCAATGTTAGTGCAGTTGTGACCTTCTTGGCTCACCCAAGACATTCCACTGCCCGACCATCGGCTGGGCCACTGTTCCCAACCGATTCTCGCCTTGACCCAGCCGACCTTCTTAGAACCTTCTTGACTTACCCAAGCCAATCCACTGACCGACCATCGGCTGGGCTACTGTTCCAAACCGATTCTCGTCTTGACCCAGCCGACCATTTTGACTCACCCAATACAATGCATGAGCCGAGCGTCGGCTGAGGGGATTTTCCCAGCCGGTGTCCGTCTTGACAGGTATTCTATACATGAATATGCCGGTATAGCCTGATGCGCAGTGGAGACGACCCAAGGTCGACCTGCGGGCGGGGTGATCACGCGTGTGACAGGTCAGTCACGCCGGGGCGTACGGTCCGTAGTGCGGTCCGTACCCGTAGGGGCGCACTTTCCAATTCCGACATGTCCTCGATAGCGGCCGCACGGTGAGTCGGGATCGACGTGGAACTTTATGCGTTTGGGCCATGGCCGTCGGTCGCATACGTGCTCCGCTTTGTCGAAGATGCTGAAGCCATATTGACAGGTCGTGCAGGCGCTGTGGGGCAGTGGACGGCGCTCGGGAAGTCGGCAGTCGTGGTTGAGCAGATCGAGGTCTCGGCCCTCGGGAGCCAGCAGTGCGCGGCCAGTGCGGGTCGACCGACCCGTGACCCGCCCGATCATCACGACGGACCCTTCTAGGACCCCCGAAAATTGGCTGAAAGGCCAGATCCAGGACTCCCAGATTTTGGCAAAAACGTCTGGACGTCCGAACGCCAAAATGTCTGGATTGCCATCCGGCATGTCGGTCATGATACCTTAATTGTCTGGATTACGGAATCATGCCTCAGATTTTACGATTTTGTCTGGATTGCTGGATCAGGCCTTCAAATTCGTATTTTTTGTCTGGATTGACGGATCAGGCCTCTATAAAACCGATTTTTTTGTCTGTATTGCTCTTCTAGGGCTCTGGAGAGCATTCTCGACGGTGACAGTCAAACTACATAGTCTACTAATCCTCTTCCTAGGTTGATATTTGTATGCATTTCTGTGTCACTGAGTGAAAGGCATAGACTGTATCAAATTCTCCGGGACCATACAATCAATTTTAACCAACTGCGTGGCTGGCATTACATGGTGCTTCTCTTGGATGATGTCACCTTGCATTGAGTCCGTACGTTTGTTGAACTCGACAGACAGCAAGTCGCCAGTCAGGCATTGCCATACGGAGTTTGCTCGTAAATCGAAACACATATTACCAACATATTACACGTGAGGATGAATCATTTTAGGCACCGAATATTTACACATAAGACACCAGCGGCGCCACCGTCTCTATGTACTTGTCTGGACAGGTATCCGACCAGATCTACTATCAGGGAAATGTCTGGACTAAGAGATCGGGCATGACCACCAAATGGAGCTTTTTGTCTGGATTCCGATCCGGCCAAGGCCTAAAATTATCCAAAATCTGTCTGGATTAGGCTCAGGCCTTTCAGCCAATTTTCGGGGGTCCTACCCTTCTATTTGCGTAGAAGCCCTCAGATCTTAGATCTTAGATCCCAGATAGACTTTCATGCAAGCCTAAGCCCCACCTTCTCACAGATCGACTTGCCGTAGCAGCTAGCAACCGGCATGTCCTGGGGCTCGTATAAAAACGAGGCTGCCTCTACGTGCCCCCCGCACCCATTTTGAGCATTGGCATGGTCGACACGGATGCCGCTCTCCTCTATCAGCTGAACACCACCGCTGGCTGCCTGTTCGTCGGCGTCACGCTGACGTTGTGGTACGTCGCCTCGTCGCCTGAGCGATCGCAACTCATCCCTGTAAACCAGCCTGTACGGATGTACTTGCGCGCAAACACTGTACTATTTTCACAAGTATCCCCGCGATAGGACGTACTTGAAAGTACTGGTGGGTACCGTCTAGGGGATCATGATGTACTAGTACATACGCGTGCTGATGTGGACCCTTAGGTCGTGGTTGTATGGTATCATGTAATACTCCTCCGGTCTGCATAACCGTCGCTCACAACATACGCAGGCTGCTCGACACTGGCAAGGTAATGGCGGAGATCCAGGTACGTGAACCACGTTTACTCGCGTCTCCTTTCCTTCTAAAGCCTTGGGCGCCAGGAGGTTTGGCTGGACCTCGTCACACGGCATGGGAACCCACTGGCGCTCCTGGAGCTGGACCTGTGCGTTATCGACCTCGAATACCATACCGCATATCTGACTGATCGCATGACTCGCACAGCTGGCTTGGCGTAAGCTCGCCTGTAGTGATAGCGTATTTTCCGGTCTAACGCATGCGCATAGGTTGAGCAGGTCTTCGAAGTGCGTCCTGTGCTACGCAGACTCTGGCTTTGTGTCATTGACGCGGCACAATTTAGGATGCGACTCAGGCAGTAGTCGAACTGTGCGGCCCCCTTCTTCCCGTGCTCTCTGAAGACGTTACTAAAACTATCAGCGTGGACAATTAGCTTCTTCCTGCAGAAAGTATGGCATAGTGAGTCGTCGCGCCCGTCTCTCCGGGTCGCACCGTCCCGTACAAACGCCGCGCTCTCACACAGCGGCCCTGTTCCAATCGCAAAAGCTACTGTTTAGCATACTGGCGGTGCGTCGAGCGAGGAAACACCGACGTACCCATTGACGATGATGCTTCCCGCTAAGTAGGGTGGCCTCTTCCTCTGTGAGATTGGCACGTCGCTCGCCTTCATACGCGTGCTATGCTAATACGCGGTGGTTCTAGTATCCAACATCTGCACGTACCTTATCCTCGGCGTTCCTACAACATTGCTGACCTCGCCACGAACGCGATGCAGGGGTTGAGAACTGCCTGTGAGCCGCATATCCGTCATGATCTACCCGTGGGCTCATATCCTATAGCTTCACCGTAACCGGGTCCTTCAACGTCCAAGACGAATTCGTGCGTCGCTCCCCTGACAGGCTCGTCTCCCCAGACCTCTAGAGGCTCACGTCGACGGCCAGAACGCGTCCACCTTCTCCGGGACGGTCTGCATGGCGCTCGACATCTTGATCACAGCGATGCTCTGCTACGACCTGAACCTCCGGAGATCAGAATTCAGCAGGTGCGCGGTACCCCCTCTCCCATACGTCGGAGTCGTGTTCTGCCGGATACTCAGTCTCCTGCGGCAGGACGGACAACATCGTGTTGCGCCTCATCTACTACATCATGAGTCGCGGGATCTTCCTCTGGTGAGAGTCCGGTGTGTTCTGTCACCGCGACCGACTTCCGGTCTGACACCCGTCTCGACGCGCAGCTTCCTGCAGGCGGTCATGTTAGCCACCGTGAGTTCTCCACTGGTTTCGCCCATGACTCAGCGGTAATCGATCTTTTCCAGAACTCGGGCGTAGACAAGTACGAAGGCACGTTCACGTCCGAGATCGCGAGACCCGTCCTGGGCACAGGTGCGTTGGCCCACAACCCACACTCGCCGCTCACTCGCTGCTCACCCCCTGCCTCCGTCCAGCGCTGGCGAACTCGCTTCTCGTCCTGTGCGTCGTCTTCCTCACCACCCGCGCAGCGTCCCTGATAGCACGACAGCTTGAACGAGAGAGCGCACGTGCGAGAGGCCGTGGACAGGCTCATGGAGCCCTCGTGCTACTCGGAGCCCCTGGACCAGATCGTGTTCGAGCTGCATACGGTCCAGCGGGATATATAGGTATACCGATGCGCTGCTGGGCCGTAGATGAGGACGCTTGTATCCAGAGACGATGTAGCCAGCCTTGCCAGTGTGCCATCCCTGTTGCCACATCATTCAGTGTTCGGCGCTTCAGCGCGCGGCCGCTCAAGCGCTCGCTTGCAGTGGGCGCTTCCCGTTCCTCCTCCTCCCTCTCATAACGTCGAACACATCCCTTGACCAGCTTCAGAGTTGCCTCAGAACTGGATGGAGAGCACGCTGGAGCTGCATCGACTGGACTACGGCTCACCGGAGCTTGCCAACGTGCTACCAGAAGTGCTCCGTCTGTCCAACGCGATCTTCGACACGGACCCTCACTCAAAATACGCGTCGCTCGAGGAGTGGACACGACGCCTTTCCGCTCCTGGGTCAATCATAGCGTACCTGTCGCCCCCGTCAAGTCCAGCCCACCCGGTCGCCTTCCTGTTCGCGCATCCACGCCGCCACACGCCGCCCTTAGCGGGCGGCGAGACAGACAGCGTGCACGTCTGGCTGGCGGGGGTGCTCCCGGAGAGACGGAAGGAGGGCTGTCTGGCGCGGATGGTGGCTGTGCTGGGGTCTGCGCAGGTCATGACTGTGTGCACGACCCCGGATGCGTACCCGGTGATGTGGAAGTGGCTGATGGGGCGAGGGTGGTCGGTCGAGCGGGATCTGGGTGGCGGAAAGGTGATGCTCAGTAGACGGACTGGATAGCCATTTGGCCCCGAAAGGTTCGTCGGGGATCGGTGCCTCCACACTGCCCGTATGTATGGCTATGGCCGCACAGTTGATCTGGCAAATGTGTCCAACCCCCGTGCGTCCCTCCAGGCCAGCGGCGCAGTTGTCTCTACAAACGATACACACAAGACCAAGTGATACAACGAGTGACGCTACAGACATCCGCAACCCAACCCAGCCCAGACCGGCAGCGACTCACGCAACGGCCGCGGTCTTTTCATCCTCGGCGTCATCCCGGCTCAGCGCGCGCACCGCGAGCGTGAACTCCTCCATCTCGTGCTCGTCGCGCTCGCTCTTCTCCGTGCTCTCGACCGACGCCATGCCCGTGTTCGCCTCGCCCGCCTTCGCGCGCTTCGCCGAGCGGCGGCCTCGCCCGTCCTTCACGCGCGCGGCGAACGGGTCGACCGCGACCTGCGCGTGGCGCTCGACGGTCACGCCGACCCGCACGGGCTCATTTTGCTTGCTGAGGGTGATGTTCCGGTTGATACGGATGTGGCGGTCTTGAGGCTGGATGGGTTGTCAGCTAGCAGCCTGAGGAGGGAGGGGGATATACTCGCCAGTTGGTCGACGTCGATGTCTGTGACCCCGTTCCATGCGTCGCGTAGGTTTGCGCGGGAGTTGAGCATCTAGACGGATGAGATTCAATGCATGGCATGGCAGATGAGAGTTCAGAGAGCGCACAGCTAGGATGGACATCCTGGCAAAAGCAAGCGTCAGTCGGTGAAGCCGAGGACGGACATATTCACGAACGTGTAGACTTGGCCTAGAGGCTGGGACAGAAAAGGAGCGTTAACAACCTGCCGTAGCGTCCGCCCTAGACGATGACGTACAATCGCAGCAATCAGGAACCAATTTGCTGGGAATGTGGTTTTCTGCATTACGCATGAGCTCTGCGAGGACGGGACGACGCGCGATAAGTTAAGGACGCGCGACTCACAAACACGATGATATCTATGAACTACAAGCACAGTTTGGCGCAGGATTAGTACCTGTAGACCATCGAGTTTGCGGAGCGTCACTTACTGAAATCAATGCGTTCAGAAGCGGTGAATGGACGCAAGTGAGCACGAGGCGTCGAATGATCGTGTCCGTCCCTGTAGATGCAGGTCGTTAGTTGGCTAGTCATGATAACGCCTGCACAACTCACGCTTGAAGCCCGTCCGGTGCTTGAGCAGATAGTATAGCAGCAAACCCCTACCAATTCATGTGAGCGAGCGAGCGACACTGACGGTGCAAAAAAGACACGCACGCAATCATGACGTTGACGAATACATTGAGACCAATTGTTGTCTGAATCATAGCTATCCTCGCGTCGAGCGAGATGAGACTTCTGGAAACCGTCGGATGCCCATAAGTAATAGTACGATGCATGAGAAGGCGTGTCACTGACTCGGCCCTGGACTTGTTCGTCAATGCCACGAGGGTCGTGCTAGTGTTCACAAGGGCTATCCCGCTGGCGGCGATCGAGCACAACGAAAGCAGACCGAAGAGGATCCACGACCGGCTGAAGATTCTGACGCGCCAGAGGAAATATTGCTGCACCGAGACGGAGATGCTATGTCGTCCCCACGCCTGTGTCAGCTCATGCGTGGGCGGAAAACGTTGGACTCACAGGGCCATGATGATACCAATGGGGGCCGTGTTCGCCCACGACTGAATCGTCAGCGCCTGGTAGTTCCCGAAATTTTGCACAGAGAAGAACCAGACGGAGTAGATCGACATGCATTCCTGGACCGTGGACATGACAAAGAGGAACGCCACCAGGGACCTATAGACGTGAATTCCATACCTCAACGCGCACGCTAGCTCGGACACTCACTGCGTCGACCACGGATCATGCTTTCGATAGCTCAGGTAGGTGATGAACTGGTTCAAGTCCACGCCGTACAGGAAGGTACCGAGCACAGTTCCTAGCATGACCGGCGCGTAGTACTCCCGCACGCGCAGCTGGCCAGTCGCTGGATCCAAACTGTCAGCCATGGTTGGCTAGCGCCGACACACGCAGAGCGCAAGGCGGGCGAATTCGATGCAAGAGGACAGGGACACGTCGTTCTGGAACTCGGGCTGCAAGGAAAGGCGGGAGAGGGGTATGAGAAGGCGGGAGACTTCACATAAGAACCGCAGCGAATGAAAGGCAGGTGGAGACGGGTTCATAGAGTATCGAGGTGAGTTTTATGGACCCGGTGGCGGGAGCCTCGGAACGAGCATGGAAGAGCGCCGTCCTGAGCGCAATATCTTATCCGCGGCTTCGGCGGGGCCGGCAGGTCATCCAGCGGAAGCGTCGCATTGAGACGTAGCTGCCAGTGGATCATTTCGCGATATGATGTATGTACGTGCAGGCCGGCTTGAAATTGAATTTTGATCTCTTCGGGATCAGCGACCAATGACCTGTCGAAGCTTATCAAGTTCGGATGCAGTGAATTTGTCCGGGAGTGTTTCGTACCGTGGTGACCAAGTGACTGGTAACACTAAAGCTCGTTAAGAAATCCTACCTGACGGTGCTGACGGTTCAAAGCCCGCAATACTGTACGACCTATACCACATGAGTGAGCTCGTGTCCCAAGCTGACCGCAAACTTGCCGTCGACAAGTAGTATAGCGCTGTATTCACGTCGAATTCCAGTTCAGTATAGTCATGTTCAACGCGGGTGCAATGCTTAGCGCTGATGGTGGCAATGCCTTCTATGCATGGAGGAGCGGTTGTCAGCGCCTATGTGGAAGCAGCCATCACATTCTGGCGGAATCGTACAGATACAGAACGCCACTTTGATGTCATTTCGGCTACCCGGGCCTGCGCCCTAAAGGCTAAAAGAGCCTTCTGAGTTCTCCACTCACGAATGTGTCTGCTGGGTATCCCCGTGTTTCGCGTTAGGCAATCAGGGTCCAGGAATAGCAGGTCAACTTTCACGGACAATACTCACCGGACATGCAACCCCTGGTCCAAGTACCGTGTGGAAGTAAATCAGTAGTCACCCGTATGATGACATAGTTCCTTCGGCCGAGATTGGAAAAGACAACGGGAACAACCGTTCACCGGGCAACGACTCGCCAGTCCAACGTCAACCTCAGACCCACTGCAAAACCACTATTATCAAGCTTCGCCTCACGGTGACCGTGGAATATTGACCGCAGCCTTCAGAGTCCTAATTTCTAGATACAGGCTGTATCTAGAAGTTACATCGGGGAAACTTCACAGCCGCGTTGCTGCATATAGGCATGGCCCGCATGGGCAGAAGGGTGCGATCAACATCCCATTGACAGCTCATATAACTGAGAGACGTACCGCTAGTCCTCCTTCACCCAATCCCGCACGAGACCATTGGCCGAGATCGGCGCTCCACTCTCTTTGACCGCCTGCGCGTCGGTCTCTTCCTTCGTCGGTTCAACAGGTTCTGGATGGACACCCCAGCCTTGCATGATGAAGAATATCCTATCGTACACCCGGAGTCAGTCTCCTGCGATGCAGTTGCTTGAGAAGACGATACGCGACGCACCACTTCAGCCTATCCAGCCGTAAAACGTGGAAGAGAAGGACCCAAATCGCTGTATATTATGATGAGCGAGAACCGGTGAAGGTGAGCAGAGGGCACGCACTGAGCTCCATGTAAGTGAAGAACCCAAGCGCGCCTCCCCGCGCGCCGCGCTTGACGAACCGGAGGACGTCCACCCAGAGCTTCATGTCTTTCGGGGCCGGGCGCGCGTCCTTGTCCATCAAGAACGTCAGGAGGATACGCATATCTAGGCGTACGATAAGCGGGTGAGCGCATGATAAACGCCGAGTCAACTCACATATTCCGATGTGGCTGTAGGAGTGGTGGGTGCGTCATTATTCAGTATACGCACAACTCACCATTGCTACTCACAAGTGCCCGCTTTGTGAATGGTCATCTCACATCAGTTACGACCGCGCTAACGAGATACGAAGGGACACTCACACAGTACCTGAACATTTGTCAGCACCAAGACGTCACCGCGCGCGACACACGTAGTGCTCACCAATCGCATTCACATACGAAGAGTTCGTCAACAACACCGACCAGTCCTCCGTCGCGAAGTTCTGGAGGTACAAATTCGGCCGCTGGGTACGCGCACACCGTCAAATCCCCCTCTACCCGCATACACCCCGCGACGGACTTACATCATACGTGTCAGGGAACAAGTCCTCCGGCAGAAACCCGACGTCCGGCTTCTTGAAGCCCGTAGCGAGGACGACCACGTCCGCCGGGAACTGCACCACGTCCGCCCGAGTCAGTGCGCGCGTTACGTTATAGCGGAGGCATACGCACTTCTTCCTCCTTCCCTTCGTCCCCCGGCTTCGACGACCGCCCGCGCACGCTGACCTTGACTCCACCGCGGGTCAAGCCTTGCGTGTCCCCACGAATGTACCGGCATCGTCCTGCACGTATATGGTTCAAGAACTCGTCATTGACGACCTAGTCAAAACCTCAGCCTGAGTCGCTCAGCAGGGTTTACAGGGAGTGATGCGCACCGGAGTGCCCTGGAACAATCCGAGCTGGGCAGGCGTCAGGTGCTCGATTCCGTGGTAGTTCCAGATGGTAATGAACTTTTCCCAGAGGAAACTATCGACGACGGCGACGAGTAAGCACGCCAAGCCAACCAGCCTGCAGGGCGATATTCGTACGTACCTCAGCGGCATTTCGCGCCCAAACGGCTGTGCCGAGATCAACGTGTCGATGATCATGTTCCTCGGGATGATCCACTGTACGCCCACAGCCATCCGTCAGCGCACACAAGTCGACCACGCAACACGCGCATACACGGACCTTGTCCTGGCGCGCGACAATCACGCAGTCCTGCGCGCCCCGCGTCAGTGCCGCCTCCACCGCCTCCACGCCACTGGCACCGCTGCCGATCACCACGACGCGCTTGCCCGCGAGCCGCGCGTCGTCGAGCTCCGACGAGTGCAGCAGCGTGCCCGCGAACGTTTCTTCGTCGCCGTCACCGCCCCCATTACTCTCGCCCTTTCCTTCAGCCTCGTCCTCGTCCTTGATCTTCTGGGTGTGTTTCCTCTCCTCAGAGTCGCCGTCCGTGCCCGAGTCCGTCTTGCTCTCGTCATCATCTCCCTTGTCTTGTGCGGCGCCCTCTAGGGTGCGCGCCTCTTCCTGGCTGTGCGCCCGCCGCGCCTTGATCTCCTCCATGTCCGGCATCCCCGGGAATTTGACCCACTGCGGCTCGCCGCACGTCCCCACGGTCACGACGACGGCGTCGAACACGCCGTCCGCGCCGTCGTTCACAATCCAGCGTGCGTGGCCTTGTTGATACGGGTCGAGCTCGTCTACGGTGTAAGAGGGGTGAACGTGGGCAGGCGGGACGGTTGAGGACGGAGGGTATACCTTCTTGGACCCCGTCTAGCTCCTCGGGTGTCGCGCGTCGGACGGACGTGACGCGGGTGTTGTAGCGTGTGCGGGACTCGAGGTGGTACTCTTTCCATATTCTACGGATCTCTGGTGAAGAGCGACGCGTTACACCGGGGTGAGTCTGCAGATCGGGATGAAGGGGTCGATGTATGCGCACCTGACAGAATCTCGTCGCGTCTGGGAAAGGTGCCGCTCCAGAGTACGCCGGGTGGAAGCGGTAGAGGAGCGAGTTGAGCTGGAGGCCGGAGGTGGCGTTGACGTGCGCCCAAATGCCGCCTGCAAGTGGTCGAGAGGATGTCAGCTTTTGGGGAGCCCAAGCAGTAGCGCACGTACCTGTCGAATCGCTCTGCTCATAGATGACTACGTCGAACCCGTGTGCGATTGCGTGTGCTGCACTCGATACGCCTGTGAGCCCTGCGCCTAAGACGGCAATTCTGCCCCGAGGTTTAAAGTTCTCGGGGGTACTGTCTGAAGAGGCGGATGTAAGAATACACCATGCCGAGGATCGCTTGGCCGCGCAGGAAGGTGCGGACAAAAGCGCACTCACCGGTTTGAAGAGCCATATGATGACCAGCTCGACCAAGACGTAGAACGCGTCGAAGAGTAGACGTACGACGCGAGCGGGAGAAAGGAGCGTTTTGAGGTCGCCTTTGCGCGCAGCGCTGAATGTGTTGTGGGCAAAGCGCGATGCATTTCGCTTTTCCGTGGCGAGAGCAGACATCATGGTCTGCGGTGCTCGTTGGTTGGCGTTTGTGGGAAGGTCTTTATGGACGAGCTGTTGGACAAACACTTGTTCGCGTTGGCCATTTCAGCACAGGTCGCTGTGGGGCAAGCAATCACATGCGGGGCTGCGCGACGATGGGCGGCGAAAACGCGTGACGTCATCCCTGTGTCGGTGGCTTGCAAGGTCTTAGGTGACGTAGCGTGCCATCCACGATGGGACGAGGCAGGCAGTTGCCACAGTACTTACTGTACAGGACGCGCGTAGTAGACGGGAAACGGATATAGCCATCACGAGACAACTATGAGTGCTTGAGTATGTAGTTGTACGAGTCAGGCTGTGTACCGAGGTCCGACATGCGTCCCAAGCACAACTGATTACGTCAGCATGTGGCGTGTCGATACGGAGGCAAGTACTATATAGTACTATGATAAGTATGTCGTCTAATTATACGCACATGTACCACTGTGGTACCGATACTACATATGTCGTTCTTTCCCTGCTCTAAGAGAACCTGCTCGACGCAAGACTTGAAGCCCGTGATGATCTACAGGAATAAAGCTCGGCGTTCACGAGTGTACGTCAACAGAGTTCAAGTTGGTTTCTCTTGACATCGCGGGGTCCATCGACTGTGCTTGAAGCGTGTCAACACGCTTATCGGGAGTCGACGAAAGGGATGACCGCTCTGTTATCTCCGCCGGATACTCCCCCTCCTCGTCAACGGCACACATCAACTCGCCAGTGCGGTCCAATACGTCTTCCGAATCGTTGATATGCTCAGCTATGGATCCGCCTAGCGTGCGCAGTGTGTCCGCGAACCGGATACCAGAAAATGAAGGCGAAGTGGAGGCGGTGTCAGGTAGGAGGGAGACCTCTCGGAGGTTCAAGAAGAACCTAGAGAGAAGGATGGTGGTGAACCTGGATACTGGTCGTTAATTCGACGACCTGCGCCAATGAGAGTGTCCGTAACTTACACGTAACAGAAATCGGCGATCTCCAATATAGGCTATGCGAGTTGTGAGTCAACCGCATATCATATTGGCGACGTGCTCACGTTAATCGCGCTCAGCACTGCGGTGACGATGTTCACTGCGAGCAGCACACTGCAGGTTGACCACGTTGGTTAGGTAGTAGCGAAGCGAGAGGTAAACGCACCAGAAGTACGTAGTACCTATGGACCGAGGCGATTCACATGACGTTTGAATGAAAGCAGTAGGGCAAAAATGTTCAACACCTCACCATCTCTGAGAAGAAGTGAAGTGATAGACGGTTGCATCTCGAGACCGCGCGCAAGTTTCTTGAGGCCATACGTGTTACGCCACGTTTGAAATAGGACGAGGGAGTCCGCGGCGATGACACAGACACGGGTGAGAGTAACGACTAGGCGCGTAAGAGGTCAGTAGTTGCGAGCACCATCCAATGCTATGATTGCGTACGCCTGAGTTCTCCGTGAGAATTCTGACGATGATGGGTATCAGCGACTATTCACGTACTGGAAATATGTGGCGTCCGACATGGTTGTATCGGCTTGCGAGACCTAGTAGCTATCTGTCGATTCGAAGTTCTCTGCTGACAGCAGAGCGGGTACGTACGATGTTGGTTGCTATAGGCACAAGTGACAAGGCCATCGTGGCCAACGGTGTCCGTTTGTTCCGCCCATTAATCGCGTACACACGCAATGCCGATATAGCTAAACGAAGTGAGATGACGATTCCGGGCATCAAACTGAGCTTCATACCTCCCCAAATGAGATAGAGGGCACAGATACTGGTAGTTTGCGTGACTTCTGCGATGTATCCACTAGTTTGTAGTTAACAACGTAAGCCTCGGTGTCATAATGCTGCTGTCAAACCTCTGTATGGGCCATCAGCTCAGAAATTGATTTTTTCAAATGAAAGTGTCATCACCTTTCCAGAACCCCACGGAACGATCTCCAGTAGGAGATAGACCATCGAGCAAATATGCATACTGACATAGAGAGCGGGCATGAAGAGAAGCTTGGGTGCACGCCTCCAGACCAGATTGATCTCTTGGTCGATGGTTAAGACTCGCTCATAGAAGTACAGGGCTGGGATGCAATTCGAGTCGGCGTTAGAGGTTCGTAAGGCTACTAGTATCGAGATAGCATGGGTACTGACTGACAGCCGCATTGACACAATAGTTGTAGACGACGCTGCAACGATGAGGAGTCAATGGACGCCGAACAGAGACCTAGCGATATTTATGACTTACTACGATGACATGGTGGCCAATTCCTCTAGCGGAGAAAGATAGCACGGTGTACTCTAGCTCCTGCGCCTTCCAGGTTATATAAAGGGCTTCAACAAGCGCTACGGCCAAAAGAAGTCATGAAGGGAAGATTGCACATGTCAATCACCAGTATAAGCTCGGATTCCTGCAATCTGTCTGTCGATGCTGATTCGTGGCGATATTAAGCTTCAGCAATGAATCGAGGGCTCGTGATACGGTACCCGTGGACATTCCACTCGAATATACGTGTCGTGCTCTTGCATTTCAGGACATACTTACTCACCTAGTGATTCTGTCATTTCCTGGAGAGGTCAGAGACCCCGCGCGAGGCTGTGTGATGCTGGTACACTCGCGTCAGTGACTGACTCCAACGAAGCGTGATGGAGAACGATGTTTCGCTGACAAACAGAGGCCTGACGCTGAGGCGGCCGGCGGCGGCTGGTGGCCGCAGTACTGCCCAGACCCTAGTGCTCCGTTGTCGGATTGCCAGTGCGACTTGCTTCGGAACGCTCATGAAGCCTTCGGGGTATAAAGGTCACAGTTAGGACCATTGCAGTCATTGACCGACGACTCCCTCGCAGGCTGTGGATACAACGGAACACATTCAATTCAGCACGGAACAATCACAATGTGTTGGCGCACTTACCTCAAACGACTGTGCTGTATATCTACGTCGCTCGTCGGACTGCTGTGCAAGTCAAGTGCAAGTGGGTGCATGTCGTTAACGCGTTCAAGTTAGCAGAGCGCTTGAGCACTGGCACTTGCTCAGATCGGATCGGTACGAATACGTTGGCGCTTACCGCAGCTACGGCTGCCCGAAAGTCCGAGTCCGAGCTAGACGTTTCGCGAGATATCGCGTCCGAATCGCGAACTTTCTGCTACTTCGTGTCCTCACTAGCTCGCACAATACTCACTCAATGCGCTTTGGAATGATAATGAGTGTTGTGTAAGCTAGTGAGGACACAGTGAAGTAGCAGAAGGTCACGTCTGAGTCATGGTGCGCGATGGCACGATCATGATGCTAGGCTAGCGCGAAACGCCTCAGACTACTAAGTACGCAGCCGTAATCGAAACGCCTTATATCATGCGAGAATAACATTATCATCACTACTACTATATATTGTCCAATTACACGTGTATGTCCAACTGTGGTACCGATACTAGAGGCGTTGTCCTTTTTCTGTTCTAAGAGAACCCGCTAAATGCAACTTGAAGAAGCGCATCACTGCCGTCTACAAGATTCAAGTCTGGCATGTATATGTGTACGTCGACAAAGTTTGGTTTCTGGACATCGTGAGGTCCATCGACTATGCTTGAAGTGTGTCAGCCCGCCCCTGCTGATCGAGGCTCGACGCCGAAAGGGATGGCCGTTCTGTTATCTCCGCCGGATACTCTCCCTCTTCGCCAATATCAAGCACGGACACGCCAGTGTGGTCCAATCGGTCTTCCGGATAATCCATATGCTCAGCTAGGGATCCGCCTAGCGTGCGCAGCGCATCGGCGAAGTGGAGACCAGAGCGTGTAGACGGAGTTGAGCTGAGCTCAGGTAGGTAAACGACCTCTCGGAGATTCAAGGAGAACCTAGAGAGCAGAATGGTAGTAAACCTGGAGTACGGTCGTCAATTAAAAGGCGCGCATCGATGAGGCTCTGTCACGCACACAAAACAGAAATCAGCCATCTCCAATACAGGCTATCCAAATTGTGAGTTGACTCAGCATCATAATGGCGAAGTGCTCACGTTCTTCACGCACAGCACTGTGGCGATGATGTTGACTGCAAGCAGCACGCTGCGAGTCAACAGCATTGGTCAGGTAGGACTTAGCAGAGGAAGTCATAAGCCCCACCAAAAGTACGTGGTACCTATGGACCGGGGCGAACCGCATGACGCGGACGGCTTAGCCAAGTTGGTAGAGAAATGACGCTCGGAAACTCACCATCTCTGAGAAGAAGCGACGTGATAGAGGGCGTCGTGGTGAGGCCGCGCACTAGTCGATTGAGGCTATATGTATTGCGCCACGTTTCCAATAGGACGAGCGAGTCCGCAGCCATGACACCGACACGGGTGGCAGCCTCGACTATAATATGCGCAGGAGGTCATCCACAGTTAGTACGCGCATAGCGATATATGATGAACGCATACCGCTGAGTGCCGCTTGACCGCAACAGCAAACGTACTGGGGATTCATCTGGGTTGCATCGACTAATGAAAACTAGCAGCTAATTGTCAACCTGGAGTTCTGTGTTAAGAGCAGAGCGGGTACGTACGACGTTGGTTGCTATAGGCACAAGTGAAAAGGCCATCGTGGCCAACGGCGTCCACTTTTTCCGGCCATTGATCGCATACACACGCAGTGCCGATATAGCTAGACGAAGTGAGATGTCGATTCCGGGCACAAAACTGACTGCATACCTCCCCAAATGAGATAGAGGGCACAGAGAATGGCAGTTTGCGCGAGTGATGCGATGTATCCACTGTGCGATTCCCGTAAGCCGCGGTGTCATCAGGTAGTGGAGTGCTGGCAGACCTCTACGGGTAATCAGATTGAAATCTGATCCTACTGAATGAGAGTGTCATCACCTTCTCAGAACCCAACGGGCGATCTCCAGTAGGAGATAGACGATCGTGCAAACGTGCATACCGTTGTAGAGAGCGAACATGAATAGATTCCTGGATCCACGCCTCCAAATCAAATCAATCTCCTGACCGATGGTCAGGGCGCGCTCATAGAAATACAGGGCTAGGATGTAGCCCGCGTTAGGAGTAAGTATCACTGGCGAGATAACTTAGCATGGATACTGACTGATAGCCGCATTGACACAATGGTTGGCAACAACACTACAACGATGAGGAGTCAAAGGAAGCCAAACAGATTTAGCGACATTCGGAGTGACTTACTATGATGGCATGGTATTGAGTCGATGCCGTTGAACGGAGGAAGGTACTGCACAATATACTCCCGCAGATCGGTTTTAAGGAGTTTCAACACGCGCTATGTGGTCAACACGAGCTCCGAGGAGAAGAAGGGCGATGTCAATCGCCAGTGCGCCACAGCGCGGCCTGCCCACCCGCCGGTGGTGACCTTAATACACGATGTTCGAGCTTCAGCAGTGGGTTGAGGGTTCGTTGTACGGTACCTGCGGATGGTGGCTCGAGTATGTGACTCATGCTCGTGCATTTCAGAGGTATCCATACTCACGAAGTGATACATATATTTACTGCGAATCTGGGAGTACCGGCGCGAGGCTGTGCAATGACACGTAGACGCTTGGGAACTCGCGCCAGTCACGGTGACTGGCTCGAACCGACGCGTGATGGAGAACGAAATCGTACCAACGCAAAGGCCTGACGTAGAGGCGGCCGCTGGCGGCCGCATTATTGTCTGGCGGTGCTCCCTTGTCTGTGTGCCAGTGGGACTTGCTTCGGAACGCTTATGAACCGGGATGTAATGGCACAGTGAGAGCCATTGTCGTCAACGACGACCTCTGTAGATACAACGGAATATATTTCGTTCAGCACGGTGCATTCCAGATACGTTGGCACACTTACCTGTGCAGTATACTTACATCGCTCGTAGGACAACGTCGCGGTGCTGGGCAAGTCGTTAGCGCTTGCCCGGGTCCGATCGGTACGAATACGTCAGCGACGAGCGTTCACCGCCATCGAATTACCAGGATAGTTTAGCCAAAGTTTAGCTACACAGATCTAGAGGACACCACGCGGATCGTCGATTACATCTCCAGAGCAGTGGTCTCTTGCAGCACGCGAGTCGGGATCAGTACTTATTCGACTGTGTAGATCTTCAGCCAAGCGTACAGGAACCCCGCGCGCGGCGCCGTAGTAGGCCCGACGCGTCGGGTGTACTAGTTTCATACCCATGCATACACGCGTTGAGTAGCAGTGCGTTAGTACGATCTATCGTCCTCACGACCTGCTATTTGCCTGCTATCTCAAGCCCATAAAAGTGCGCGCCCCACTCGCATCGCAGAACAATGGAAGGTCGACCGGGACCGGAGTCCTTCTTCCGCTATCATCGACAGCCACTGAAGACCGTCTACCTCGTCTGCTATGCACTCTCCGCCCTGTGCGTCCGCCTCCCGTACTTAGACTACGTCGTCGCCGCTGTGATACCCGCGCTGCGCCCCCGACGGACGTGGTCCATGAAGCGAGCGTTCATGGTACCGCTCATGCGCGTAGGCATCGCGCCACTGGTCATGGTTGGCTTCTCCGCGGAGCAGGAGCCGGAGGACGTGATGCCGACAGCGAAGGACGAGGAGAACGGGTTGGTCGCACTCCCGCCGGTCGAAGATAGGTTCATCATGGGCGAGGTGAAGGAGATCGCGGAGCTGAACGGTGTGAAGGCGAAGCGGACGTTCGAATACTGGTACAAGTCTGCGGACGTGCAAGGAACAGGGACCCACGAGGCGAAGGACGATGAGCTAGTCTATCTGAACTTCCACGGTCAGTCGAGAAGATCGCTTAGAGTGGAAGTGAACTCATACTAGACGTAGGGGGCGGATACTGCATGGAAACCCCCAAACCCAGCGGCATGGCTGTCCCGCCCGTCTGCAGCGGCCTGCTCAAGCATTGCTCCCGCATATCACGTATCATCTCTCCCGCCTACCGCCTCGTCTCCTCTCACCCTTTCCCGACCAAGAACCCGTTCCCCGCCGCCCTCCTCGACGCACTCGCAGCCTACCACTACCTCCTGCATACCGCGGGGTTCCGCGCGGAGAACGTCATCGTCAGCGGCGACTCCGCGGGCGGGCACCTCGCTGTCGCGCTCCTACGCTACCTCATTATAAGCAATTTACCTGAGCTCCCCGTGCCCGGCGCCCTGCTGCTCATCTCACCCACGATCGAGTGGGCGCTCACGCACGACTTGTACGGTTCATCCTGGTGGGAGAACCAAGCGATGGACATGTCGATGCCATTCTTAGCTTCGGAGTACACCGCGAGAGGTCTGGCGGGTAAACTCCGCGCAGATGCGATCCGTAGGAACGCGTGGATTGCGCCGGCCTCGCGCGACCTGCCGCAGACGGAAGACCTGTTCGTGGGCTTCCTGAGGACACTACTCGTGCGTGGGGAAGCAGAGACACAGAGGGACGCAATGCGAACGTTCCGGGATAGGCTGGTCGGAGATGTGGGAGAGGAGAATGTCACCTATAAGGAGCTGACGGACGTGTCGCACGACGTGATCGGGACGCCGTGGGACGACGAGGACAAGGTGCTTACCTTCAAGATGATAGGTGCATGGACTCAGAGCTTATCTATAGCTCATTTGAGCAGCACATACCGTGTCGATTGGGTGTACACGCCTCGAATTGTACGACGTGGTGCATATTCAAGTTGCTGCGACAGAGACGCAGCGTCACCACGTGGCACCATAAGAAACAAGCAAGGGGTCGTTTGGCGCGGTTTCTCCGAGCCCCAATGGCGGTCATATCGCCCAGACTCCAGCCAATCTGGCGAACGTGACGGAGGAGGAGGAGGAGGAGGATGGGCTCCATATTGTTTGCCCGAGTTGGGTATGAGTGTAGGTTGTCAACTCTGCTTGCATTCCGCGCAAGACGCGTTGTTTGGTATTCTAAGCGAAGCGAGGCACGAGCGTCGCGTAGAAGTGAGTCTACGCATGCAGGAGGAGATTTAGGCGTGCATCGCTCTCCTCTGCGCGCCCACTCGGACGACCGCTCTCGAAGGCTCCGCGGCTGCTACGCCCTTCGAATAGCTCTCGTTTTCTTCCACTAAGACTACACCACTTGTAGCTTACAGGAAGGGGACTATGGTACAACCTTCGCTCATCAATCCCGATGGCGACGAAGAGCCGGATTATGTGAGCAACGACCAAATGATTGTACCACTCACAAATGCGTGGAGGATGGTCAACACAGAGTCGTAGTCTCTGTCTCGCAAGCTCGTCCGACATGAGCATCCAGCTGAGCGAGCAGCGGTTGCCATTGTGGACTGTCCGACTCCGAGTCCTTCGACCGCCGCCCAGTGCTCCGTCACCAGCGCTCTCGCTCACTGGTCGCCGGGCGGGACCAACCCGCTGAGTTTCTTTCATGCTGCACGCAACACGCTTACACTGGCTCGCGTCGGCACGAGCATCGCTAGCTCGTGTCATGCACACGCGAGTCAGGCTGGAGGCAACATGCTTACACTGGACGCAGTATGCTTCACTGGCTCGTGTCAGCACGAGCTCATAGCCAGCGAGTGTCACACACGAGTCAGGCTGGACGCAGCAGGCTTACACTGGCTCGCGTCAGCACGAGCTCATAGCCAGCGAGTGTCACACCGGGTCAGGCTGGACGCAGTATGCTTACACCGGCTCGTGTCAGCACGAGCTCATAGCCAGCGAGTGTCACACACGGGTCGGGCTGGACGCAGCACGCTTACACTGGCTCGTGTCGGCACGAGCATAACACGCTCGTGTCATTCACTGCACACGAGTCAGGAGCATGCAGCAGCAGCACACTTACACTGGCACTGGCTCGTGTCGGCACGAGCGTAACGAACTCGTGTCATCCACTGCACACGAGTCAGGCTGGACACACCGGGTTCGATGAGCACGACACGGCACTGCTCCTCCTAGGGTCAGCGGAGCGATGTTTGCTTCGCGGCGCCCATCCGGCGGGACTCTGCGAACCGGTTGATCAGCAATACGGGTCATTGGCGTCATCAGTGTTGGACACTGGCTCACAGAGCATGTACGACGAGGCTCGTCGGCTTCTGGACTGGGGGTAACGGCTTCGCCGCAACGCGCCGCCGTACTCGACGTCTTCATATTGGGTATTGCGGCTCACCCGTTGCCCCTCAGGTCCAGGCACACTCTTCGAGTCGGGCAGCCCTGCGGGCTGCGCCCCACACCGCCAATCATTCCCCTCTCGCTCTCTTGCAACTGACCATCCAAGCTCACTCAGTAATAATGAGGCGGGCTGCTGGTACGCCTCGCTTCACACGTGACCGTCATATCCGCCACGCCGGTCATCGTATCCCAGTGCATAGATACTAAGTACTGTTGACGCATTTATTACATGGGCGGCGATGCCACGTGCAAGGGATTGAAAGTGCTCAGTTCACCGCCGGACTTGACGCAGACTCGGACTTGATGCAGACTATGTATTAACGTATCCTCGACCTGACGGCCCCCCCTGTGTTATCAGAACCCACGCCCTCTCAATTGACCGCCAAGAAGCACGATGTCTACGGCCTCTGCTATGTCCCACTCATTGGACTGTGGCGATGGAAAGTCCGATACCGTTACATATCCGAGTCAATACCCTCAAACGCAAATCATCGATGTATTGTACATTCGGTCATTGTTCAAGCGCAACGCATCTGAGTCATGGCAGCGACCATGAGTCAATCCAGACACTCGATGTATTGCCGTCACGGCATAGGGCTCCACAGACCAAGGTTTGCATATCCGCACTTCGAGGTAGACAATTCCTGATAGAAGTGATTCTCACCTCGACGTTCACTTCGTCAATGTGGTTGAGAGCCTCCCCACGTCCTCGTCACCTCGGATCAGATGATCCGCCTTCAGCGGGCTAGGAAGGCGATGCCGAAAAACGTCTGCACACAAAGAATCGTACTCAGCCCTGCCTCGTCTACCTCTGAACACAGGAGGGCTCGCTCACCTTATACGCTCCGCTGCATTCAAGCCACCATCCAGGATACACTAACAATACCCCGAGCAGACCACGGCCGTAGCCACTTACCAACTACATCCTCGATCCTCCCGGCGGTGACATCCATGTCCGTCTTGGCCCCGATCTTCGAGCCGTACAACTGCATCGTCACTCCAGCAAACCTGACCGTGTCGAAGCAGGATCGGTCCATCACCTCGTGCAGGGCCCGCAAATCGGTTTCACGACAATTTTGGCATCATCGTCGAGCATGACCCAGATGGTGAACCCGATGTGCTCAAGCTGGTAGCTATGCACTGTAGAGAGGACGCCGTGCAACTCGTCCGCTGCTTTGGACCAGTCATCGAGCAACAGACCTCCCATGATAACGCCGGAGAGCGTGATGTCCAAGCGTCGCAAGGCGGTATTCTGCTCAAGATTGCCGTGAGGGTCTGCATTGTGTCAGGTCGGTGTCGACGTTTTGAGCAAGAAGTACAGTGACTTCTTACATGAAGTTTTGCCACGTTCGGTGTATCGAGTCAAGCGTGCTCCGGCAGCGACGAGAAGCCTGTTGGCCGGCTCAATACTCTGTGATGAAATACTCGGTGAAAATCCCCCTCCGCACTGGACAGTCATCTCCTCGAGCGAGGTACAGATCCCTGAGTCCACGATCCAGTCCATGATCATCCTAGATTGCATCGCGCCCCGAACTAAATCAACTTCGAGACGCTGCAATTGCAAGTCGGACTGCGGATGGTTTATAATGGCTCCCACAGAGTTGGCAGAACCCAGCCGAGTGAAGTTATTGCCGTCGATAACGAGTTCCTTGAGGCGGGGAAACGAGTAGACGATACGACGCAGCTGTGAGACGTTGTCAAGGGTGCAACGGGTCAGGTACAACGATCTGAGGGTCTTGAACTGCGAGAGGGCGAGGAAGAACTTGGACGCAAACGGCATGGATCGCAGCGGCCCCTCAAGCCGCAGGACCTGCACACCTGGCACTATATGGCCGAAAGCAAGCGGCAGCGATTGAAGGAAGCCACGAGTCTTCCCCCTTTCTTGTGCGGATGGGTTCTTGGTATGCGTGGGCTTCGGATCCGATTCGGACGCGACGAGCATACGGGTGGATGCGAGAGAGTGCATGACTCGTGGAGACGTGCGGGACTGCTTGAATAGCATGTCGAAGCTCGCGCGGTTGCGGATCTCGACGACGGAGTACAGGTTATACATGGCTCGGGGGTACCACGCTGTGCAGACCAGCGCCGCAACAGCTAGCGTGGGCTGATCCATCGCATCGACGATGGCTTCGAGGATCTCCAGTGGGATACGAGCAGCGAGGTCTGGTGGCAAGATGTCGAGAAAGAGGACGTCGTTATCCCATGCATCTTCATGCCATTCGCTCCATCCGTTTCCTTCGAATTCGTCCTGACTACTACGATTGGTGTCGCTCCATCCGTTCTCATCGGACTCGTCTTGACTACTGTGATCGGTGGCATTCCATTCGTTGTCATTGGAGTCGTCTTGACTACAACGATCGGTGTCGCTCAATTCGTCCCACCGTCGACGCCATGCGTCCTTGGAGGAAGACGCGAAGAGCTAGGCGAATGTATCAGTTGATCTCGCACGTCGATGAATCACGAAAGATGGACTGACGTGAGTTCTGGTCCCAGACGACATCCCGCTGCAGTCGACGTATGTAGTATGCGACACACAGCTTGAGGGGAGGGTAGAGGAGCAATATGGCCAGCTCGCGCTCAGGTAGCCAAGGTGCCTCGAGGGGGCCGCAAGGCTCTGTCATAGAGTTTAATAGGTCGCTCGCGAACCTTGGGTCAGCGGTGGCTCGTGCTGCATTTAACAGGTCACACGCGTGGTGCACCGACGTATGCAGTGCTTGTGCAATTGGTGTCCCCTCCGTATAGTAAGCGGGAGAGCTCGTCGGATAGCCTGTGAACTACAGTCCAGGCGCGACACAGTAAGAAGGGCATCACACGTACCTCGAACGGGTTGCCATGATGCAAGAGCGACGTTAGGGCTGCGGACAGGAGCGGCGATGATAGCTCGCTTGGGACGTATGACGCTAGTGCGTGCGTAGGAGAGTACTTCTCTGGGAAGAATCATGAATGTTGACTATGATTTGTCAAGGTGTGAACTCGTTCGGCGTACCATTTTCCGGCACAATATCGTCAAGGCTCACGGTGTCTACGGCCTCGGTTCACCGCACTACTCAGTCCGCACGCCCACTTCCCGGTATTCGTTGGCGACGATGCCGTTCTTGGAGCTTGAAGCTTGACTTCGGAGTACACCGCGAGGGCCTCGCGGGTCAGCTCTCCGCATGCGCCATCTGCACGAACGCGTGGATCGCGCCGGCCTCGCGAGACCTGCCGGAGACGGTGGGGCTTCCTAAGGGCACTACTCGTAGTCGGGGACGCTGTGACACCTAGAGGGATAGCATGCGGACATTCCGAAAAGGTTGTTGGAGATGAGGGGAGGAGAAGGTCGCATGTAGGGAGCTGGCAGGCGTACACGATGTGATCGGATGCCGTGGACGACGAGGACTAGTTACCCACCTTCAAGATGATAGGTGCATGGGCACAGCGCGTGTAGCTCAGTCGATCGGTGCGTCTGGCATGGAAGCATGCTTGCCACAAAGTCTGGAGGCGGAGACGGAGATGGTGCTTGAGATGGTGGTGTAACTCAGCTCGAGTCATGCAGAGAGGCAGACAACTTACCTAGCCACGCATGCCTGTGTCTCATTCATCTCATCCTGACCGGCTAGCGATTGCAGAACCGCTCCCCTGCCTTCCGCGACGCCGAGTCTTCTTCCAGCGGCGACCAGTTGGCTAGTAGACCATTGCGTGTCGCCGCAGATCCAGCTGCGATTCAGCTTTCACGCGTAGTGGAGTCAAGTCGCCGACTAATAAGTCCCAAATGCGAAGACAGACGGTGATACACTTGAGTGGAATGCGGACTTGGAGTCGATCTGCGGCCTAACTAACACTCGAGAGCAGCAGTGAACTCGGAGCAGCTAAGGTTGAGCTTGATGGCCGGTGATTACACCACCGATCTTCCTCCTTACTTGCTAGGCGACGCATGACCCACAAAGACGACAACGCAAAGTAATTGCAATAAGCTTGTAAAGAGAGAGGAGAGGAGGAGGGGAGGAGGAACCATGGCGTCGGCCAGCGGTATGTACGGATCACGTGTTCGACAGGGCCGCGTCGAGAGGAGCTGCAGCGCCTGCCCTCTTGAGTCTCGACAGTCGCCCAATCCTCGCCTCACTAGGTCCTCTCATGCTCTCATGCAATACGATTTTACTGTTTTGACGACGAACTTGCGCACGGTGCACTCTGTGAGCGCGTCGTACACGCTGCCGCTCTCGGTTTCCGCCAGTAAGACTCGGACGACATACCATGTATGCACGGTGTGCCTGCCTACAACCTCGACCAGGATCCGACGCTCTCGTCCAGGCTCAGGCTCGTCGCCGATTCTGTAGATGGTGACGAGTCTTGTCCATCGCTCTCGACTTCCAATGAGTGCTACGTGCGTTCACTAACCGGGTTTACTTTGGAAATTGAGATGACTCCGCGCCAACCTTTAATCCCTGCGACACCAACATGCCATGGTTCGATTCATTGAGGACGATCTCCCAATCAAGGATGGTACTTTGATGTACCGTTTGTATATGCGCTCTCAGCATTGACACGAATTCAACTGGCCGGGCCTTGGGATGCTTCGATGTACGGTCTTCTCTGTTGGCTTCCTAGGCCGCATATGGTCGGTCCTCTGGTCGTCGAACCTCCCCGGTCCCGAGCCCTCGGCCCCTATGAGCTTAGGTTGACTCTTTTGATGGGTTCTTGAAGGTACGGACTTTCTTCTATCCTGTGAGCCGTCGTTGACGGTCTCCGCAGCATTGTCTACGACCGCTTCCTCCTTGCTTCAGTCGGTGAGTTGTTTCGAACTTGACCATGGGACACTATCTTGGCTTAATGTGGCGAATGGAGAAGATTGTCTTCGCTGTATTCTTGCTCTACACGTCAATGCATTTCTTCACAATGTCATATATGCTACTACAGCTCGCGTATCCTGTAGCCGATTTTGTGAGGTACGCTGGCGCAGCTCAGCCTGTATCTCCGTGCATGCCATCCAAGGTAAGGGGTATATCTTTGCCACTATTGTGCTGTTGTCCTCTCGTACACATGGCGGTCAACATCGTAAGCTATTTGATTGCTCTGTGTATGCGTTGCGACCGTGCTGACGCGTCTCATTTGGCAGCATGACATCACTGCGCTCGAAGTCACGCATATGGAACCGCCAGATAGCTGCGCATTCACGTCGACCATGTCAATCAAGCTCCAGAACATGTACGGCCGTCTAGTAGCTACATTCGCATGTGTGGATGTGTACTAGGCCGCATCTTTACAGATGTGAGTAGATGGCGCCCCAGGTATCACTGACTGACATTCAGCACCGGCGGTGGATATCATCGCGCGCACCGGCTCCATTGTAGCTGGCGCGGTGTTCATGCTGGCAACATACCATGTCTGGGGCGGCATTCAGACACTTGCGCCGCCGCGGGGATGAATGTCGTCGACGTGTCCATCGAAATGCTCTTGCTCCGGGACGGTAAGTATGCACTAACCTCCTCGCCAGGAAGTCTTACCAGTCTCATCCTTCCATAGCTACACAGTCGGATATGGCTGATCCGCCCTCTAGACCGCTGGGAAACTTAGTGGACGATGGCCCACTTTCCTACATGCCGCAGAAGACGGGGTCTTTGATGAAGCCGGCGACGACACTCGAGACCTCCTAGAGCGTTCGAGGGGGTGAGTCACTGCGTGCGCTGAACCGGATCCTTTGTCCGAGGATCAGGCGTAGCGGGTAGCCTTGTTTCGGTTTCTCCTATCTGGCTTACCATGACCATACGCCTGCGACAGCGGAATTCTTCTAGATTCCCTGTGATCATTGAAGCTTGCCGATGCTCGTTGCCGTGTCGGAGAGCATGTAGACCCACGAGGCGGGAATGCTTCTATGCTTCAAGTGTCCTTGCCGGTGGCCGATGAACGAGCGAAGGTGGTGTTGATCGTCGTATTTTTGACGATCGACGTTGCGCTATGTGAAGCGTGTCCAAGTGCATCGAAGACGGTACATCTTATCCGCAGGGCAATACTGCAAACGTGTACAACATTGACGGTACGAGGCGGTAATTTTGTAAGTTCATTTGGTCGTCATTCATGCGATGCCGTAGGCAGCCAATGGTCGGCGGGCCATCTCGCAACCATTAGAAGCGAGAAGCTCATACCACACGTGTCATACGCTCGACGGGAAGCTGCGAATTCTCATTCCCTGCACGTTCTCTGAAATCTTTTGTCTCTATTTCAAGAACTAAGGCGCTCACTCTTCGTTCGATCATCTAGATGTATGACATCTTGCATTTGATACGACACGGATTTTACGCGGCAGTGCCGTGCAGTTTCTGCACGTGCACCACACTTGCAAGCATGACGGCGGGTAGCATTGGTCACTCGCCTCTTCATTTCTGAGTCTACGGGCGCATATGAATGGCTTCTGCGACTTGCATCGGGCCCGGGTTCCTCTGCCTTTTTGGTTCAAGCACTCGTGTCAAGAATTGAGGTGCATGTGGTGCGCTTCGTTTTCAAGGATCTCGGTGACATTCTAGTGTGCACTGCAACAGAACAGAGTTTGTGTTAGCTATAAAGGGAGGTAAAGCTGAGATACGGCATCCATTCTCTCTATCTCCCATAGCTTCTTATCACTTGAGAGACCAAGCAATTGAAGTATAACGATGTCTTCGGAAAACATCGAGATGGCATACTTCTGGTCAGTATCTCTTGCTTCTCCTTCGTATCCCTTCATATTCATATTGTGTTCTGGCTCGTAAGGACTGTCTCCGGTCGACTCCTCATTGCAGCCGCAGGTGCGCAAAAATCTATGCATGTTACGTCTTCAATAGAGACTGACGCGCAGTCATCGTCAGCGCTCTATTTCTACGACCGCGTTCTGACGTTTGGGCAAGAAGTGGACCTCATATGGCGGCGCGAAAGGATCGGAATTGCTGTGCCTACGTTCTACGTAACCTTGCATGCATCCATGATCCTGGACTTCATTCTAGACATCGCGACTCTTCCCAGTGGGCTTCCTCCTGAGGTAAGCTGCCCTTAATTCGCGGCTTAATCTAATGTGACAAACTCCTCGACAGGTGTATGTGGTTGTAACTTATCAAGATTCTGTCGAGCTGACGTGAATGTGCAACACAACAGTTACATTGCTATGTGTTGGATCGCGGCCATAAATGTGTACATAATCTACGCCGTGCGTGGAGGTGCGGGATGCTCTTGTTACCATGTGCTTGGCCTTCTCAGCCATCACATTGTCAGTGATTTCTGCAGCGCGCATTTATGCGATCAATGGCAAACACTACACTGTGCCCTCGATCATCATGGGACTTTGGTTTGTGCCCATTGCCGTGAACATCGTAAGTTTTCGTTGCGCATATCAGGACGTGGACACTTGCTAGAGACTAAGGATAGTCTGGCATACACAGTACAGCGAATGTGTCCGATACAAGATATCAATTTTGTGCGTCCATTTTCCCAGTGACTGGGCCGTCTGATGCTTATATAACGACACACCACAGCTGTAGGTACATTTCCCAGGTGCGCTGCATGGCGTTGCCTCAACAGCATTCGCAGGGCAGATTGCTACTCGGATCGGTCTCGTCGCCGCTGATGCTCTCGTTCTACTGGTTACTTGGCGTATCACAGGTGGTGTGCGGAAGCTTGCCCAGGTCGCCGACGTCAAGATATCGATTAGTGTGCTTCTACTTAGAGATGGTATGTATACGTCGGGCATCAATTGTTACGTTGACTACTAAACGCTCGCGATAGGTACACTTCACTTCTGGTACTGTCCTTAGCCCATAGAGCCATAGGAAGTTCAATGAGCTGAGAGCTTTACAGTGCCATGTTTGCTTCCCATATTGCGTCCACCATATGGTATATCAAAATGGTACGTTTTTTGGATTCCGATCATCCTACGACAGCCTTCCCATATGTTCGTCTTTGTAGGGTTCCGGTACGCCGGATAACAATATTCTTATCATCTCGGATGTATGAGTCAGATCTTCGGTGTGGGCATCTTTGACGTTGATTTGATAGGCCTATAGAATCATGGCAATCTGCCTGTCCCGATTGCTGCTCAATCTGAGGGAGGTAGCCCTTGGACCCCAAGTCATGTCGAGCTCAATATCCGACATGTCCGACATCGAGTTCTCTCGCATTCTCGGGCCTCTGGGCAACTCGCTCGGCGACGAGAGCCCAGATGTTTGGGGTGCAGCTGTGGATGAAGTCGCGGATACTGTAGCAAGCGAAGACGATCAGTCTTATTCCGCATAGAGCTCTTGGGAGTCTTGTGGCGGACTCGTATGGCGGGTGGACGATGACGGGCCTCAGGCTGGCCTTACAGATTCAGGCTAGGACCTCGATTACATATGTAGTGAGACACCGTTTCCGTACGTCCTACGACCACGGCGCGTTCCACAAGGTTAGCAGAACAGGTGAATAATATGTATTGAGAACTCCCAGAAATTGGCAATCCAGTCTGCTGGTGAGTGTACCGTCCTCAGTGACGTAATCAGCCATTTGTGTACACGCCCGGAAATTACCGGGTGCGGTACACCTCCTGCAAAAGGTTTCTGTCAAGCGACCTTCGCGTCGGAAGTCGCTTCCCGCATACCTGCATATGTACGCAGTAAACTGCAAGTCTTGTCACCTGGAATCATTGTCCAGATCTGGAGCTTGAAGAAATCACTCTTGCCCGGCGGAGCCAAGGTGGCTGGATGCTGCGCGTAGCAGAGCCGGATTGCCATTGCTTGCGACTCGATAGCGATGCGTCCCGTCGCTCGGCGTTTAGTGAGTGAACGGCACAATCGAACCTCGTACTCACATCGGATGTCTCCTTGCTGAGCGTTATTAGTGATGCATCAGCCATGCGCTCGTTCCGTCCGGAGCAGTCAGTCACTTATCCAAGTGAGTCAAGACACGTCCCAGCTGTGCTGTGCACCCATTCACATTGTAAGTATTCGTTTCAGCCTATCGTTGATCACATCGCACCTCTACTGCATGTTTGCCCCCTGGTGTGTGACGTATAACACCGCCCGGATTGATCTGCGCCCTTCCAGTGCGCCCTCGCGCGTGCTCGAGGAGCCCGACTCTTGCCCGAATCATTGGGCAACTTCGGCGCTACAGCTAGCCAGAACCGACAATCAATCAATTGATGGCATGGCGAGCGGACATTCGCAAGTTGCGTCTGGCACTTCGGGAGGCGTTTCAGCATGTCGAAATTGCATGTGATCGACCGCAATCTTCCCAGCCACGAACAAACCACGAACCGTACTTACGTCTTCTCGAGTAGGGAGAATCCAGTCGAAAGCTGCAACTACTTAGGAGGAACCGGCTGCCTTTGATCGCTGGATTAGTGCCCCGCTCCTCTCTTGTCTTGCTTCCTCGTCATGTCTGAGGCGGTAAAGATTCTGTAAGTTGAGCATCAATCGTATGATCGCTGTATCTGATGTTGCTTGTGTCGCTAGTATCTTCGACAGCCGTATTTCCATCGCTGCAACTGGTAGGATTCATACTCTCATGACAGGCTGTGCTCTTAATCCGAACTGCCCTCAGCTCTGTACTTCTACGACAAGATTCTCACCTCACAGCAGGAGGTAAATCTGATATGGCGTCGCAAGAACACTGGGATCGTCATACCCGTGATATACGGGATCATGCATGTGTGTACAGCGGTGTACCTCCTCATCACTGTATGCGTCCCAAGTGACATCCCGTGCAAGGTACGTAAATACTGCTCTCACACTTGTTCACGTCCACTACTGAGTCGTATCAGACTTCTGCCATCTTGAACATTGTCGTCGACATCGCTATATGTGCCCTGTATCTCGCCTGGGGTGGTACGAGTCTCGTCCAGGACATTACGATCCAGCGTGCGATGATGCTCACGCGGACTACAGCCGCTTCCGCACTGCGCGTTTATGCGATCAATGGACTTAGGCTCCCACTTCCGTCGATCATAATGTTACTCTCGCTCGTGCCTGTGGCGATCAACATCGTATGTGTTCCCAACGAATGTGTCATATGCATGGCGCTGATAGATTGACGTCCGAACCACAGTATAACGCGACAAGTCTCGTGCGCATGAGTTTGCCGCCCACCGATGAATGCGTATACTTCTCCAATACCCCGGTGAACACTCAAGAAACGTAAGTACGCCTTCGTTTCCCTTGTTAGAGACGGACACTGAAGGACTACTGCAGACGTGAGCCTTTACGCGTGGTCAGTGTTGGGAGTTCTGACGATTCGTCAAATTGAAAAAAGTCGAGATCGTCACGCGAGCGAGTTCCACGGTTGCGGACGCTCTCGTCCTCTTCGCAACGTGGCGGATCAATGGGGGCACGAAAAAGCTCGCGCGGCAGATGAATATCAACATCTCGCTCACGAGCCTTTTACTGAGAGACGGTGCGTCAATGACGCGATAATGCGGCTTTGAGGCATCATGCAGGTCTGACGTGTGTGTCCTTTAGGCACGATCTACTTCTGGTGAGATTCCCGCTGAATGTCTCGCGCCGTGATTGAAAGCATCTCCCTCAGCACGCTCCTCGTAGCGAACATCATCGTCTTGACGTCGTACATTCAAAGTGTATGTCAAACTTCTCTGTACATGCTGTGTCTGAGCCACCGTCTAGATCTCCTTCAGCGACGACTCAGAAGTCGCCGTCCTCGTCCTCGTGTGCGTGTCCCACCTCACATATCATTCACAACATGACACCGAGTGATCACATGTTCTCTAGCCTTACTACGATCCTCCTTTCGCGGCTCTTCCTCAACTTGCGCGAAGTGGCTCTTGGGTCCGAGACGGTGACGCTCGAAACGCAGGACACAGAGCGTTCCGATTTGCGCTTCTCACGATATATCGGCCCCCTAGGCAACTCGCTAGATGACGGGCTTACCTTTGCCGCTGATGGGTCCGATTCATACACTTTCGATCACGATGACGGAACCAGCTATGGAGACCATTCGGCCGAACTTATCGTCGATGGTGCAAATTCCGATATCGAGCTTAGCTTGGTTACGGCCGTGGGAGGAAGCAGCGCCTAGGGCACAGTTCGCAGTTTGATGATGGCCTGTAGCACAGGTATGTGTGTTGTGGCCGCTTGTTCAAGATCTTACGACCCGTTATGTCACTGTTTGCTTTATAATGCCTCCCGAGAATGTTTGACGCAGATCGATCTGGTGATGCGTGTTCTGTTGTTCTGTGCATGACATTCTTCAATATTGACGAATGTGAGAATCCGGCATGATGCTTCCAAGTAAGTACTTCACGTCTTTGTCTGACAACGCTACTTCGAGGCCTTCACGGCTCGTAGTCGCAATCGGTGTATGGCTTGACTGCTACCCCCTGTTGCACGAGGATGTGAATAGAGGTCTTGTCTTACATGTCAGTATGTCTTTCACCTGTACGTCATGATCACTACCTCTGAACGCGTCCAATTGCTCATGTGACTTCTATTTGCGGGCGGAGGTCGTCTTCGAAAGTTATACTCGTGTGAATCAACCTTGGTCCTCCGGATGCACGGGCCCTGCAAGCCGGCCGGCCCTTGTCCGTCATCTGGTGCGTATCAGCAGGCATTGTCCGTCCATTGTTACCATGACCGGGAGTGCTTCGTGCTTCGGGCCCACAGAGAGATTTGACATGGGCCCGGGCCTTGAGCAATCCCGTGCTGCGTAGTCGCAATGCATCGCGCTGAGTTCTCGGTCTGCCTTGCTACCCATTTGTCTGTAGGGTTCGTTCGCAACACAACGCTAAGCGCCTCTCCAGGATTATGGTAGCCCGGTGTGACATGCATCCACGGCGGACCATGACTTGCCATCAGCCTGGATGGCAGAAACTATCCAGAACTGTGGTACGTCTCTCCGTACAATACTCCCATGTGGTAGCTCCGCCTTCCCTGTCTCCAGCCCGTCATCCGCGGCCCGCGGCGTGTACCATACTGTATTGAAGGAGGGCAGGAGGCCAGAGGCACCATGCTGTCGCGCGTCACGCCCGCGATCAGCGTGTTTCCGCCGTCTTATCACCGCCCATTCCACCACCGCTCTGCAGAAACTCATAGGTCAGAAATCTTGATTGCTCGGTCCGCGCGGGGACGCACCCTGACAATGGCTGGTCGCACATGCGTTTCTCACTCATGCGAGCGGAGGGAACCTGCCGTCCTTCCCTCGCACAAGATTCACCCGCCGGACGCGCACCTTATAGGAGTGTGGCCGTATATAACCCATCAAAGATTCGCCCAGTCATTTCCTCTGGTAAGGTCTCCGCTCACATCGGAACGGGGTCTTGCGCTGCTAACGTGCAACACGTCTATGCCTGCCCTCGCCTTCGTCCGCCTCGCGCTCTCGCTCGCCTGTGCGCTCGGCGCCCGCGCTCAGCTGTCCGGCTCCGTGGGCCCCAAGACGTCTCTGAGCGAGAAGTCGAACCTGTGCAACGTTCTCGACTATGGTGGCTCCATCGGGTCCAGCGACATCGGGCCGGCCATACAGAGTGCCTTTGATGACTGCGTGCTGACCAACTCGAGTGCTTCGACTCTCTATGTTCCTTCCGGTGTGTCTTCCGTTCATGGCTTTGGTTCTTTCTTCCTTCCCTACGGGCAATATACGTGATCTAATCTGGCTCGTATTCTTCCTGGGCAAAACTGACGTTAATCTTTTCCCTGGGCACATCGTAAAAGGCGACTATGACATACAGACATGGGTCATGCTCAGCGGAGGGACCAAGTGGGCCTTCCGGCTCGACGGTCTCATCACACGCGCATGTACGTCTACAGGTTCTGCTCACTCATGTGTTACCTTCTTCGACATAACTTCCCGGCGATCTGTCTCACGTTCGTACTTTGAACGTATGAAACGACGTCCCCCCACGATGCTTCAGCCACGACGACTGGGAACATGATCGCCATTGAGAACGCTGAGGACTTCGAGTTTTACTCTGCCAACTCCGCAGGAGGTATTCAGCGCTTGGGATACGAGTGCCGGAATGACGGGTGAGTCCCGTCTCAATCGATTCTGCTTTGGAAGCTTGTGGTGCTCCCCGCGTGCGCATATTGGCGATGGACTGAGAGCTTTCTCGTCATCCTTGTGGCGGGAATTCGTTGGCTCTTCCAGGTATTGATTGCGCGCTGCGTCCTTCGTCTTGTGTCCCGGGAAAGTGACTCACTGATGATAAGTAACACGACTTAGGCTGCGTCTCATTCGCATGGTGACCTCGACGTACTGGTCGCTGCACGACCTCATCCTTGTCGACTGTGAGTCTCGGCTCTGTCTATTCTTGCCTCCGCTATTTCCGGCTTTCGGGCTCCTCATTTTGACCGGCGATCGAGGTCTAAAGTGAGATAGCCGGTAACACCGATCATGGTGAGATCTGGGAAACGAAGATCGATCACCTGGGCTGTGGGCGCCAGGTGGGCGCTTTACACAGGCTTTACAAGCTCGCGGTGTGACCGTGACGCAGCCACTCTTCTTAGTACTCTCGCTCGCCACCACGCACTGACTCTTGGCCCAATCCGTAGCACCCGAGTTCCATCTCGTGATACAGGAGGGAAGCAGTGGAGAAGTGTACAACCTCGCCATCCGGTCCGTGTTATCCTCTTCCTCTAGGACCCGGCGTCGGGGTTCCTACGCGTGACGAGCTTGACTGATCTGTTTGCTTCGGATCCTTCCTCTCTCCGACCCCTGCACTTCGTTTCAACATATGGTCACACCATCACCTATGTAGCGGCGCAGATATTGGCGGGTCTGACGGCGTTGATGTCTGGGGCGACAACTACTGGATTCATGACGTGGAAGTGACAAACCGCGATGAGTGCGTCACCGTCAAGGTGTGTCTACCCTTCTTGTATGCGACCTATTGGTGTTGTGCCCGCATACACTCTCCTTCTTGCTCATTATGACATTTTTCTCCCTTGCTGCTCTGTATCTGATCAGAGCCCCGCGTCGAACATTCTCGTAGAGCAAAGTGCGTCGCTTCAGGCTCTCCGCATGACGGAATGCACCGCTGAATCTCCCTGCGATGTGTGTGAATTCAGTTTGGTGTAATCAGAGCGGCGGAAGCGCCATGGGCAGCCTCTCGGCAGTGAATACCTCCATCACGAACATTATCTATCGGTGAGTCCCGCTGTCGACGCATCTCGCCGCTTCTACGTACTATTCGTGACATTCCAACTTAGTCTCGTTCGCTCTCGATTGCCTCTTCTCCTGTCTTTCTGAGTCATCGCCGTACCTCGACACGACCACTTATCTTGAACGTGCAGCTACGTCTACACTGTCGGCGGGAATCAGGCGTACATGATTAAGGGCAATGGCGGCTCCGGCACGGTATCGAACGTCGTGTTCGAGAACTTCATCTCGCGGGACACCGCGTATGGGCTGAATATCAACGAATACTGGGCAAGCATCAGCCCACTGGACGGCCTGGGAGTGACGCTGGAGAACATCACGTTCCAAGTGCGTCCCACGATCTTTCTCTCGCCCTGTCGCTGTGTTTACTGCTCTCCACAACCTTGTAGAGCTGGGACGGCAACGTCGCCGACGGAGTCGAACGCTCCCCTATCCAGATCATATGCGCAGACGAGGCGCCGTGCTACGACATCACGCTGACGGACGTGTACATGTGGTCGCTCACCGACGAGGCGACGATGAAATGCGAGAGTGCGTTCGGAAGCGGCGCCTGCCTCAAGTCGGGAAGTAGCCACACGAGCTACGCGGTGGAGACGACGAGTTATACGCAGCCGAGCGGGTACTCGACGCCAACGACGATGGCGGGCGACTTGACGGCAGGCTTTGGGAGCACGACGCTCATCCCGACGCCGTGAGTGTCTTCGTACATTGTCGAGTCAGTGGCTGAGCGTGTGGTGTCATTGCATGTATAGGACTATACCGACGACATTCTACCCCGGTCGCGCGCAGATCTCACCGCTCATGAAGAATAAGTAGGTTCTACCAGGGAGCTGTGGCTGTGTCGACGAATGCGGGCCCCTGATCATCACTCTCGCGGAATTTTGATGGCCTCTTTACTCTTATATGCCTCATGTGCTATGTAGCAGTTGTTGGATGGATTGGTTCCGGCTTCGCATCTGCCACGAAATTTAGTCTCATACCAAGACCCTCCGTTTGTGTCGAACCTACCAGTGTAGTACCACGAAATTGAAGAATGATTCTAATTCAACAGTTTCCTATTTTGGCGAAACATCGCGTGGGACTCGGCTCCTCCTCCACGGTTGTGACCAGAAGCGACGTCGACAAGTCTCGCTGACTTGGTCTCGTCTGAGTCAAGCTTCACATAGTTATCGGCTTTTATGCTCCATTCTGCGCTGAGGCTCGTGCAGCACAACCTACGAAGGTCCTCGCAGACTCGTCAGTACGCAGCGTTCCACTGGTGTAACACTGAGTCACTCCCACAACCACTCCCACAACCACACGCGCGACCGCGTAAGACCACCATGGGCAAGAACAAGAAGTCCTCCGTACCTGACGAGCAGCACCTACACCTTCCGCGTCTCTCCTCCATCCCAGAGGGCATAATCACACCAATCGTTGATACGCATACGCACCTGCACTCGACCTTCGGTGCCTATCGCAGCAAGTATCCGTCCGGGCGCTATGAGACCGTCTTCGACTTCGTGCGGGGGATGTATGACGGGCGAGGCGTGGAGGCGATTGTGGACGTATGGTGCGAGGCGCCGGTGCTGAAGCAGGCGTGGAGGGAGCTCGCGGACTCTGCGCTGACGGAGGAAGGGAGGAAGAGCCAGTGGGCGGGTATGGAGTATTGGTTCGTTATGGGTGCGTATCAGTTCCGTGCCTATCGCCCGGCACTCGTTGCGGTGCTCCCGTGCGGGGCTGTGAGTTTCCGCCGGCTAGCTCTCGATGTGCATCGCTGATGGTGGCAACTAGGTGTCCATCCGTACGTGTCGACTGCGGCTACACCGGCGCATATAGACTCATTATGCATCCTCCAGACACGAAGCGAAGCTCTACTCGGAGGAAGTAGAGAATGATATGTACGCTTGTTATGTTCTGCGCTTCTCACTTCTACTTATCACGACGCTTCTGCAGCCTAGAAGCGATGGCCCATCCACGCTGCGTCGGCTGGGGCGAAATAGGCCTAGATTACCATTACGATAACTCTCCCCGTGAACTCCAGCAGCAAGTCTTCACCCGCCAGCTCCGGCATGCTGTACGTCTCGGTAAGCCGCTCACCATCCACACGCGCGAGGCGGAGGAGGACACGGAGAGGATAATGAAGGAAGAGGTGCCGAAGGACCATAAGGTGCGTGTGGTAAATCCGTCAAGTACGCGCTATCAGTTGACGTTTCCATGTGGATAGATCCATATACACTGCTATACGGACTCGCCGGAGTGGGCTGCGCGAATGCTGGGGCACTTCCCCAATCTATACATCGGCATCACAGGTATGTCTCGTTCCTCTCATTCCATCTACCTACTTACAAGGTGTATCACAATGCACACCCGTAGGCGTCATCACTTACTCTTCGAACCTCAACACCGCCAACGTCATCCGCCATCTCACCTCCTCGCCATCGTCTTCTCTGCGCATTCTCCTCGAGACAGACGCGCCTTTCATGGTACCGTCAAACTTATACGACACCGCGCTCAAGGGCGTGAAGGGCCGTCTGCCGCTGAGCCACAGCGCGATGATCCCGTGGACGGCGGAGTTCGTCACCGGAGTCGCAAACGAGGCGGGGACGGGGGTGGAGGTGGAGGCGGGGAGAGCAGAGTCGTGGGATGCGGAGAGGGTGATGCGCGTAGCGAGGGAGAATTCGAGGAACATGTACGGCGTTTGATTCTGTAAGCACCTCGCATCGTCATGGCCCTCTCCTCAGGTCGGCGTCTCATCGCATCAAACTGGGTGGCCCTGTCAACTATGTCTGGACTATCTGACATACTTGCCCCGCACCCAAACTGCCCTTGTGCATCCGCCGCAGACGCCGTCATCAATGCGAATTGAACAATCCTCAGTGGAGATACTATGCGCACCTTGTTTCCCCGTCGCCCCGCATACGGCTATGAGCCAAACCTTCAACCTGGAGAGTATCCGGCGGAGATGATAGAACGGGCATCCCTTTCGTCAAGCCTCGATCAGCGGGATCGTGTTGACAAACTTCAAGCCCAGTAGACGGACCCCACCATGACAAGAGAAACCAAGTTCTGTTGACGTACACTTATCGATGCCGAGCTTTCAAATCTTGTAGATAATTATGAGAAGGTACAACATCTCCAGTATCGGTACCACAGACTACAGTGGGACATACGCATTAGATAGACGACATATGATAAAGTGACGACAGTGTTTTTCTCGCATAATATCATGAACTTGGCGAAGTAGCGTGCTCCTCGTCAGCATCAACAATGGACTCGCCAGTATGGTCCAGTACGTCTTCCGGACAGTCCATATGCTCAGCTAGAGATCCGCCTAGCGCGTGCAACGCATCGGTGAAGTGGAGATCAGAGAATGTAGACGAAATTGAGCTGAGCTCAGGTGGGGAGGAGACTTCTCGGAGATTCAAGAAGAACCGAGAGAGCAGGATGGTATTGAACCTAGATGCCGATCGTCAATTCGGCGGCCTGCGCCAACGAATCTCTGTAACGCACACGAAACAAAAGTGGGCGATCTCCAGTATAGGCTGTCCGAACTGTGAGTCAACTGAATATTATATTGTCAGTGTGCTCACGTTAATCGCGCTCAGCACTGCTGTGACGATGTTCACTGTAAGTAGCACACTGCAGGTTGACTATATTGATTAGGCAACACGTAGCGAAGCGAGAGTAAACGCACCAGAAGTACGTAGTACCTATGGACCGGCGCGATTCACGCGATGGTTGAGTCAAGGCAGTAGGGAAAAGTTGTTAGACACCTCACCATCTCTGAGAAGAAGTGATGCAATAGACGGCTTAATCGCGAGACCACGCGCCAACTTCTTAAGGCCATAGGTATTACGCCACGTTTCCAATAGGACGAGGGAGTCCCCCGCGATGACGCAGACACGGGAGACAGTCACGACTATAATGTGCACGTGAGGTCAGTAGTTGCGAGCACGACCCTGCTATAACTGCGTACGACTGAGTTTTGCGTGAGAATCCTGAAGATGGGCAACAGCGAATATTCACGTACCGGAAATACGTGGCGTCTGACATGTTTGTAGCAACTGATGAGACCTAGCAGCCAATCGTCTATTTGAAGTTCTGAAGTTCTGTGCTGACACAGCAGAGTGGGTACGTACGATGTTCGTTGCTACAGGTACAAGTGACAAGGCCATCGTGGCCAACGGTGTCCGCTTGTTCCGCCCATTGATCGCATACACACGTAATGCCGATATGGCTAGACGAAGTGAGACGACATCTCAGGCACAAAACTGAGCTTCATACCTCCCCAAATGAGATAGAGGGCACAGATACTGGTAGTTTGCATGACTTCTGCGATGTATCCACTAGTTTGTAGTTAGCAACGTAAGCCTCGGTGTCATAATGCTGCTGACAAACCTCTGTATGGGCAATCAGCTCAGAAACCGATTCTATTGAATGAGTGTCATCACCTTTCCAGAACCCCACGGAACGATCTCCAGTAGGAGATAGACCATCATACAGATATGCATACTGACATAGAGAGCGGGCACGAAGAGGCCCTTGGATCCACGCTTCCAAACCAGATTGATCTCCTGGTCGATACTCAGGACTCGCTCATAGAGATATAGGGCCGCTGGGATGCAATCGGCGTTAGGGTTTTGTAACTGGTAGCGAGATAGCATGAATATTGACTGGAACCCGCATGGACACAGTGGTTGTAGACGACGCTACAACGAGCTGGAGTCAATGGATGCCGAACAGAGACGTGGCGACATCGGAGACGTACCTGGACGCCATGGTTGTCGATGCCATTGGACGTAGGAAGGTGGCACAGTGCACTGCCGCAGATCAGTTTTAAAAAGCTTCATCGAGCGCTATGTGGTCAACGTGGACTCCGAAGGCAATGAGGAGGCGCGCGATCAATCGCCACTGTGGGCCACAGCTCGGTCGGTGGTTGCCTTAGTACACGGTATTCGAGCTTCAAGCTTCAGCAGCGATCGTTGTACGGTACCCACGGATGGTGGCTGGAGCATGCGACTCATGGCGTGCCCGGCGCGGCGCCCTGCTGCTCGTCTCGTGGGCGCTCACGCGCGATCTGCCGGGCTCGTCCTGGCGGGAGAGCTCGACGACGGACATGTCGATGCCGTTTTTGGCTTCGGAGTACACCGCGAGAGGTCTCGCGGGTAAGCTTCCCGCAGACGCGATCAGTAGGAACGCGTGGATCACGCCGGCTGGCCGTAAACAGAAGACCTGTTTGTGGGCTTCCGAAGGACACTCTCGGGGTTGGGGAGGCTGAGACCGAGAGGGATGGAATACGAACGTTTCGGAACAGGTTGGTCGGGGATGTCCGAGAGGAGGTCACGTATAGGGAGCCGGCGGACGCGACGCGGAGAAGGTAGGTAAGTGCCTTCAAAATGATAGATACATACATACAGACCTTGTAGCTTGGCCGACTGATGCGTCTAGCAATTGAAGCATGCTTGTCACAAAGTTCGAAGCGGAGACGGAGATGGTGCTTGAGATGGTTATGAGACACGAGAGGGAGAAAGTTACCTAGCCACGCATGTCTGCGTGTCAATCATCGTACCCCTACTAGTAGCTACAAGCGATTGCCAACTCGTTCGCCTGCCTTCCGCGATGCCGAGCCTTCCCAGTGGCCGACCCGTTGACTAGTACACCATTGCGTGTCTCCCGGGATGACCTGTGAATCAACGTTCACGCGTAGTAGAGTCGAGTCTCTAACTGATAAGCCCAGAATGTGAAGACAGACGCGATAAACCTCAGGAGAACGCGGACTCGGGCCTAACTCTCGAGAACAGCAGTGAAGAGCCGGAGCAGCATAGATAGATTTGGTGGTCGGTGTGTACCACACGGTCTTTCTTCTTGCTTTCTACGCGGCATACAACCCACAAAGACGACAACAGCTAGTGATTGCAATAAGCTTGTAGGAGGTCCCTGGCCGCAGTCTCCAAGACAGAGTCGCCCGGTCCTCGCCTTCACTGGTCCTCCGTGGAGGGATCTCGCAGACTCTGCGCTGACAGAGGAAATCCGCGACAAATTGATGAATGGCTGACGTCCGCAAGACGTCCATGTAGAACGTACTTGGAACGGACATTGACAACGTACATGTGTGGGTCATGATCTCAGATCACATCGATCAACTCCGCGAAGGACTCACCGGCTCGTTAACAGCTGCCGTACAAGTCCACGACGCCCTGCATGTTGTCGTGAAGCCCTGTTGTCTGTTCAACTCTTGCTTCGAAGTGAGTGGATAGAATGTAGGGAGAGAGGACCAAGACTGAGACAACGTCAGAAGTCCAATGGCGTGATGCCAGACGGGCATACTAATACGGAAGCATCTCGATTGTGTATATGGAGAGAGCCGCGCGGACGACAGATCATAATCATGAGTACTTGCACTCAGCCGGGATATATAAAGCATTGAATAAAGCAGCGAAGGACGAGCCTGAGCTTAGGGCTGATCATGAGGAGACTCACCAGCGCGAGGAAGTTCGATGTCAGGTGCATTTCACACACCCGGACTACGACTCGTTCTTCTCATGATTGAGCAACAGCCAGCATTATCGCAGAGGTTGTATAGCGGTAGCCAGACATACTATAATACAAATGGTGACCGGTGAGGCGTGGAGCGTGACATCCGTGACTTCGGGCGCTCAGCGCTCACTGCCTCTGAGCGAGTTGGGCTTTGCGCTCTATGTAACTATGCTTGGAGAAACGCTACTCGGTCCACCGTCCGCCCTGTCCACAGCTCGGAGCACCGGTCCAACTTGGCTACGTTCCGCTAACCAGCTGTGATACCGCCGGCGTGGAGCGATGGTCCGACGACGTTCTGCTCGTCCATGCTACCTCGTAGCTCTTACTCAGTGCTGTCCTGCTGCCTCGTAAGTCATACCTCTGTGATTCTACTGTGAATCTACTTCGTAGCAGCCATTCTCGCTGATGCCGCCTCGATGCAGTGATACGAAAGTGACCACTCCATAAATTACCAGACAACGCCCCGTCCGCACCAGCTGTGTCCATCGGAGACACGGCGCACGGTCGTTCGCCGGGACGTGGAGTCATGATATCTGGTGACCGTACCCAATACACGCGTGCCTCTGGTCGAGGTTCAACTCGAAGACTCAGGAGCGTATTCGGTACCAATGATGACGTGGAAGTATAACGAGTTCTATCATGGCGCTGCCTGCAGTCGAACACCCCCCAGCTTTCCTCCGGTGGACGTCTGTCATCGCTATCGGTCGACGTTTCCATGTGTCAGATCCATATTCACTGTTATACGGATTCGTCGGAGTGGGCTGCGCGAATGTTAGAGCACTTTCCCAATCTGTATATTGGCATTACGGGTATGTCTCGCTCCCCTGCTATCTACCGACTCACAAGGCGCGTTCACGACGACGCACACCCATAGGCATCATGACTTACTAGTCGAACCTCAATACGGCTAACGTCATCCACCATCTCACCTCCTCGCCATCGTCTTCTCAGCGCATCCTCCTCGAGACCAATGCGCCTTTCGTGGTCCCCTCGAACCTGTACGACACCGCGCTCAAGGGGGTGAAGGGCCGTCTGCCTTTGAGCCACAGCGCGATCATCCCGTGGACTGCAGAATTCGTTGTCGGAGTCGCAAACAAGGGGAAGATGGGGTGGGAGTGGAGGCGGAGGCGGAGATGGAGGTGGAAGTGGAAGTGGAGGGAGCAGAGACGTGGGATGCGGTGGTGGTATTGCGCATATAGCGAGGGAGAACGCGAGTAACATGGACGGCGTGTGACTAGCTGGTGTCATGTAGCTGATGGCAATCATCGTACCGCCTTGAAGTTGTCGTGTCCGGCGGTTGAAGCGGAGGGTGGCCTCGGTGGAAAGATCGCATGGGTGGTAGGTCAGCAGAAGAGGAGCGGCGAACGTGGGACGATAAGAAGTACAGGAGGATGGTCGTGAATCGTCGACGCTCCGTTACCGCTGCCGAAGCGGGCCTGCGTGCTCGCGCTTCCAGTACTCTGGCTCTGGCCTGACGCCCAGAGCGCGTGCGGCTGGTGCGCGTACATTGCGTCGTCTGACCGGAGTGGTGGCACTTCCTGTGCGACGGTATGGGGGGGTAAAATGGGTTCCGGGGTGTACGTAGCGGGGGTGCGAGTATACGCGGTGCAAGGGGTGCATTTACACCCGAGCAGAACGTGGCGACGGTGCAGGCGAAGCGTGTCAATAAGTAATCAATGCGGCTGCTGACGGAGATCGGCGCGGGCGTGATTCGCAGAGGTTGGGTGTGCCACGATCTGTCTTCTCATCTGAGCTTCGCTTCCGTGGGCAGTACTGGTACTCTATCCCTTAGCCTAGCTATGCCGCAAGGATTTGACGACCCGTATTTTGGCCTCTACATAAATGGCAATATGATGCAACAGTCATTCGAGACCTTACGTAACGCGCGATATCCTCATGTTCTGCTAGCTGAACTGCCTCATTGGCCTCGCTTCCTTCACGCCGCACCTGCTGCGGGTCCCTTTTCGGGTCTGTTTTGCGCCCGCTGTCTCTCCCTCGCCTTAAGCACCGATCTCGTCGTCACACACCCCGGGGCCCCCGCTCCACCGCGCTAAGGTCATGCATGGCAAACAAATGGGACATTCCAGCGCTCCGATAGACCATCATCCCGAAGACCAATAGGAGTTTGTGTTGCAGAGCTTCCTGTGTCGTCGGGACAAGGTCAATGTCATCCGCCTGCTCGAGATCGTGGGCAACCACTGCAAGGTAGATTCGTTCGATTACAGGATGACATCGGCGAGCATGTCTGCTTCGAGACAGCCGCGTCACGAAGTACTGCTGCTATAGGGTAACACGTCTAGCACTCCGCTTCAGGACGGCATCGCCGAGCACTGGCTTCGAGGCAAAGACACAACATCACCGTTGAGCGTGTCTGCTTCAAGACTGTCACCGAGTTCTGCTACAGGACAGCAATGTCGAGCTACCCGCTTCAAGACGACATAAGAGTATCACTGCGCATGACTGCTTGGAGGCGGCAGCCCGAGCCAGGTGGCATCGAAGCAGAGCGTGGGCCTGTGAGCCCGAACGTATGGAAGCAGACATTCAGGCGTGTAAGCCTTCTTGAAGGAGTCTGTCTTAGTCAATGGCTTGAGGCGAAGGCGACAGCACAGATGCATTCGACTGCGGGGGAGGAACACTGGGCTGGCCCGGCAACAGGCAAGAAGCTGGCCTATCCTGAATGAAGCCGATAATCATATCTAGTAGTTCTTGCGATAGCTGTGGTACGTCATGAATTTCGTCTGGTCGGAGGCTGCCTCTTCCTCAGCGCAGGAACGTTCCGCAAAGAAGTTAATACGAACTCATCTGTCTCAGGCAGACCGTCGCAGCTGACTCAAGGTTGCCGTTGGGTCCAAGTAATCGGTCCTCAGCGCTAGCGGCGCTCTGCGGGTCCCCCTGGAGGGGCTGGATCTCTGTTTTCATTTTTACGAATAGTACGATTCCTGACGTTTTGTCGGCAGCAAGAAAACAGTTGGAAGGAATGGCGACCAGTCGCATGATGTAGCGGACGTCGCTGGTTTAGGTAGGCTTACGTGTGACTTCAGGTGCGCGCGCGAGTCTCGGTCTCTTGCCTCCACTGTCTACATTCAGGGCTCGTCGACTCACAGTCAAGCTTATTTCTCCCATCTCCTCTAGTGTCGGCAGGGATCGTTCAACGCGCTGCTGAGCGCGCAGGACCACTCGCTCGCAACTTGAAGCCAGCAGAGCGAGGTCGTGGCGGACATGTTGCTCGATACATGCTTCCTCTGTGGTGCTGAGGGCGCGTTCGAGCGCGACGAGGGTCTGGCTTGGACGTTCGCGGAGAAGGCGGTGAGGTGCGGACTGCCGAGTATGGAGCTTGCGATCATACCGTTCAATCAGCGCAAGTTTGACGAGTGGAATAGCAAGGAACGAATCCGAACGATAGCAACTCAGAGTTGGTCCCGGTCGACAACGACTCGGAAGATGTCGCTGCACCCTCCACAACTAGAACAGTACCGCAGACCGATACAGGTTCTGGAGAATGGAGGGAATCCGACCCAGTGCGAGTGGCGATAGGGACTTACCCAGATACTAGTGCCTTTATACTATCTCGGGGCGGCGAAGCCGGCCCCTGTCCACGTTGCGAACAAGTGGCGAAGGTGCACAGACAACGGACATGAAAGAGGGCGACGAACTTCGGATGTGAAAGAGGGCAACGAACCTCGGATATGAAAGAGGGCGACGAACTTTGGATATGGGGTGACGAGCATGAATTTGACGCTGGAGCGAGGAGGACGCGGACGGCGTGTGGTATGTAGACACGCCGGCGCTTTCATATCTTCAAACCTAATATCGACGGAGTGCCAGCGCCTGACGGAACGAGACTTGCCCAATCTGTTGAAAGCGGAAGAAGCACCCGCGTCCAAAAGCGGGACCACTCTTCTTTACTAACATTTGTGTACAGGTTTATAATGTCCATAGATTCTAGGTGATCTAATTGAGCACATACAAGGTAGCTCCCCTCGCCCGGGCGATTCAGAGCTGCGTCCACATCGAGCGCCTTGCGCGCAGAACGAAGGCCCAGATCTCCACTGGCGTCGGCAAGTAACCGAGCCGTCCACGAATAAAAATTACCGAAAAAGCGCTGACTAAGCGCAAGCCTCCACACGACCGGAAAATACCCGATATTAGCATATCGGAACTACTTACTACGCGGTACACTTATGCAAAATAGACACGATAATGAATCAGTATTACGTAACGGAAACTCATCGTGTTCCTTGGCAAGCGATGTCTAAACGCGTCGACGTCGGCCCTCTCGATCACCTCCTCGGACCATGGACCTACGTTACGACCAGCCTGTCTAGACCCACAAAACCAACTGAAGGGACTTCGATTGCAGACAAGGCTTCGCGCAAACGCGAACATGAACTGTCTGTCAGTGGAGCCTCCTGCCACGCCTCAGGACTTCGACTATACAGTATACAAGGCTTCGCGCAAACGCGAGCGAGCACTTTCAATGGAGCCTGCTCGCCTCATGGCACACCGGCAGTCAGTGTTCGGTGGAATGATGAACCCAGGCTGAACTGGCCACACGTACACGCCAGGAGATTGAACCCGATCCCAACGAGAGGCGCACACCGGCCATGATAATGAAGCAGTATTATGTGACGGCAACTCGCTGCCATTCACTGCCGCAGAACTTGTGAAGCCTCTTATAGGACTACACTACCCAGCTTAGACGCTATCCACCGCTTGGGGGATATAAAGCTAGCGACAACGCAGAGCTACTCATTGTTCTCCTCTCATCCCGGATTGCAGACGTACTCAACCACAAGCACTTGAGGTATCTGAGTGCCTTTTCATAGTCACTATCATGAAACACGTCTCTCATCCGAGTATTCGCCGGTCAGTTGCACCAACTGATTTCAGTCTCTGCGTCTAACTTGAACTGTCTACAGGGACTTTGTGCCTGATGTCGTAGATCTGGGGCCAGTTTTTATTGACTACAACCTTCAAGTTCCTCAGCACTCGCCGCAGCAAACATCTCGGCGCGTATACGAGTCACATCGTTGGAGTTCGGCATCCCATACTATGTCACAGGACCCACTCTGCTTCGCTAGTACATCAATTTATCCGTCGCAGATTTCACCAATCCCACTCGTCCCTGTAAGTGCGCCTCTCTCAATCGTGTATGGGTGCTGACTTGCAGTACGGCCAGATTGCCAGTGTGCAGACAGTGTCATCGTCTGCCGCGGTGATGAACTCGAACGTAATATCCACGACGAATGGTATCGACGTCTCCCAGCCTCCCTATTACCCATGGGATGCTACGGCAAGTTACTTCGGCGGCCCCGCTTCGGCCGACTCAGATTTTCACGTGGGTATCCAATTGTGAACTTATCTGGGCTACGTGGAGACGTGATAATGGTGATCGATGTTTGACAGTGTACCAGGAGTGATAGTAGTATGTTCCTAAACCAGGCTTGGCCGTCGGCTGGCCTGGTTACTACTGCGCATGGAGACGCGCTCGTAATGCCTGAAGATCCAATACAACGTGTTGCAGAGGCCAACCTCCTCCTCGACACCCTTGGGGAAAGTGGAATAAATTCAGTTGCCAGTGTATGTACACTTCTTCGTTTTCCATTCCCTTGCCTGACGTGTCTTTGATTTTACCTGAAGGCGCCGCAGACGTCAAGTCCGGTGGATGGCGTGGCGTCGCACGTCATCTGCGAATGGGGGGACTGTTTTGAGAAAATAGAGCGCACCAAGAACGCGGTGATGCGGCATCTCCAGTCGGTGCACTCTGGAGTCGCTCGTAGTGTCACCGAAGGCAATCGCATGCGTTGTCTGTGGATAGGTTGCAAGCATACAACCACAATGCATGCGACCAATATCTGGCGACACGTGTACGAGAGGCATGCGCACGTCGTAGAGCGGATGAAATGCCCGTATTGCGAACAAGACTTCACCCGCAAAGGATCCTTGGAAAGGCATATGCGAAGGGCTCATTATGTGGATATCGCAAGTTAAACACGTTTCAATCATGGTGAGCATTACTAGCTCCTCTTGCAGGCTTAAGTGTCTCGCTCACACACTCAACAAAAGAAGACTGCAGGCTTTGACACGACAAGCAGTCATACCAGTGGGTAGAGCCAAATCGGGCCCTCATAGTATCTCATTCGTGCTATGTATTTATGTCACCGCCCATCTCTCGGTATTCGAGTTTGACTCTCTTCTCTGCCTCCGATAGATGGGCCACAAAGATATGTTGACCAGAGATACGTACAGTCTGTGATGTGGGCACCCTAATCCGTGACTTCAGTGTATATCAAAGCCGATACACAATCACTGTCGCCCGACTCGGGGCATCAATTTTCAGGATGCACCGATTTCATTGCTGCAGGTAACGATTAGTATGGCTACGTGCAGGATTGGCGAGAATTTGGCAAGTACGAAAACTGTATCAGGTTCATGACCCGCGAGCCTCGTTCACTAGGTGATTTACCAGTCAATACGCTCAAATCGCCGAGCACGATATTGTATGCACGTCCTGGTCGGTCGAATACATAACCGCAGTGCCGGGTAGTGAGTGTGGCCTGACCGTTGCTTCACTGATAAGTTGATCATCGCTCCAGTACTCCGCTGACACACCGTCTGCAAACGAACGGAAGTACACCCATTATCTATTTGAACATCACCACCATCCTAAGTTCAAGTATAACAACGATGATGGGATTGGCCATCATTCTAGTATGCCGCAATGTATTGCTTTTCATGTGTTTTCCATTGTCGTGCGAGAAACGATTCAAACGATTCAGTGACCTACTATGCATATGTGCGCTGTCAGCCACGTACTGGCGAACTTCTCAACGGGGTTGCTCTGGCAGAAATTGCGAGAGAATAGCTCACCTCGAGCGCTCTGTGTACCTCTGCGAAGCTACGCCACGGGTGGGCGCCAAGAATCGCATATATTGAGCGCGATTGCGGCAAACGCGGACTGAGAACAGCGACATCACACGTTGCCGTTGACCCGTGTCACAACCTGGCGTTCAGTGGACTCGGATGAGCGACGCGCCGATCTGCGCTCTACCACAATACTTACTACGACTGCTGAGCCCACCCAACCCGTAAATCCCACCAAGTGACCGGGGCGAGCCCGGCCTGCGCTTGCGCTCTTGACTGAGAATAGTGAAGTCAAGGATTCAGGGTATTGCCGCATGCAACGTTCGCCGATGTCGGTGTTCAAAATCTGCTTCCCAGCTTCGAAGGCGCCGTACAGTGCCGCCCAAGGGTTCACGGGAGGCTCTTCAGGACAGTTGAGGGAACACTCAGAAGCCCGAGATCCAATACATTTACCAGGAAACTACTTACCTTTATTCCGCCGCGACTTCGTTCGTCCGCTGCTATTGGGCACGAGGGCGCTCGAGCTCGAGGACCAATGTCCAAGCTCAGGGCCATGGCTTGAGCGGCTCATGCAGACGTACAATCGGCCAGGCGCGGGGATAGTAGACGCACGCGCAGAGTCCATGTTACATTGTTCCGAGAGTGACATAGCGCGGAATGGGACGCTCGCCTGCCGCAGATAGCCGTCCAAAGATCCAAAGAAAGAGTGTTAGTGGTACTCTTACACTCCCATGTACACATTAAAATCCGCGCACATGATCTCCCGGGGACGGGCGTCACAGAGCCGAAGTGAACTATGGCTCGAGCGCCGTGCTAACGGCTGGTCCCTGAGGCGCCTTAAGTACTAGGTAAATGTGAAAGTCAGCACATGTACAGCGTTTATCGGCTCGTTTAACGACAGATTCAAGGACATGGGGAGGAGGATGGAAGCACATACCGTGAGGAGTTGCACCAAAACAGTCAGAGGCATATGGAGATTGGACAAGTGGTAGACGCGGCATTGTCCCGAGGCAACAGTGTGTTGACCGTGATCTGATTAAGAGCTTACTATGCGATCCTGTTCAACTTCCGACCGAGCAGTCATACCAAGGCAGTCGCTGGACCAGCTGTAGGTGAATAACTGTGCTCGGATAGCAGTGGGTTCAAAGAGAGGGCTTTGTTCAGCACGTACATTTTTGGCGGACGATGGCATGATTGCTGGTACTCGGAGCAAGCAAACTCATGTTTCTCATACGAGATCGTTAGTAGGCCACTAGTGAGGTCGACAGAGGGCTATGATGGAGCAATATAAAGGAGAATCCTACGCGTAGTGCCGGGCCCGCCGATCGCTCACGCTCGATCGCCGCCTGCCCGTTTAAGGAAACTACCGACCATCGTTCAAGCGCTGAGGCCGACTCTCTCTTTCCCCGTATCATGGCTGTTGACAGCGTGCATACTGTCTGTGGTGTGCTCCTCTCCGTCGCATACATTTAGCGGAATCTTTCGGCAGCGCATCAGTTTGTCGGAGAACAGGGAGCAGTCTCCGAGTTCAGCCCTCCTCAAATAGGCCTCGGGCGACAAAAACAACCCGGCGGATACGCACTTGTCCCTGAAAGTCGCGATGAAGCACACGCGGGGGAGGGGATATAGTGCGAAGTGGCCTTCCAGTCCCCATGCGTCTCCGTACATCTACCAATGGATGCCCCATGAGACGCGCCATCCACCGCCTCTGTGCGCTGGCGTCTGCCGGAAGCCGCATGGTCTATCGGTGAGTACCCACGTCAGTCGCTTTGATTTGGTCACCAAATGCATTCTCAACTGGATGGAACTGCCGTGCGATTGAACGCTATCCATGCGCTACTTGTCGCGCGGGCGGGAAGCGCCTCCAATAGCGGCGAGGGCAGCCGAATGTCAAGGCGCTATCCTGCGGATTCCTACCACGCCCGTCATTGGACATGCACTGATAGAACACTCTCTTCTTGACTTGGCGCGCATGGGCGGTCGAGATGTGGATTGAGTTCGGCTCGTATCTGCCATCTTCTCCGATCTCGCCAATCCGTCATTTCCCTCCATCGTAAGTAGCCGCGCACGGGATGGCGATGAATCCCGCTTATAATTGTTCCAGTCTGCAGTATGAAGGCGCTCAAACTAGTAACAAGGGCGTTGGCAATATTTCTGCTCATCAGTGGCGGTGCACCGCGGTGGTCTATGGTCGTGGAGGCCGAGCCCGGCGTCTGCAGGTTTCCAGCGTCTTTCGATATCCATAGCATGGGTGCTGCGAGACGGTAGACAGCGGGAAAGCATCATCGAGTGCCTGCGCAGGGCGTCACTCACACCCTATGATCTGCGCGCGAAAATGAAGCAGAACACATACCAGGGCGCTTCGCGAAAACCATCCGCGGGGCAAGCCAACGGGCGCATATACGTCTTGAATTCATTGACGCTACTAGCGTCCTGTCAATCCGTCACTCACCCTTCGCTGGACTCATGATCGCGCGCGTCTTGCAGCGCACCTCATCGACGTCGGCGAAGATCCGTGCGCTCTCTAAAGCGCCTGACGCTGGCCCCACAATCAAGTACGTCCATATGCAGACCTTGTACTATCCTTACCCACCGGTAGAAATAGTGCATGGTTCTGAGCGTCCCCTGGGCGCTCTAATCACAGTGCATGCGCTTATTGGTCGCCTGGCCTATACCTGATTCCACCTGTGGTCGCGTTCGGCAGTTCGCCGTCAGCGCTATGCACCCGAAGGAGCATAGTTGATCATGGCAGATGCAAGTTCCAGGCGTCTTCCACTCAGCTATAAAGGTCGGGTGGGCTATGGAGCACCACGTTAGTTGCACGTCACCCAAGCTTCATCAGACATTCCCTCAGACCCCGTTGCTACTTACTACTTCCTTCCTGCAGGTATGAGCGATCACTCTCGTTCTAGGTAGGTACGCCGTCGCCTTATCCTATGACACATCTGACATAAGCATCGGTTGTCAGAAATCGATTCCCTACTGACTCTTTCTCCTTCGAGCTCGAGTGTCCGCGTATGGGCCCACGTACCTGCCTCATGAATGGCCTAGCCGTGACACAGCAGCCCCTCACCGGGCCATATCCAATGCGTCCAGCTACCGGTATCCTTCCCGAACCGAAATACGATATCTCTGTTGCAAGTGGGTCTAACCTGCCACCATACCATGGCCAACCGGTATGTGTGTCTCCACAATCTCGCCGGAATGCGTATCTGACCCGAAGTCTGGCCCAGGCGAATCACACATCATGGGTGCCACATTTGCCGGCGTCCCTAGTGGCGATGGATATGACACCCATGCTCAACATAGGTAGTGATTCTCGCCGCGACGATCATTCGCAACATGCCAGCCTAGAGGTTCCACACTCCTTACAGCTCAACGGCACTACCTCGGAGTTCCCGGGCCCTGTAAGCTTCCGTTTATCATTATGGGCCTGTCGAGTATTGAGAGCGCTTGTTCCCGCAGGTCGAAAGCGGATCCACCGTGAACAGGAACTCAATGATTTCGTTCCGTGATACCAACGATGGAAAAGCTTCGCGGGGTCACGTTGGTCAGTCGGAGCTCTCAGGCGCGGCTCGCAGTGCCGCCGATATGACGGTAAGGAGCACAGTCCATGATGCACGTAGGCGCTCCTCAAGCTTCGACTATAGCAGCCACCTCCCGGGCCCGGAACATTGACCGCCCCACGACAAGCGGGAACGAGACGCTTTCACTGCAGATGGAACGGCTGCGGCGCGCAGATTGAACGCACGAGGGCCGCCTTGGCTCTCCATCTAAGAGACGTACATCCCTCCGGCGTCAGCAACAATGATACCCGGGTACGCTGCCTGTGGAACGGATGTACGCGGGAATGCATGCTCGCATGCAACCTACGCCGCCACGTCTTCGAGGTACACGCTCGCGGCATCGCGAGGAAGATCAAGTGCGAGAGGTGTGGGCAGGAGTTCACCCGGTGGGGATCGTTGCGGAGGCACCGGCTGGCTTCATGTGGACATGATGACCTAGGGATTTAAGGGTATGTAGGTCGTACACACTCGTTGCTCATGGGCTTACTGGCATGGATGTAGACGGTGGCCCATGAAATGGCCCGCGGTAATCATTATAACACCTGTTGACCCAAGCATCGTTCTCTTTGCTCTGGCTGTTTGGATTCTTTAGAATGGCTGCGCCTCAGATATGAAATGTGTCTGGCTGGCTGCGGAGTGCGGTTGGAATACACCAAGGATACTGCGACGTCGGAAGGCTCCGAGACGTACTTACCCCTGTCCCCTGCGAGCGTCAACCGGAGCCATGCGACTCAGAACGTCCACTGCATGTCTCTGCTTTGGGTAGTACTTCTCTTACTGTCCCGTCCAATGAGAATAAGTACTGAAGATTGGTACTCCTGGCAATCTGCGCCGCACGCAATTGATGTTAACGCTCGCATCAACCAGTGTCAAGATTGGCGCTCTGCGCGCGTTCTCGTCGACAAACGCCCCTTAACCTACAACCGGCAAGCCCAAGTGCGGCACCAGTCTCCTCCGCACAAAGTCGTCGATGTCATGCAGCCGCACGCCCAACTTCAAGACGTTCTCGTCCGGGATCTCCTTCGCGCCGTACATCCCCATCTCGTTGTAGAGATGGAGCATGATGTCGCGGTCGGGTACATGCGTCGTCGGGAGAATCGTGTAGACGCACGGCTTTCTTGTCACTGGAGGGCTGCGGTGTCAGCGCTGGGTGGCGGCGGTATCCAGGGAAGTACGCGCCTCTCTTGACACTCTCGCAAATATCGAGCGGAGTGAGCCGCGCGTTGGCACAGTAAAGGAACTTGTGGTTGAGCTCCGCATGCTCCGTACCCCAGTGGTCGAATACGGCCTTCGTGATAGCAGACAGGTCCTTCTCGACGTAGAGCATCGCGACTGAGACCTGGTCAGTACCGTCTCGCGCACATAAAGAAGGTGTACGTGCGTTCCGTAGTCTCCTTCACGATGGGCTGAAGGAACTCCACCTGGTCCTTGTCGCGGTGATACACCATGTGCGAGCGATAGACCATGTTCTCGTAGAAGTTGCCCGTGTAAAGGAAGGTCGCGGGAAGACCTATCTCCTGGATGTACTGCGTGACGTGGTATTTCCCTGAGACGCCGCCATAAGGATGTATGCAAATAAGACATATGGAATCCCCCACCTTCGTACACCTGGGAGACGAGCCTACCGCCAGAGAGAATGGCGGAGCTTGGTACCGTGCTCCACACGAAGCACCGCACACCGGCAGCTAAGGCGGCATCGACCAGGTTCTTGCCCTGCCTCTCCTCACTCTCTGGGTCATCCTTGATTTTCTGACGTCCAATCCGTCAACTAATGCAATAGCGGTTCGGGCGAGGGTGACTTACGGGGTCATAGAAGTTCGTGACGCCGAACACGCCCCAGCATCCTTGTAGCGCCTCATGGACGTCCGTCGGAACGGTGAGGTCCACGCTCACGACGCACGCGCCCAGCTTCGCCAGTGCTTGTGCCGGGGCCGACGTAGGGTCTCTAGTCAGCGCCCGGACCACGTATTGTTCCGGGTTCCGTAGCAACAACTTGGCGACAGATCCTCCTGTGGTGACGCGAGGTCAAGTTGACAATCATCATATCCAGAGGGATACTGTGCGCACCTTGGTTCCCCGTCGCCCCGCAGACTGCTATCAGCTTCTTCGCAGCCATCCTTCATAACGAAACTAGGCTCTATCTTGCCGGAATCTCTCGAGGCGGTCGAGGGCTCACGCACCTTATAGCCCTTCTGAAACCTTCGCGACTCCTCGGAATCTGTAATGAGTGTGCGAACAGATCTGCGAACAGATCAGCGAACAGATCTCCGTACATATACCAGGACCAGACACGTACCAAGTCGGTATGAAAGGGACTGCAAGCGGCCTGCTCCCGGTGAGCCGCTGTCAGGAGGCAAAGGGTATATGGGCATCAAGCGGTCGCACGCTCATGGGAATGCTGGTCGAAATGGTGATGCAAGGTTTGGTCAGCGAATAATCGCAGCCTGATGAGTCACAGGCCGATGTGATCGTAAGGCGCTAGGCCATCTAGTTCCAAGATAGGGTCAAGGCCTGCTCCAGGCGGGCAGAAATTCGGAGATGGCCAATCACAACGAGCGCCGGCTCCACGGACCTACAGGTGTACACACCTATGTTCGTGCACGCAATCTCGTCGGACCCACCAGATCGACGACACTCGATCTGCCGTTGGCAACGAATGACAAGAACAGGTGGCCGACGTCTACCGGCACAAGACGTCCGTGTAGTGCCACCGGGATCAGTGCTCGGTGGTCGACATCATCCTGAGCAGTACATGCTTCTTTCCACGCTCGCGCAGACGTCGAGCGGCGCGAGTCGAGCGTCGGCGCGGTACAGAGGCTGGTGGTTGGACTCGGCAGAACTTCCGGGTTCCCCTCCCAGTGGTCGAAGATGGCCTTTTCGATCGCGGATAAGTCCCGCTCGACGCAGAGTGCCGTGCCTGCGAGCTGGCGAGGGCTGTCTTGTGCACCAGAGACGGACACGCGGTCATGTTGTAGTCCCCTTCACGATCCGATGAAGGAATTCCATCTAGTCCTTGTCGCGATGACACACCGTGTGCGAGCGATATTCCATGGTCTCGTAGGAGCTGCCCGGGTCGTTTCACCCGGGTGTATTGTGTGACGTGAGGATTCCCCCACGCACTGGCATGGCGGCAGAATCAATATCAATACGGGTATACGTAGCATCCCCCCACCCTCGTACCTGAGAAACAAGCTCCCCAGCAGAGAGAATCGAGGACTCAGAGCCCGATACTGTGCTCCGCACGAAGCACTGCACGCCGGCAGGGCAGCGTCGACCAGGGTGTAACCTTGCCTCTCCTCACTCCCCGGGCCGTCCTGGGTTTTCCGTCGTCGCTCGATCAGCACTCAGCGAAGCGGTCCCGGTCAAGATGCCTTACGGCGCCGTTGAACACGTCCCAACATCCGTCGAACCGGTGCGGTCCTTCGCCAGAGTTTGCACCGCGGCGGACGTGCGATCGGGCGGCGTGCTGTGCGTGGTCCTGCAGAATCAAGTTGGCGGCGGCGGCGGACGCCCTAAGATCGCGTGTGAAATTTGGATACAGATAGCCTGGTCGACGCTCAGAGGAGCATATGCACACCTAAGTCCCCGTCGCACCCGGGCCTCAAATGGCCATGAGTTTCTTCGCAGCCGTTACTGGTTCCTGATAGCGAAGCCAGGCTATAGCGTGTCAGAATCTCTTGGGACGGCCGAGGACCCACGTAGGTATCGCCATACATGGCCCGGAATGGCATCTATATACAAGCGTGTGAGCTACTCAGCAAACAGACTCATCTGTGCGTGCATCGCTGCGAGCCGCAGCACCGAGGCGTCTGTGGTGCCGCCAAGGATCGGCCTGCAACCGATTCGTTCTGGGTGAGCGTCAGGATGAACTCGGGGCGGATGTGACTTCACTGGCATGTTGATGGTCGCACGCTCATGGGAACGCGATAGTCGGCCATTGGAGCCGAGGACAAACGGCATGGCACAGTGTGGCCAGCGGAGACTCACATGGGCGCAGTGCGGTTCTAGGGGCGCGGAAAGACGCATAGGAACTAGAGGACGCTCGTAGTATTGTACATCAGGCTCGAGATGTGGCGCGATGTCACAGAGTACCAGCGCCAAGTTACCGGGGAGCGACGGAGCGCGCGATCGCCGGCTCGGTGGACCTACAGGTTTACACGCCTAGTGGACGATCAGTATGTTCATTTGGCAGGTTAGATAAGGATGCAACGAACCTGCAGAAATTGCCTCCCCTTCTCCTTGCGACTACGCACACCTCAGCCGCTCTGACCCGACACACCACGCATATATCGATGACGCTCAGCCTACGGTTCGCAGGCAAGGAGTAATACGGCTGACCATCCTTGTTGGAACAGCAGAACGCCCGGGCCCATCTGTGGGACTTGTCCGATCCAGATGACATCGATCAACTCCGCGACAGCCTGGAGGAGCCCCCTGCTGACAACCACCCCGCAAGTCCGCGACAGACCGGACTCCATTCAGAACCGGAAAGCCGTACCGACTCCGGGCGCGGCAAAGTTTGCTGCGGTGTCGTGTATGGCATGTGTTGTCCACGAGAGTGGACACGTCCCGCCCGTGTATGCGCTCTGCACGCTGTTGCTAAGCCGTGCTGTCCGTTTGACTGTTGCTCGAACCGAGTATTGCGTGGGAGAGAGCACCCAGGCTGGGACCAACCGGGAACTGAGGCGGTGGAGCGTCCTGCGGGACCGTCTGGCGTCAAGAACCCGATCGTGCGAACGGCAGCCTGCACGAGCAGTCGTACGTGGTCACGGAGCACCGACTACGGCAGCATCGAAAGACGAGCTTTGGTTAGGGGTGACTCAGCTCAGAGGAGACGCACCGACGCGGAGTCCTGTGTCATAGCCTCGATGTTCTACGCCTCGCACGTCTCGCGGACAGAGGAGCCATGGGCGCATATCGCGCTCGAGCAGGCTGTGGAGGACGTGGAGCAACCCTAATGAACCCGAGGGAGTGGATCGGTGCCTGGCCGGTGGCTGGATCGCGGTGGCGCTGATCGCGATCAGATCTCGCGCTCTGCCTCCGAGTCCGCAGTCCGCCACGACGCTCGACCCAGCCACAGGTCTGTGGCCTCCTCCTCCTGCTGTCGTCGCCCAGCGAGCAACTGTGCCCTACTTCGATTCATACGCCAGCCTCTGTGCCATGGACTGCCCCTAGCCGCTCCTTCTCTTTCACACGCCTTACGTCTCGCTTCCGCCTGCCGGCCTCGTTTGCAATTCGCCTACTTCGCGCGACGCCTACTTACACCTCGCGGACGCCGCCGTCTTCAGCCTCTGCCCTTCACTTTCACTTGTCTGGCACAAGTCCGCGTCCTCCCTGTGCTCTCGCCAGCTCCGACACTCCTTCGCCTCGTCTCAGTCTCCCTGCTGGCAGGCCTTCGCTTCGCGACTTCCACTCCGCCAGCATGGCTTTCCACCTCCACCCGATGCTTTCCCTCGTCGCAGGCCGCAACGTCGACCCACCCCGCCCCATCCTCAGGAGCTCGCAGATGGCGTACCCGTCCGCCCCCGTCCGCGACCTCGGCCCGCGCGCCCTCCAGAGGCTCGCGACCCTCAAGCGCGAGGAGCAGGAGCAGGACCGCGAGGACCTCGAGGATCTCAAGATGACCGAGGTGCGTGCGGCCTTCCGGTGCTGACGTAGAGACGCTTACACCGGCGCCCCGCAGGAGCAACGCCTCCTCCTCGAGCGGTCCTTCGCGTCCGTCAGGTTCGAGCCCGCCGACCTCGACGGCCTCACGTGGGCCGCGCCCGCCGCGCAATGCATGCTCTCCAACTGGGTACGTCCTCCCTGCGTCCGTCCCGCGTCACCCGCCGCCACCCCGCCTGACGCGCCCGCGCAGTACAGGTCCCAGGTCCTCGCCGTCCGCCAGCAGTACGGCCTGCCCAGCGACGACTCCCCGCCCCTGCCCACCGTCGACCGCGGTGCCGACGACGCCGACGCCGACGCGGAGCCGCCCCTCTCCCCCGCGAGCGACCAGACGATCATCGACGTCGCCGTCGAGCCCCCCAGCCCGCCCCCCACCGCCCGCGCGCACCACTCCTTCCGCAGCGCGCGCCTCCCGCTCGTCTGGGCCCCGCTCGCGCTCCCCGACCACACGCAGGCCCTCCCCCCGGCGACGCGCACATGCCCCTCTCCCCCGGCAGGCGGCACCCCTGGTCCGTCCGCGCGCACCCCACGGCCGCCGCACGCCCACCCACCGCGTGTTCAGCCTGCCCACGCGCGCGGGCCCCAAGCCGCCCGTCCGCGAGCTGCCCGGCCCCCGCGCCCGCCCGTCGCGCCCTCCGCCCCGCTGCCGATGCCGATGCCCGACAGCCCCACGCTGGGCCTCGCACCCGCCCCGCAGCGCAGAGTGCAGACAGCGGGCAAGGACCGCGTGCTCAGCCTGCCCGTGCAGCTGGGCGGCGTCCCGGTCCCGCCCCCGCTCGAGCGCACGCTGAGCGCGTGCCCGGAGGGCTGCGTCTCGCCGGACGGGTCGCCCACGCTTGGCCTGCGCGCGCGTGCGCTCCGTGCTCGCGAGCTCGCGAAGTCGACTGACAAGCTCGGGGCAGGGACAGCGAAGATCGCATCCACCACGACCGCGCTCTCCGCGGGCGCGCGTCGGCCGAGCCATCGCCCTGCGCCCTCCTCGGACATCTCGACGAAGCTCGCGGGGCTGCGGATCGCCATGCCCCTGCCGCTGCCCCTCCCTGGACGGCAGCTGAGCGTGTGGGGCGGCGAGGTCACGCCCGAGCACGAGCGCCCGCCGCCGCCGCTGATGCGCATGAGCTCTGCGCTGGGGTGCACCCGCGCGGAGCTGGGGAACACGGACGGCGCGGAGGCGGGCGACGCGGAGGGGATGCCGATGCCGGGGGGGCTGTCCCCGGCGCTGCGCTGGTGATCGCTGATGTCGGCGATGTATGTACGTGCGGCGGGTGGCGGTCGGTGGGTGTGCTGTGTGCATAGTAGCGAATGCGGATGCATGATTGCAGGGTTGTGTTGCGGCTGACCGTCTCTCAGCCAGTCTGGATCCGGGCGCATAGTGCAGTAGCTCGGCACTGCGAAGCTCACACAGACGTGCGTCGTACTCGCGGTCTGCCTCGGACTCGGAGAGACCAGCTCGATTTATGGTGAGTCGGGGGAGCTGACACCGCCGGGATCGAAACCCGGGCGGCGCGAAGCCGCCCGAGTCGGGATCTGCCAGTGCGCCGGTCGACTCGGGTTGACGGGAACCTAGAAGCGCGGCTCACGGGAGAAGGAGCCATTCAGTGGCCGCGGTGTGGGCGCCAGAACGACTTGTTCACCGGCAGGCGCGGGCACCGATCAAGACACATCACCCGTGTCTTGTTCCTGGCGGGGCGGCGACCACAGAGCGGTGCACCGAGCGTTCCCGCTCCCCACGAATTTGATGGAAACGCAACTTACACGGTACCGTGCCCCCGAGCCTGGGGAACGGGGGGTTTGTATTTCCACTCACATTGCAGCAGTGCAGCTGCAATATTTTGCAACGTCAGATCAGACACTGTCATTTCCCCAGGTCTCGTACGCATCCAACAGCAGTACTTACGTAGGGCGCGAACCACCACCGCACACGTTTGGGAGTTGTGCCGTGGTGACCGGGAGCGTATGAGACCAACAGTGATCCTCGGGCCACCATGGAACAGCGCTTACATGAGTCGTGCTGGGCGGTCGAAGGGTGTCTCAGCGCAACGTGGACAGTGACCTGAGCACCATCACCGATGTCCGCGGTCGACCGCAGCGCTAGCCGATGCAGTATATAATCGCAGACACCCCGGGATGGCTCTTCAGCTCCGTCTTCTCCTTCGAAGCTCCCCGACAGCGAGTGCACTGGTTGGTACGTACCCCGGGATGCCATTCACGCCGACGCCGACGCTGACCATAGTCCTTACCCGCTGTCGACGGTTAGCCTTGCTCGATTCCTTCACGTACAGCTGAACGCCTACCGCCCTGCTAACGACCACCTCCACCCTAACCTCATCCCGACTTCTCACCGTACTCGCTCAGTATGCGTGTCTCAAGCTTCCTCCCTCTTTCCGTCCTCGCCGCGGCCGCTTCTGTTGCGGTAGCACATCCAGTCGATGAATACATGCTCGAGTACGTCGCGCATATGTCCTCGCGCTCGATCCACGGCTGACCGCATCACCCCTCCTCTAGGTCCCGCGGCGACGCCGACATGTCCTTGTCCGCGCGCGACCTCCAGCTCCTCGACTACCTCGTAGCCCGGAGCGACGCCGACCTCTCCCTCTCCGCGCGCGAGACCCTCGACATCGTCGACCTCCTCCGCCGGGAGTACCTCGCGCCCGAGCTCGTCGCGCGGAACGAGTTCGACCAGCCGCAGCGCGAGCACTACCGGACGCACGAGGAGTACGAGAAGGCGTTCATCCAGTGGAACCGCCGGAACCGCAAGATGCAGAAGTCCATCAAGAAGGCGACCGCCGCGCACACCACGCCGCTCGCCCAGCCGCAGCGCGAGCACTACGCGACGCACGCGGAGTACGAGAAGGCGTTCCTCAAGTGGAACGCGCAGAACAGGAAGTTCGACAAGTCGTACAAGAAGGCGACCGACGCGAATGCCAAGAAGTACCAGCAACAGAGCGGCGGGTCGAAGCCTGGGATCATAGGGAAGATCTTTGGGAAGAAGCAGTAGGGGACGTAGCTGAGAGGCGGGATCGGCCGGGGGGTTCGCCTTCCTCGACTTGGTGGGCTGTTTGCTGTACCTCACTGGCGACTGCAGATGAGACTTCATACAAGGATATCGTCCGAACGTCGGAGCCTGTGCTGAAACGTGACGTACGTACGTGCTGGTCGAAACCTGGACTCCGAGTACTTGGTGTGTCCAGACATGCTGCGATGGCAGTCGTGCGCGGTGTCTCGATGAAGTGTGCCCTTCTCGAGAGGCATCCTAACTCCGTTCAATTCACCCCGTATACAGAATGTCGGCGCGACGTGCAGACCAGCTAATAGATGGGAAAGGTTCCATCCAAAGCACCCGCATGGCCCAGCGACTCACTGCGGTTCTCAGAGAGTACGGACGTACTATGAGTAAACCAAAATGCGATGTAATTGTAGCGACTACGCACCTACACACTCTGCGCGCGTTCTCGCTGACAAGATACCTCCCATCGTACAGCCGGCAAGCCCGAGTGCGTTGCCAGTCTTCTCTGTACACAGTCGTCAATATTACGCAGCCGCCCGCCCAACTTCAAGATGCTCTTGTCCAGGATCTCCTTCGAGCCCGGGTCGTACATCCCCATCTGGTTGTAGAGATGGTGCTTGACGTCGCGGTTGGATACCTGCGTCGTCGGGAGGTTGGTGTTGGCGCATTTTGCCCCGTCACTGGAGGTCTGGGATGTGAGTGCTCGGTGATCGACGGCATCATGCTGGGGAGTACGTATCTCTTTCGACGCTCACGCAGACGTCAAGCGGCGGGAGTCGAGTGTTCGCGCAGTGTAGGAGTTGCTGCCAGCATACTTCCCCCACCAGCGGTCGAAGGCGGCCTTTGTCACAGGTCGCTGATAGATCCTGCTCGACGTAGAGTATCGCGACTGCGAGCTGGTCAGCGATATCGTCTTGTACGTCAGAAACGGACATGCGGACGGCTCCCGGAGGTCGAACGTACGCTCAGCCCGTATTCAAAGGCTTTGCCCGAAAACTCGCCGTCGCTTTGCGCGGGTGCTAGTCGCCCTTCGTTCCTAGCCGCGAATTTCGAAAGCAGAGACGTCAGATATCAAAAGCAGCGTGAGTCTCGACATGGCACGTAGTGTAGTCCCGTGCTTATGACTCAGCTTCGGTTTGCGAGTCACAGAAGTCGGGCTCACCCCTCTGCTCATTCTCCATGAGTATATCTTGTTTGTTCGGATGCGTAGAGTGGCACTCACCCCTTTCCCGTCAATTTTAGGGGCCCGAAAACGCTTCGTACTAGTGTCGATGAACCCGGATCGCATGGCGGCTGTCATATTCTCATGTCCGTGGACGCAGTCGGCTTGAGACGCTTTCTCCGGGTATTGTCATGATCCGGGTGCATTGAACATTCGGCCGCAGACAACAATTCCTCCGATTATGTACTGCTCAGGATGTGGACTTCAAGTTGACTAACATGCCGTTGGGATGTCTGAACCCCAACTGCGTCCTCTATACGTTTCTGGTTGAGCATGGTCCCGCAGAGCGCATGAAGCTAACAAAAATACAGTCGCAGGTGTTATCCCAATGGACTTCGAGAGATTTCAGACACCGAGGAGGACGTACCTGCCACGACTCGCGGCTTCGTGCTGCAAACGACGAAGAACCTGAAATGAGAAACTTGGCTGCGAGGCTCACAACTATTTTCTGTCCCGATCGACTCGGAAATCCAGCCGTCGCAACGCCGTTGATGTTTGCGGGGACTCATCGGGCGACGAAGGGGTGGTTTGAGTTGGTGAACTTGTAGCCTACCGCATGATGGTAAAACAGTAGTGGCCGACTGGCAAACAAGAGTTCGCGAATGTACGGCTATACGCGAGTCACGAAATACAGTGGATCGGTGCAAGGTAGTCGCCCTTAGGCAGACCACACCACGACCGCTGAATCTTTGGCGGCCGAGGGGAGAGCCGTTAGTGGCACGGTCGTGTACGGGTGGCTGGGTCGCGGTGGCGTCGATCACGATCAGATCTCGCGCACTGCCGCCGCTCGAACTCTGTTCCTCCTCTGTCGATGCCAACTGCTCCTCACATTCCACTCGACCCATTTGCACGCCGTGTCATGGACTGTCCCTAGTCGCTCTTTCAAAACGCCTTACCTTTTGGCTCGCCGCAGGCCATCCAGAGGCGCTCCCCACGAGCAACGCCTCGACTCGGAGTGGAGGTCGATGCCAGTGGGACTGTCGACGTCCCCGGAGCTTGGTTGGCAAAGTTCGGGATGCACGTACGGTGTGATGACCGGGTGTGCTATGCGCTAGTGAATGCGGATAGTAGCAGCCGTCAGAGCGTTGCGTTGTGGTTGACCGTCTCCGAATGTAGCTCGTTATGGTGAGTCGGGATCATGCGACCTCGGCATTTGCGACCAAGAAGAGTCTTGGATCTTCTTGGATTCACTCGGGTTGAACTTGGAAGCATAGCTTGTGCATGACCCCGTCAAACGACCTATTGTCCGGCAAGCACTGCATTGGCTCAAATTTGCGCAGCCACAAAGCATGCACCCAAGCACACCGATCGTTCACGTTCTCGCTCCCGCGCTCCCGATTGCTCTCGGAGAGGTTGAAAAGTACCGTCCCTCGAGTCTGGGGAGCGGGGAGCCACGCAGGCGCGAGGTTGGCTCCCTTTTCCGCGAAGACTCACACAACAGTGCAGCTGCTACTTTAGCTGCCATATGTAGTGAGCTTTGTTAGCGCCTTGCAATGTCAGATCTCGCCCTGTCCTACAGTGATGCCACTGATCCGTAACCTTTGGGACAGCGCTTACAGTAGTGGTTGTTCTGGGCAGTCGGAGGGCGTGTCAGCGCAACGTGCGCATCAATATCCCTGGCGAAGAGTATATAAACGCAGACACCCCACGATGGTCCCTCAGGCCTCAGCGTTCCTATCTGCTTCGAAGCTGGCCGACAGCGAGTGCACTGGTTGGTACGTACCCCGCGATGCACTCACGCTGACCATAGTCCTTACCCACTGGCGATCATCAGCCTTGCTTGATTCCTTCACGTATAGCTGAACGCCTATCATCTTCTCATTCCTCTCCTGCACCACCAGCGACGTTCCTCCAACCCGCATCGTACTCGTTCGGTATGCGTTTCTCAAGCTTTCTCCCTCTCGCCGTCCTCGTCGCGGCTGCTTCCGTCGCGGTAGCGCGTCCAGTTGATGACTACATGCTCGCGTACGTCGTCCGCATGTCCTCATCCTCGATCTACGACTGACCACAACACTCGCACTCCAGGTCCCGCAGCGACGCCGACGTTTCCTTGTACGCGCGCGATTTCCAGCTCCTTGACTACCTCGTAGCCCGAAGCGACGCCCACCTCTCCCTGTCCGCGCGCGGGAACGTCGACATCGTCGACCTCCTCCGTCGTGGATACCTCTCGGCCGCGCTCGTCGCGCGAAACGAATTGGACCAGCCCCAGCGCGAGCACTACAAGACGCACGAAGAGTGGAAGAAGGCATGGCTCCAGTGGAGCAGGCGGAGCAGCAAAATGGCGAAGTCGATCAAGAAGGCGACCGACGCCCATACCGCGGGGCTCGACCAGCCCCAGCGCGAGCACTACAAGACGCATGAAGAGCACGAGGGGGCGTGGCGCAATTGGAACAGGCAGAACAGCAAGATGAGCAAGGCGATCAAGAAGGCGACCGACGCTAATGCCGCAACGTATAAGAAGCAACAGGGTGGGCCGAAGGGGTTATTTGCGAAGCTGTTTGGGAAGAAAAATCAATAGGGGACGTGGCTGGGAGGCAGATCGGTAAGGATGGTGCTTTCCTTGACTTGATGATGGGTTGTTTGCCGTACCTTAAACTGCAGATAAGATTTTATGCATGGATTTAAACCTGCGTTTTGTGGACATGCAGACCAGCTGGTAGCTAAGATATCGTCTGCGAAGTTTCCGTTCCTAAGCAGTATAACAGTCTCACCCCGGTTTGCAAAGAACGCGGTCTGGCGTACCTAAGTTGTCCGCCCAGAACGCGTCCACGCGTTTGTGGCCGCTGGGTGACAGCACGTGATTCCGCGTGACAGGCGCGTTCGTTATTTAGGTCACAACAATCGGACGCGTTCGACGCGTCTGTCTCTCTGCCTCCATCTCTCTCTCCCCGCGTCCCATCTCCTCACCATCCACCATGCTCGAAGCGCGTCTCAACGAAGCCGCCATTCTCAAGCGTCTGCTCGATGGTGCGCTCGTCCCGTGTAGCCTCTTTCCTATCGCTCACCGTGACCTGCAGCCATCAAAGAGCTTGTCACCGACGCCAACTTTGAGTGCAATGAGGAGGGCCTGGTACGTACTACGCGTCTCTCGCGCGTGCTACGCGCTGACTCTAAAGATCGTCGCGCGTCGCGCAGAACCTGCAAGCGATGGACAACTCACACGTCGCGCTCGTCGCGGTCAGCCTGAAGGCGTCAGGCTTCAAGCGGTACAGATGCGACCGCCCCATTCCGCTCGGCGTGAACCTCGCGTCGTTCACGAAGGTACTTAAGTGCGCGAAGGACGACGACGTGTGCATCCTCAAGGCGAACGACGACGCGGACGTACTCAGCCTCACGTACGAGGCACGAAGTGAGTCGTCGCGTCCCTCCCTTCCTCTCTGTGCGCGCCCTGCTGACTCATGCGTGGCCAGACACGGACCGGATCGCGGAGTACGAGATGAAGCTGATGGACATCGACGCGGACACGTTGAACATCCCCGACACGGACTACGACGCACGCGTAACAATGCCCGCGAACGAGTTCGCCCGCATCGTGCGTGACCTCTCGCAGCTCGGTGAATCTGTCAGGATCGAGGTTTCGAAGGAGGGTGTGCGCTTCATCAGCGACGGCGAGGCTGCGAACGGGAACATCCTCCTCCGCGATACGCAGGCGAGCACGCGCAAGGGCGGGTCGTCGTCGAAGAAAGAAGATGAACCAGAGGAGGAGGACGAACCTGAGGAAGAGGACGGGGACGAGGACGAAGACAAGCCGAAGAAGAAGAAGATCAAGAAAGAGAAGGTCAAGAAAGAAGATGGCGAGGATGTGGAGATGAACGGGGAAGGCGAAGGTGAAGGCGAAGGTGAAGAGGAGGACGAACAAGAGTTCAAGCCGAAGGGCGAGGACGATGAGGAGGAAGAGGAAGAGGAGGAGTCTTCAAGTAAAAAGCGCAAGAAGGCGCCTGCGAAGGTACGTACACTCGGAGCAGCTGGGTATACACGCGTCCTGACGCAGTCCCGCAGAGCTCCAAGCCCTCGAAGAAGGCGAAGAAAGACGACGACGACGAGCTGCCCGAGGGTGTCAAGGTCGAGATGAACGCACACGTCAACCTGACGTTCAGCTTGAAGTACCTCGTCAACTTCTCGAAGAGCGGCTCGCTGTCGAACGTCGTCCAGCTCATGATGAGCAACGAGGTCCCTTTATTGGTGCGTTCATGGTGATCTGACTGGTTGACAGTTGACTTACGCGGGCTCCATCTTTGTAGGTCTCGTACGAGTTCGGCCAAGGCCACATTCGCTACTATCTAGCACCCAAAATCGGTGATGACTGAGCCGACTGTCTATGTCTATGTCGTCTGTTTGTGTCGTATCTGGTCGTAGCTAATTGTATCTGCTGTGTATTGATTTCTACTCACGTCCTTCGTCCTACCTCGACGATGTCATTGAACAACAAGGAAATCGGAGAGTCGTGCATTAGTCACTCCCGGACCTCCTCGGCGTTTGGTACCATTACACTCGGAGGCAGGCACTCGAGAGGGAACTAAATGCGACGAATAACACAAGGTTCTGTTTTACACAGACTCAAAACATCCGTCGTTTCCTCTGGTTAGGGATCGCGACATAGAAAACGTATACAAAGCAAGTACAAAGCGGATCGTAAGCAATCGACAACGGGATACAATTACAAAGGCAAGAAATCTCCAAGGAGTAACCTGTGTTTCTAGGATGAGCACGTCGATCATAGTGCGCACGCTAGTGCGACCCAGTGAGTTTCCCATCAACGACAGATTGATACTCAGGCACTCACATCTACGCCGTGGCTTCAGGACGGGCACACGCCGGGTGCCTCTGGCGATGTCTGCGCAGAGACCCCGGCCGCGTAAACACCTCCGTGCATTGCTCGCACGGCACCTTGCGCATGACATGGGTGTGTCGCTCGTATACGTGCCTCCAGAAGTTGGTCACCTCGAGGCTGCATCCATCCCACTCGCAGCGAATCTTGTCCTTGCCTTTGTCCGCGGAGGACCGCGCGTTCTTGAGGTGGGTCTGCTTCATGTGGGCCTTGATCGCGAGTTTCGTGAGCCGAATACGGGCGCCGCACCCATCCCACATGCACGTCATGTGCGTCACCTCGTCGGTTGCGGGCGTGGGCTGTGATGCATGACGCTTTCCCTCCCATGTCAGCCCGCGCAACCAGTTGCCTATAAGGCAGCCATACCGATGAAGATTCCTGGGCGTTGTCGGCCAACGAGTACGTTTCGGCCACGTCAGGTTGATGAGGCACCGGAATAGCGGCCTGACCGTCGAACATGTTGACATTATGCATAGACTCGACTCGGGGCGTTTCTGCGGCCGACGTGTCCGTGACGATACCTTGCACGCCCTGGAGGTGATATTCTGCTCAGGCGTGGTACGTGGATGATAGATGATATGTACTCACATATAACTCCAGTACATCCTATGAATACGGCAAGATCAATGGTCAGGACATAGATGTTATCTGCGAAGGATGGATTCTCACTGCGTCATATACGTTGTATATATGCCCGCCGTCAGCGATGCTCGTGTTGAAGGCATACGGTGGATACATGGCGGCTTCCGTGGAGGATCCTAGACCGAACACCTGTGGCTGATCAAACCTGAGGGACTCGTAAACATGACTTGGGTTCACTTCGTCGACTGGCAAGTCGCCGGACACGTCTAGGGCGGGGAGCCTGAGGCAACGATCGACGAATGAGCTCGCGATGGCATGGCACGGATGCTCGACGGACCTGAAGTTGTTCATCGGCATAAAGCAATTCACAGGTAGTTATGTGCAACGGTCCGCGACTGCTGATGTGGTACCGTGCGGGTCTGGGGTTGGTGAATCAACATGACATAGGACTGGTCGATGATTATAAGGTCACAGGCTGGCCAGACGGGATTCCACGCAGTCCTCATGTAGTACCACGTCCTGCCGATAGTAACCTGGAGTGCATGGTAGGCGCTGCATGCGCATGTAATGAGAAGAACCGCTGATAGTGTGCCACCATCAAATGAAATACTGTCCTGTACTCGGATTCGAATCCATGGCACATACAAGATTCGAATCCATGTCACATACAAGATAGGACCTTCCTTCAGGTAGCTGTAGTGCGGTGCACGCCACAATAGAGTTTACGAGGACACATACTGTAGCGAACCCCACAACCCGGATGTCACGCGTCACAAGCCCGCCGCCCGCCGCCGCGGGGACGACATGTTACACGTCACACCCGACCCCGCCGCCAGCGCCAACACTGTCAATAGGTGCTAGGAGCGGCGCCTGCGGCGGGCACAACGACAAGACCACCATCCGGCGGGCGCGTCACCCGTCACACGCGTCCCCGCCGCTGCGCCGGATCGTGTAAAGCTTGTCACACGTCACACCCCCATCCGGGTTGTGGGGTTCGCTACAGTATGTGTCCTCGTAAACTCTATTGTGGCGTGCACCGCACTACAGCTACCTGAAGGAAGGTCCTATCTTGTATGTGACATGGATTCGAATCTTGTATGTGCCATGGATTCGAATCCGAGTACAGGACAGTATTTCATTTGATGGTGGCACACTATCAGCGGTTCTTCTCATTACATGCGCATGCAGCGCCTACCATGCACTCCAGGTTACTATCGGCAGGACGTGGTACTACATGAGGACTGCGTGGAATCCCGTCTGGCCAGCCTGTGACCTTATAATCATCGACCAGTCCTATGTCATGTTGATTCACCAACCCCAGACCCGCACGGTACCACATCAGCAGTCGCGGACCGTTGCACATAACTACCTGTGAATTGCTTTATGCCGATGAACAACTTCAGGTCCGTCGAGCATCCGTGCCATGCCATCGCGAGCTCATTCGTCGATCGTTGCCTCAGGCTCCCCGCCCTAGACGTGTCCGGCGACTTGCCAGTCGACGAAGTGAACCCAAGTCATGTTTACGAGTCCCTCAGGTTTGATCAGCCACAGGCGTTCGGTCTAGGATCCTCCACGGAAGCCGCCGTGTATCCACCATATGCCTTCAACATGAGCATCGCTGACGGCGGGCATATATACAACGTATACGACGCAGTGAGTATCCATCCTTCGCAGATAATGTCTATGTCCTGACCATGATCTTGCCGTTATTCTAGGATGTACTGGAGTTATATGTGAGTACATGTCATCTATCATCCACGTACCACGCCTGAACAGTATATCATCCCCAGGGCATGCAAGACTTGCCGCTCATCACTGACGCATCGGCTCCAGAAATGCCCCAATTTGAGTCTATGTACAATGTCAACATGTCCGGTCCAGCCGCTATTTCACTGCCGCATCAGCCTGACACAGCGGAAGTGGCCGAGACGCACTCTTTGCCCGACAACACCCAGGAATTTCCATCGGTATGGCTGCCTTAGAGCTACCCGTGGTTGCGCGTGCTGACATGAAGGGAAAGGGTCGCGTATCACTGGCAGAGCCCGAGCCCGCAACTGACGAGGCGACGCACATGACGTGCATGTGGGATGGGTACGGCGCCCGTATTCGGCTCACGAAACTCGCGATCAAGGCGCACATTAAGCAGACCCACCTCAAGAACGCGCGGCCCTTCGTCGACAAGGACAAAGTCAAGATATGCTGCGAGTGGGACGGATGCAGCCTCGAGGTGACCAACTTTTGGAGGCACGTATACGAGCGACACGCCCATGTCACGCGCAAGGTGCCGTGCGAGCAATGCACGGAGGTGTTTACGCGGCCGGGGTCTCTGCGCAGACATCGCCAGAGGTACCCGGCGTGTGCCCCTCCTGAAGCCATGGCGTAGATGTGAGTGCCTGAGTATCAATCTGTCGTTGACGGAGAACTCACTGGGTCGCACTATGATCGGCATGCTCGTCCTAGAAACACAAAACATCCACGGCCATGTCATCATTTCTTGAAGGTCCTTTCTTGGTAACATAATCGTATTTCGGTCGTCGATTGCTCCTGCTTTGCACTCGCTTTGGATACAAGTCGCGGATGGCTGAGCCGACCGTCAACGCGATGTCGCGTCACTGTACACTGTTGTCGTAGCTTGTTATATCTGTTATCGAATGCTATTCGCTCGCACCTTTCATCTCCGTGCCGTTCACAGTACATTGAGGCACCAGCGATTGTCATAGGCATTAAGCGGGATGGATCATACTTCCCGCCGCGCTTCCGAACGGCTACGTCTTGTTCAGTCAACATCACTATGGTCCTTTGTAATGTGCCTTTGTATCTTTACTTGCACGGGGAGCGCACAAACTATGCACGTACCAGAGTACAGTGTTTCTCGCGTTCTTCTGGTACTGTGTCATCGGCTAGCGCTCTTTCCTGAACGGATGGTAGTGGCGGCGACTCGGACCTGTCGGTGGGCCAGTCGACGACTTTGTCCCGCTCCACAACCATACAGTAACAAAATACAAGCGATGAGAGATAACAACTGTTACAACCGAGCGAGTGCCCGGACAGTTCTGATACACAATACCTTCCTCATCCGTTAATCGTTTATGCTGTCATTCTCCTCGGACGCTTTGCCAAAGTCGTCAGTCCACTGCAGCTTCTACAGAGTTTATCGATTATCTCTCATGAGTTGCGATCGTGTGCCTATAGAGGGCCTTGTGGTGTGTCGGTACTAGTACTGAATTGCCTTCGTTCCTTCGCGCGCGCGGGGAGCTTCTAACGTCGACTCGGATTCAGATATGGTCAACGCGAGTACAACATACGAGCGTCGATGCATAAGAGAGTTAGCAAAAATGATCAAGCTGGACGCATTATCTACGCACGCGCTATGAGGTAGTACTAGTCGGCCTGAGTATGTGTAGGCCGCACCCACAGGACGCATAGTCCGACTGGTGAGTGAATGAGTGACGAAGACTGCATGCTCCTGGATTTCCTGAGATTTAAGGCTCTGCAGCGTGTGTTGCAAGTGTGTTGCCCTGACGGCCGCGTACGTACAAGGTCGAAGAGACCGCTGGAGGCGTCCGTCCACGGTCGCCGTGACACGAGGCACGCGTTGTCTGAAAAAGGCAACAGCCAATAGCCGGGCGACGCGCGCTCGAGTGTGTTGTCTCTGCCCAACGACCGCCTCGTTCATAACGTGTCGCCCTCGCTCACAGTCCTCAACGCGCGCAAGGACCGCGCTCAACGACTTCCGCAACGACTTCACGACAATCCCCACCGCGCATGGCTGTCCCACTCCCCCAAGGTACGTGCTGCCCCCACACGCCACCATCGCCCGCTCATCGCGTGCCAGCAGGTCCCGAGGAGAACTGGGACGATGATTTCGAGTTCAACCAGCGCAACTCCCGCGGGGATGGCGGTCTCCCTGAGGGCGCGCGTCCCGAACCGACGACGCCGCTCTCCAAGGACCGCAAAAACACTCTCAAGCGTTGGACAGAGCCGGGCCTGTCCACGCCTTCCAAGCGGTCGTCCGAGCAGCCAGAGAACTGGGATGACGACTTCCGCGACAGCACAGACTCCCCGGCGCGTGGTCGCTCGCGCGTGCCGCACGTCGACTCGGGGCAGCATGAGAATTGGGACGAGGACTTTGACGATGGCGGCGGAGGTCGCTCGCCCAAAGGCAAGGCCAGGTGGGGATCGTCTGATGATGAGGACGAGTTTGGGTTTGCAGCGTCGGAGGAGGACAAGACGGTAACCTCGCGGACGCGTGGGATGCCCTTGCACTTTGGCGACGTCCCCCCTCCAGTTCCTCCCCTGCCTTCACCGCTCCCGCACTCGCCTACACCCTCCGTCTTCTCGATGCCAGTCTCATCGAATGGTCATCGCGACTCCACGGCGTACTCGACGACATCCCACATTCATTTACTCTCTACAGGCAACTCGGCGCTCGCCCACCTCCCGCCGAGCCCGCCCATCCACCGCGAGAGGCGGCGTCTACGCAAGAAGTCGAGACCGCCAGCAAATGCGACACCCGGCATGTACGAGCTGGAGGAGCTCCCTGACGACCTCGGCCAAGCACTCATCCAGGCGCCTACGACGCCCGAGAAGCGCGCCAGCCTCTCACTCGAAGAACCTCCTCCAGAAGCCCCGCCGCCCATCACCCCTGGTCCTTCCTCGGGCTCAAATAAGACACCCCTGCTCTCGCGCATTGGCTCGGTCGGCAAGAAGTGGGGCGCAGGACGCAAGAAACGCGCGAGCACCGGGCCGACGGAGATCGCGCTGCAGGAGCACCACACCGAGCGGGAGCGAGACAGAGGGCGGGACCCTGAGAGAGAGCGAGAGTTGGTATCGCGCCCGCAGTCCGTGGCGAGCATCATACCTTCATCACCACCAGCTTCCTCACATCCGAAGGGGAGCTGGTTTTTTCGCGGTGGCGGCGGCGGTGGGCCGGGGCCTCCGCCGCCCGCCCCGATAACGCTCGAGCATAAGACCAGCGTAGACCGCCTGCTGGCCATGGCGGGCATCGAGCGCACCCCACCGACGTCGCCGCGCAAAGGCAAGACGCCCTTCAAGGACCTCAATGCCGACAACACGGGCTCGATCAGACTGACAGACGGAAGCACTGTGTCTTCGTCTGCCCTGTTCTTCGGGACGCCGAAGCGCAAACCGTCCCGCCCGATGTCTGTGCAGGCACCTCAGCTCCACCCTTCCAGCTCGCAGGGATCGAGCTCTGGGTCGAGCTGGAGCTCGCGACCGCCCGTTCCACGACACTCGTCATACGGATACGACCTCGGCAGGAGGTCGGCGACGCCGAGCAGTCGCGGGAGCTCGAAGCAGCGTTCGACGTCGGCGAGCGTGGCATCCGCGAGTGTGGAGGACGTGAGCAGAAGTGATCGCAGCCTGACCGTCCGCGAAGGCCGGCGACTCCGAGGCCAGCATCGGCAGTATGCCACGGACTCACAGAGGCAGTCGGAGACGGAGTCTGTGGAGCAGGACCCGACGAAGGCAAAGGAGGGCAGTAGGAGCTTCATGGGCGGAATGCGGCGCATCAGCCTCGGCGGGAGCAGCAAACACAAGCGTACGTCCAGCAAGATGCCCGATCGCGAGGAGCAGGCGCGCAAGTCGTCAGGCGCAGCGACGATTCGTGCGGAGAGGGAGCCCGCGGAGGAGACGACGCCTCGGCCGCCGTCGAGAGTGATCCGCACGTCGCAGGACGCGCCCCTCCTCCCGCCCATCGAACTTCAGCCACCCTCGCCCCCGCGTGAGTGCAAGCGCGATGTGCCGGATCTGAGCAAGCTCTTCAGGCCGCATCCGGGCCTCGAGCCGTCGCGCTCCCATCCGGCACTCTCGTCGTCCCGCTCGGCGACCCCGCTCGCGTCTCGTCCGTCAGGTGAGGTTGTGCCCTCGATGTCCCCTATCCCGTCGCCGCTCCCGTCGCCCACGAAGCCGAAGCTGGCTTCGTCTCCTGGGCAGGCCGCGTCATTGGGCAGGGCGACGCAGCCGCTAAAGGAGTTGGAGACCGTTGGGGTGGGGTCAGTCCCGCGGAGAAACTCACTGGGCGACTTGAAGATCCCCGCGAGGATCAGTCAGGCACAGGTCGGACTGCGCAGGGATCTAGGGATGGTACGAGAGTTCGCTGCGAGCATCGAGCGTGAGTGTAGGTCCTCTTTGACGTCGTCCATATGGCTGACCCGGTTTGGCGCTCCGCAGAATTGAAGCAGCTGCAGCAGACGTACCGTTCGTTGGTCGGCGAGATTCAGTCCGTCATGTACGGCGAGCACCCTCCCGATATGCACTCTCGAGCCCTCACTCCTACCTTCTTCGGCCTGTCAAGACCATCCTCCAGGGCACGCTCGAATACTAACCCGGCACCTTCACCGGTCCCCCAGACGCCTCATGAGCTCATCTTGGCGTTTCATTCTATCGAAAGCAAGTATCAAATCTCGTGGGAGTGCGCTGAGCTGTTGATCGAGCTGGGAAGTGGTGCGCCTCCCCATCCGTCGTCCGCACCTACCTCGCCGCCGCATGACCCAGCATCGACTTCGGCGGCGGCCGTCGCATCTGAAGGCAGGAAGGGTCGTGAGCGGGCCGTGACTCTCGCAGGAGACGAGCCAAAGCCAATCATCATAGCCCCGGGGACGGTAAGCTCTCCTCCGCTCGCGAGTCCACCCAGCACGGCGCATTGGCGCGCATCAACTGGGAGACATGACCTCAGCTCGCGGCAACTGCTCTTGCTGCGCGAGATGCTCAACAACCCCGATAGCTCTGTGACGATGGACTCCCGCTTGCCGATTCCCGAGGAAGACTGGAACTCGGCCGCCGTGAATCGTACCTGGCATTGGGGTGACCCGCTGGGCAGCACGATCACTCTCCCTAGCGAGAATGGCACTCAGGCTAGTGGCTCGGGCGCATCGGCAGCGGCAGTGGCAGCCAAGAAGCAGAAGCGGAGGAGCAGCAAGCTGGGCATGCGGGGCATCAGGGATATGCTCAAAAGCCTGAAGAAGAGCTACGCTGAAAACCCTCCGACGTCGTTGTCCCCTGTCCCAACCTCAACAATATCTGTGTCTGCTAGCACGGAGAGCTCGGTTCACAACGTGACCACTGAGTCTTGGCACCAGAGCTTAGTGCAGAGAAGGCGAGCGAAGACGAGTACGGGCCCCGAGTCGATGAAGTCCATACGAGAACACGACCGGCACCCGAACTCGCCGTACGCAACCTCGATGTCACTCCACCGATCGTCACCTCGCCGTCCCTCCCTCGCTTCAATCTTCCGCATTGGCCAAAAGAACAGGTCGAATGCTGGCAACAACGAACAGTCGTCGGACGACCTCGGCTCGTCGAATCCGAGCTCTGCGACGTCGGGCGGGCCGACCGGCTTAACGGAGGAGTGCGAGGAGGACTGGGACCAAGTTGAGTCGGCGTTCGATCTGGAGCGCACAGCTCGCATGCTGGAGGGCTCGACCGCACCGGATACGACAGGCACTGCTACTGTTCGTGGACGTCTGAAGAAAGACAGAGGTAAGTCGCCGTACCTGATGCAACGGAAGCCGCGCGACCGTGACCTCCATGGTCGCCCCATCACACCACGCTCCCCCGAGGCCTCACAGTCGTCTGTATGGAGTCCCGAACCGTCGCCCCGTCGCTCCGCGTCCGCCTTGCCTCCGCCATCCATTCTAGCCTCACCAACTTCGCGCCTCAAACAACTAACGGGAAGCCGGAAACCTCGCCCGCCTTCTCGAGGCAACGAGCGCTCGACTACCGCTGGTCCTAGTCCTAGTCCAAGCAGTCGTCAACCATCCAATGGATCGCGACAGCCTGCCCACAAGGGTGGGCAGACGGGTAGTGTGCGCTCAGCGCCACCTCAAGGGATTACCAGCCCCGACCCCGGGTTGGATCTGTCCGGACTGGGTGATCTAAAACTGGCGATGACACCAGAGAACATTCGGCCGCTGCTCGAGAATGCGCGGGAGGTGCATGCGAGATGCGGGGAGTGCATAGTCGAGTTGAGGGCGTTGCTTGCAACGAGCGTCCTGCTTTTCGGGTCTGCGCCGTCTGAGGCACCATCCAGAGCAACGTCGCCGATAGCTCGGAATCCCTGACGCATGGCGTCTTCGCATACCAGTTCGTATTTCACGTACTTATTTTTCTTGCATCGGACGTTCATTTTCATACAACCTGCATTGTGCATTGATGCCCTTCACTCGCGAACCATCGCCCGTCCCTTCTCTCATCGTCGTTATTAGCTCCGCTGTCGCCACGCTATCTTGCTGCTCAGTGCATCCACGGTACATCATGTAGAGTCACGCGCATTTATGTGTCATATAACGACTGCATCTTCACGTATATCATGTTTTTACGCCCATGTTCGTCGTCGCGAAACCAGTAGCAATCGTGACTGAGTACTAAGGAGCTGCTCACGTGAGACTGCCTAGGAGGTTCAATCGGGAGACTGACCGGGACGCGAACAACGTACGTCTTGTCTTCGCCGCACTCCGGTGTTCAGACTCTTTGTGGGTAAGTATTGCGAGCTGGATTTGTTTGCCTACACTCGGCTCATGCGCTACTATAGCATGGCCAATATCACGCGTTCTTCGAAGGCAGGCAGCGACTGGACCCCAAACGAGCTGCTCGCCTACAACATCCGAGTCGTTTACCAGGATTACGAGACATTCTTCAAGCTCTCGGAGCGTTTTCCTCCTGACGTTCGTCATAAGGAGGTCCTCACTCTCCAGGACCCATCTGAAGCTGCGCACGACGATACTTACGTGCTGCTCCGCACCATGGCGCTCGCGATGAACCCTCGCCACGGACAGGAGTCCGCCGTTGCAGATTACGCTGTCGTACTGTTCAAATGTCTCCAATATATCGGGGACCTCACGGCTCTGGTCCCCAGGACGAGGATGAGCATACCCTTTTGGGTATGCGGCCAAGAGAAACTTGCAACGGCGGATGTCTGCCTTGTGGACGACACCAATGACCCCGGGGTGCTCGTCCAAGAAGACAAACAACACATGGATCGGCCCAATTCTGAGCCTCAGCTTATCGCGTCCGCGATTGCCGCTTTGTCCAACATCAACGAAACACGCCTTCGCACCCTTGGGCGAGACACCATTGCCAGCAAGCTCATACCCGGGATCACAATGAAGGGTACGATGCCTGTATTCTACAAAATCCCGGTCACCTCCGACCTCGTTCGCGCCGTCCAACTCGGCGAGTACCCCGCGCAAGAGACGGTTGTCTACGCCCATCTTCCCCCGGTGCCGAGACCCGCTCGTCGCTACAGCGAGGGTATGGCACCATTGGACAATCGCAAGATTGTTATCTCCTGCTACGGAGCCTTCAGGAGGTTCCTCTTCGGTCTAACATGATCTGTATCTCTTGCGCAGGTGAGTGTATCCTCCTTTCTTCGTGTGCGGGTCACATCGATGCGGAATGCTCACACCGTTCGCTGGCAGTCAGCCACGATTTTCGCGATGTGCTTCTGTTTCACCCACTTAGCTGCGTTCTCGCTGTAGGCTTGGATGGTGTCGTCTCAGCCTGAGGCGGGATGCATCGTATCGAAGCGAGCAATCCGGATTCCGCTGTGGTGCGAGACGTCGTCGTTGAACCTCCAGCACAGCAAACAAGGTAGAGCCTAGAGGTATGTATGATCCACGATGAGTCCCGACCTCAGGTCATAATCCACGTTCGTTCGCAACCGCTCCAGACGGCAAGCCTCTGCAGTACGCGCGACTATAGTTCATCTCCTCCGATGGCATCCACTGATAAACTGTCCGTCACCCCTACGATCATCCCCGGGAGGACCGAGCTGATGCGTCTGGCTGCGGATCCCCTGGATGATCATGGGCGGGCGGGATCCATCTTCTGTCAACGTCAATGTCGCTATCGGCGCCTGCTGTGTCAACCTCGCTACCGGCGTTTCCGTCAACTGACTGTCGGCGTCGCTGCCAGCGAGCGGTCAGCTGGACACGGGTGGGCTGTGGATCGATGCCTCATGCTGACGATACCCGTGTCAGTCATACGGAGACATTGGAACTGTCGCGATCGAGGGCGGTCTGCAGCTGAAACCAGACCACTCTCGGAGGGCCGGCAGCACATCGTCAAGCACGGCGACGAGTACGGTCACGATCGAGGAAATGTCGACCGTCAACAGGCAGCGCCGGGGCGCAGAACACTTGACCTTGGCGTACCACAGCGAGCCGCATCCGCAACAAACGACCCATCCAGCACAGCACACAAAGCCTCCGATAACCGACAACCCAAATCCGAGATCCAGACGATTAGTACACTGAACTAGGTAGATACAACATGCGCAGAGCAGGGGGTCTAATAAGCATACGTATACGTGATGATGCGATGCAGAGTCACTGAGATTACTGAGGTACGCCGGAACGAGAGAAGCAGCCATGAACGGAACACAGAGAGGAGGGAGGGGAGGGAGAGATCCATGAGATGAGAGGGGCGGGACGATGGCGGACTAAAGCTATAAACATGGTGCATGCGCGGAGAGCGATAATAACGTTATGTGCGAGAGCGCGAGCAGGCGGGGGTCTACCGTCTGGGTGACCGGCGCCGGGTATGCGGGGCGCGGCGAGGCGCGGGCCCTGCGGCAGAGGGCGATGCACGCCGTGGCGGGGCGTGCGTGCGATGGCTCGCCGCCCGGAGCCAGGGGTGTGGGAGTGCTCGGGCACCCTCTCCCTACTTAGTTGCGTGGGACAGACCGCAGACGGCGGAGCGTCGCGAGGTACCGACCGGGCGATCCGTCTTGAGCCGGGCGTGCGTCGGCCGGCTAGATGACGTTCACGCTCTGCAGGTGTGCGCGCAGGATGCCCTCCCTCACTGCACCCCGCGAGGACGACATGAGCAATGGGCGTAGAGACTATGAACACTCTAGTCACTCACCGCCAACGAGGATCGCCGCCGTCGAGCGGGTGTCCTGTGAACGGAGCAGTCAGCCCCCAGTCACCCTCCCAGCGGTACCGACACGGCGACTCACGACGACCGACGTCTCGTGCCAATAGAAGGAGCGCGCCTGCGGCGACAGCCGCTTGTGGTACCCCCGGAACTTGTCCCTAAAGTCTGCGCAGCGCATCCGTCAGCCCGATCCCCGCGGCGCAGCGTGCAAGCGGGACACGCACACTTCGTGACGTGCTGGACGTCGTTCGGCTGGTCGCCGTAGCTGGGGACGTACTTGTTCACGCGGATCCCTGCCGCGAGCGTCGCCTGCAGGATGTCCATCTGCGGGTCCGGGCGGGCCGCGCGTTGTGACGGTGACGGCGACGCGCACAGCACGGTCGGCGCGAGGCACGGTCGTCGCCGGGCAGTGTCGACAGGCAGCCGCGCACGGAACGAGCGAGCCGGAGTCGACGGAGTGCGTCCGTCAATGATGCGCGGGATGCAATCAAAAACACGAAGAAGAGAAGACAGAGGCGGACGTCAGCGCGTGTCACGTCAGCCTGCGCACGTCCACCGCAAAGCTGTCCCGTCCGCCCGGTCGGAGCGCGCACAGGCGCGCGGGGCAGCCTCGACGCGGGGCGCAGGAGGGGAGAGCGAGGGGGCCGCGCACCTTGTTGAGGAACAGGATCAGCGTCGTCTTGGCGAGGAGCGGGTTCTGGCAGATCTCCTTCCACAGCATGATCGAGTCTTCCTGCAGAGCCGCGTTAGTCAGCGCACCGCCTCCGTGCGCAGCGGGGCGGGCACGCACCAGGCGGTTGACCTTGGTGTCCTCCTCGAGCATGAGGTTGAACGCGAGGGGCGCGAGGAAGATGATCGCCTGGATGTCGTCAAAGTACGGGATCCACATCGGGCGGTTGTTCCTGCTCCCGCCGACGTCGTAGATGTACCACTCCGAGCCTGGGAGCGCGCCTGCGCGGGGTGAGGACGAGAGGAGTGAGAAGACGGCGGCACGCACCGCTCTCCATCGTGAACCTGTGCTCCTCGACGCCGAGGGTGCGCAGCCGCGCGCGGACGATGTCCTCTGCACGGGCGACGGGCATATAGTCAGTGAAGCGGGCGACGGGGGGTGGCACGCACCGTCTGTCGGGTCGTAGCCCATCGTCGCGATCCGCGCGGCGTCGTTCAGGAAGCTGCGAGCGTCAGCGGGGTGCACCACGGAGAAAGGCCACAAACGACGCACAAGCCGGGCATGTCCTGCAGCCGCACCCCCCTCCGCTTCAGCACGGCGCGCACGACGGGGTCCTCCCAGAGCGCGATGATGTCGTCCCTGCACGCGGCGAGCACGGCGGTCGGGTCGTCCCTGCGGCCCTCGGCCGTGCTCGGCCGCCGCGGCTCCTTGGCCCTGGCCTGGCCGTCTGCGCCGCCGTCCTGCTGGATGCCGGCGAGGAGGCCCTTCCAGCCGCTGCCGGCGCGGACGCAGACGTCCTGGAGGCGGTCGTTGGCGTCGGGGAGGAGCCTGCGGGTGAGCTGCTCCTCGATGGGGAGGAGCGGGGAGAGGCGCATGCGCATGCGGCGGTGCTGGTCGGTGAGGGGCGAGGTGCTGAAGCGGACGGTGGCCTTGGGGGGCGAGCGGCCGGCGTTGGCGGCGGCGGCGGCGGAGGGAGGTGGGCGGGTGCGAGGGCGACGGCCTTGCCCTTGCCCTTGTCGGGGGCGCCGGTGCGGAGGGGCTGGGTGGACTCGTCGAGTTCCTGCTGGAGGACCTCGAGGAGGCGCTTGATGGATCTGCGGCGGGTGAGCTTAGCGGGGAGGGGCAGAAGGGCAGACGCACCGGATAAGGTTGAGCTGGATGATGGTGCGCCAGGCGGCGCGTTCGCTGCGAAAGTGCTGCGGGGAGAAGGCGAGCTGAAAGTCTGCGGGGGGTCAGCGAACGTGGACATGGACGAGGACGGAGAGACGGACTCTTGAGGGTGGTGCTCTTGCCGACTCTGCCTGGCCTGTGGGTGCGCGGGTGAGATGGACGCGGGGGAGACGGGCGTGAGACGTACCGAGGAGGAGGATCTTGATGGCCTTCTTCCTGCGCTCGAACGCCTTGCGGCTCTCCTGGATGTCCTCGTCGATTCTGTGGCTGACGGCCTGCGCGTCCTTCTGCTGCTGGATGCGGCGGCGCGGTCGTCGGGGGACTCATCGGGCGGGGGCTGGAGGACTTTGGCGAGAGGGTCGTCTGCGTCGGCTGAGGCGAAGAGGGAAGAGGAGGCCATGGGAGGGGGCAATGGCGACGCAGGAGCAAAGGAGAGAAGGGGAGGACATGGACGAGGCGGGGATCAACAGGAGAGGGAGTCGCCGCGCCGCCACACAGCCTATCAGCCATCAATCACAGCACTGCCTCCCGTCCCACGCCCGCCGCCGTCGCCCCTCGCCGCGCACGGCGCGCTTGTGACTGCACCCGCCCACGACGCGATGGCCTGTCGCCGTCGACCGACGCGGTGGGACGCGCCGACGCTGCCAGCTGAGTCCCCGCCGCACCCCCGACAGGCGCCCGATCGTCCGTCTGACTCAGCCGGCCCGGCGGAAAGGCCGGTGGTCGGGCAACGAACGTAGGGTTAGGGCCGTCCTCTCCCCGCCGCCATCATGTCGTCCGTCCACGCCGTCAAGCGCGCCCACGCCCACCTCGCCTGGGACAACAGGTGCGTTCCCGCCTCCCTCGCTCACCCCCGCTCACCCCGCGCAGCCTCCCGCCCGCCGTGCGCATCCGGTCCGGCGACACCGTCGCCTTCGACTGCCTCGACGCGTCCAACGGCCAGATCGACGCGTCCAGCACCCCCGCCGCCATCGCCGCCTTCGACTTCGCCCGCCTCGACCAGGTCAACGGCCCCGTCCACGTCGACGCCGCCCAGCCCGGCGACGTCCTCCAGGTCGACGTCCTCGCCATCGCCCCCAGCGTCCCCTGGGGCTGGTCCGCCGCCATCCCCGGCTTCGGCCTCCTCGCAGACGCCTTCCCCGTCCCCGCCCTCAAGATATGGCACCTCCGCGACTACGAGGCCGGCGCCGGCTACGCCTGGTTCGACGAGCCCAAGGGCATCCGCATCCCCCTCCGCCCGTTTGCTGGCGAGATGGGCGTCGCCCGCGCCGCCCCCGGCCCCCACTCGACCATCCCGCCCTACACGACCGGCGGCAACATCGACACCCGCCACGTCACCGCCGGCTCCACGCTCTACCTCCCGGTCGAGGTCCCCGGCGCGCTCTTCTCCATGGGGGTGAGTGGCGCTGCATCGCGCCGTCTGTAGACTCTGTACCGCCCGCTCGACGTCCGATCTGCCGCTCGGCGGTAGTGCGTGTTTCGTGGCCTCGACTCAGCACGACTCAGATCGTGCCGTCTGTACCGCCATCGGGCCTCGATGTTCGTGGGGCGATGTATGTGTGTGCCGAGTTTGCTACCGTGCATTGCGTGTCTACCTGGAGATGGCGGGTCGTTGCGCAATGTCCTCGATGGTTCTGCTACGTCCGCGACTCTGTTTGGCCGCGACAGCGTCGTCTGTACCCCTCGGATGCGTGTCTCTTCTCTTCTCTCTCCGCTTTTGGCGCTGTCTGTCGGCCATCTTAGCATCGACGTTCCATCCGCCGACCGAGAGAGCCTTGCTTGCTTGTCTCTTCTCTTCACTGTCTGCACCGCCATCGGGCGTCCTATTGTTCCCTCACCGCTGGCTCGACGTCTTCCCTGCCGATCGCCGAGCGATGTCCTTGATGGATGTGCACGCCGTTCTTCGTGTGCTTGTCGCCGCCTCTCTTCTGCGTTGGCGAGTCTGTCTCGGCGTGATCTCGCCGTCTATACTGCCGTCGGGCGTCCTGGCACAACGCTGGCTCAATGCTCTACGTCGCAGGGCGATCTCCTTGTTGTAGTGTTCCCTCACCACCGGCTCGACGTCACCTGCCAATCGCGAAGCGATCTCCTCGTTGGATGTGCACATCGTTCGTCGTGTACTTCTCGTGGGCGCTCTTCTGCGTGTGCGGGTCTGTCTCGACGCGAACCTGCCGTCGGGCGTTCTGGCACCACTCTGGTACATCACTGGCTCGATGCTTTACCCGCTATCTGTACCGCCGTCTGGCGTTCCACATCACCACCAAGTCGATGATCTACTACCCAGCGATTGAGGGTCGCTGGGCGACGTGCTCGAGGAGTCAGGCCGGTTCTCCGTAGTTTGTCATGGTCTGCACGCGAGTCTGTTGAGGCGCACGTTGTCTGTTTTGTCAGGCTGTCCCCTCACCGCCGGCTTGACACCCTGGCTGACAATTGAGGCCTGCGGGGAGACATTTTCGATGGGGTACGGTTTCTTTGTCCTCCGCGCATCCGTCACCGGCTCGGTGATCCTGCACCGCCTCTGTGAACACTGTCGCTCCGCGGCCACCGTCGCCTGCGAATACGGTAACGGAGAAACTGCCCGCTGCATCATCGCGCTCCCCAGCCTTTCGTTCGACATACATAGGATCTCTCCCTGCCTGTCGATGCACCGCCTCATCCTCCTTCCCTCGCTCGCATGCTGACGAAATCAACCTTCACTCCACACGTACAGGACGGCCACGCTGCGCAAGGCGACGGAGGTGCGTGCGCCCAATCTGTTCTCTTCCCACCCAGACGGGCTTCCCTTCGTGATGCTGATGCACGTCGCCCTCGGAACCCTTCTCTCCATCGAACACCATACAGAGGTCTGCGGTACGCACCGCCTCTCGTTCCCTCGCACAGCACTTCTGACCCCTGATCGTCGCTCTGCCCTGTCGATCCTTCGCACGCATCCCTCGTCCCTTACACGCGGCCCTTCCCGTCCCTGATCCCTTGATCCCGTATGTCCGTCGTGCCGTCCCACCCGCCTCTCGACATTGTTCTCCGATTCCTCAACTCTGATCTTTCGTCCCTCGTCGTTCGACTCTCAAATTCGACTGTCGCTTTTCGGACTTGATCCTCTTGCCGGACTTGTTCCTTCCACCATCGCGCGGTGGTCCTCACGCAAACAGGCACCGCCATTGAGACGTCCGTCCGTGCGACCGTCCGGCTCACCGTCATCAAGGATGCTGCACGCACCTCCGTCGTCAAGACACCGCACTTCTCCACTGCGCCTGCGTCCAAGTCCGGGGCGGTGCCCGAGGAGTATTATTGTACGACGGGCGTCGATCCTGGTTAGGTTATGGGGACAATCGAGACGACCCAGGGTGCTTTGGCGCCCTGTAAACCCTAGCTAACCCTATAGACGCCCGAATTTTAGCACCCGGAACACCGCACGCACTGCTCGGGCACGTGACTGTGCGTCCGCGACTCACAGCGTGCACACAGAGACTGAGCAGGCCCGTGCTGCAGTGCTGTGAGTCGAGGACTCACAGCAGGCACAGGTAACGTGCTCGCGCCCCTCCCACTGCCCTCCTGTGCGTCGCGGACGCACAGCAGAGCAGGGCTCGTAGCGTGGGAAGCGCCCGCCGATCGCCTGCCCGATCGGGCAGGTGCCAGGTCGTACGCTTGCCCGGGTGCACCTGCTGCTCTGTCCACTGTACGGACCACGCGTGCCGCCTGTGCGTCGACGACGCACACGGCCCCGTGCACTGCTGTGCGTCCGCGACGCACAAGAGGGCAGTGGGAGCTCGTTCCGCGGGGAGCGCCCGCCGATCGCACGCCCGATCGAGCAGGCGCCACTCGCCCGGGTGCACCTGCTGCCCTCTCAGCCGCACGAACCACGCGTGCCTCTTGTGCGTCGAGGACGCACAGGCCCCACTGCCCTGCTGTGCGTCCGCGACGCACAGGACGGCAGTGGGGGCTCGTCGTGTGGTGAGGGCCCGCCGATCTCACGCCCGATCGCACAAGCGCCCACCCGACGACCTGCCCGGGCCCGCGGTCGGTGCAGAGCGCACGCGTGCTCCTTGTGAGTCGAGGACGCACACACGCGACGTCGCCCGCTTACGACGTCCATGCGGCGTTGTGCGTCGCCGACTCACAGCGGCGAGGCGGGCGAGATCGAGCCGGCACCCGTCAGCCACCGACGGGCGCTCGCTCGATCCTTCCCTCCTCCCGCCATCTCATCGCCCTCCTACTACCTCCCCGCCTCTCTCTCTCGGCCCAGCAACCCCCCGCACCCCGCCCTCAAGCCAGCCGTACGCCCGGCGCGTCAAACCAAGCCCGCCGCGAGCAAACGCCCGCGGGAAGGCCACGTCATCACGACGTGGCCCGGCCAGCAAGAGCCGGACTGCGAGACCCGCCCAATGGCGGCTCGCGCTCGACAGAGGAGGACTGGAGGAGGGGTAGAGAGACGAGAGGGACGGGCTACAAGGTAAGTAGCCCGTTGTTTGACCCACCCCGCCGCCTCCCGCCTGTCCGCTCGCAAAACCGGCCGACCACCACCTCCACGGCCACGCCCCGCCATCCACGCCCCTCGCAACAGCGGGGGATGTGCGTCCACGACTCACACGCCCCCCGCGTCCGCTTTCACGCCCACCCCGTCCGTCTCGCGACCGCCAGCCCGCCCGGCAGGCCGGTGTGAGTCGAGGACTCACAACGGCCGCACGCACGCCCTCCCGGACCCTACGCGCCCCTCAAGGCTGCCCCACGCGCAGGGGTGTGCTGTCAGAGCACCCCGCCACACGCCGAGCCGACCCGCCAGTCGATCGACCGGCCCGCCCGCTCGTCAAGCCCCCCCACCCGCTCGTCGCCCGCCCGCCGTCGATCCCGGCACACCCCGCCGTTTACGACCGGACGAACGGCGCGACGGTGTGCGTCGCGGACGCACACGCCCCACGCGCTCGCTGCCGAGCCCACCGCGCGCCTCCGTCGCTCCCTACACCGCGCGCCAGGCCGGTGTGAGTCGGCGACTCACACCGGCCCTCGAGCCCATTCTACCGCCTGCCCAGCCACGTCCCGTCACGCCTGCCCCACGCGTCGGGATGCCCCGCAGACGCACTCCGCCACCCGCCGACCTCGCCCGCTAGCCCTCGTTGGACCCGCCCGCGCGCCTGCCGAGCCCGCCTCCCCGCCAACCATCCCACGCCTCCCCGCCATCTACCACCCGACGCACGGGCGGTGCTGTGCGTCGCGGACGCACACTCCCCACGCGTCCGCTTCGACACTCGCCACGCATCCGCGCCGCCCGCTCCACCGTGCGCCAGGCTACGACCCGACGCACGGGGCGGTGCTGTGCGTCGCGGACGCACACACCGCACGCGTCCGCTTCCACACCCGCCACGCATCCGCGCCGCCCGTTCGACCGTGCGCCAGGCCGGTGTGAGTCTGCGACTCACACCGGCTCGTAATACACCCACTCTCGCTTGCCGGACCGCTCCCCATCCCTCACGGCTGCCCTATGCGTAGGGGTGCGTCCAACGTCGCACCCGCTATGCTCCGACCTCGCCCGCCAATCCCCGTTGGCCCCGTCTGCCCGCCTGTCAGGCCCACCCACTCGCCGTCGATCTACGACCCGACGAACGAGTCGGCGGAGTGGTTCGCCGACGCACACACCCCGCTGCGAGCTCGCCAAGCCCGCGCCCTTGTCGATCCCACCCACCGGCCATCGATCCCGCCCGATGGCCGTCGATCTCCGGCCACCCCACCATCTACCGTCCTTCGAAGAACGTGGTGTGTGCGTCATCGACGCACACGCCCCACCCTGCTCTCTCAGCGCCCACGCGCACCTGTTCCGCGCACCTGTTCCGCGATCGCCAGCTCGCCTGGCAGACTGGTGTGAGTCGCCGACTCACACCGGCGACTCGCCCGCCCTCTGCCGCCTACACGGCGCTCTCGACAGTGCTTTGCGAAGGACGGGACTGTGGGCACACCCCCGTCGTCGGCGCGCCGAGCCCCGGCTGTTGCTGCGTCACCAGTCCGACATGCCCGACCGTCCTGTGGCGAACACAAGGTATGGCTGCGTACACTTTTGGTGCACCCAGCCATGCCTCGTCTTCGCCCGCACGTTGCGACGTCCCAATTGGATGTACCCTACTTTGTCTGACATCGACTAACTGGGCGCCGAGCACCTCATCTGTGAGTCCGCGACTCACAGCTGCCATGCAAGCCCTTTCCCACTAGACTGCACCTGGGACCCACTCTCACTGGGTCTCTCGGGACAGCATGCATACGTGTGCTGCGTGCAGTTGATGTGCCTTGGTGAGTTCCGATAATGCGATGGCTGCATGCGTGTCAAATGGCGAGTAAGTACATCTTGAATCCATTTATTTCCCACGAGGGCGTAGACATATGTAGGCAGTATAAGGTAGATGCACGAGGACGTGACTATGTATAGTAAGGAACTAGGAGCGGGTGGTTCAAAGTAACAGTAATAACACATGCATGTACAGTAGTTCCAATAGGGAAATATTCAGAGCAATGAGGGGTCGAGGATGATAAATGACATGGACTCCCACGTATAGATGCCAATTTCAAGAAACAGTGTTTGATATGCATGAATAGTTTGACTTGGAGATGGAATTGGGTATTGTGCACTGGCTTCTAATGGGGCTCGTGATTGGTGTTCTCAGGCACAATGATAGTAAATATGATGGGTGCTTTGGTAATGAATGTGAACTCCTCAAGTACCAAAGAAACAAAGGTTCCCTAAGCTAATGATTTCAAACTGTAACTAACTAATGCTGAATGATACAGTCAATTATCAATGTCCTGCTTATCTCAATTGGAACACAACAACACCCAGTCATGCTGTCATGGCAATTGTGTGGATGTATACAGGTGCAAATCATGGATTATAGCACAGAATTGTTGAGAATGAGGCATAGTATAGGTACAATGACATTGCACGATGCTTTAGTAATCAGGCATGTACTCACCCAATTATTCCAATAATACCACATATTCAGTACCTGTATGTAGAGGCATTGTGAGGCATATTCTAGCACAGGACAAGGAAATATATTGGCCTTGCATATATTGACATTGAATACAATACAATCATTCATTGAATATGCAACAGTGTCCTGCACTGCGATGGGTGGAATTCAGCATATAACCAAATTGATATGGCAAGATACCAGCAACCTTATTGGAGTACAACTGCATAACAGCCTATGGACAACTTGTACAATGAATCATAGGCCAATTACCTTAAGTTGGCCCATCTTGGTTGGCCCAATGGCATATATTCTGGAACACTAAAACTGAAGCAATACAATAGCCAACAATACTCCTCTCAGCTAATATGCAGAGACAGTATACAATGAAGGTATACAAGGGAAAGTCATTGGTGTGAATACAGACAAGGTGAACTTGGCAGTTCAGAACAGACTTTGAATGTAGCTTACACCATATATCTCAGAGGTACCTGCACTGATATACCTGTCATAAGATGTGCTTGACTTACTAGAATTGCAGATGGATAATACAGAACTATTGTTCTCCAAGAGTGTAGTTGCAAGTGAGAGTATGAAAATATGACACTGGCTGTACAAAATTACAATGACAAGTCCAGATTGCTGATTGTGGAACTTCAGCCATAAATCAAGAACTGCCAGCAGATATTATGGATGTCCTCTACTGTCTTGAGTGATACTCAGTACAAACAGAATAACCCTCAACTATAGTGAATGTGCATATGCCTTTGAGCTTCAAGACTGAGCATATCCAATACAACCAATGTCATACAGCTGCAGTACAGCTTAACACCTCAATAGCATGGGCATGCCTCATGAAGGTCCAAAACCCATAATAGGAGACAGACAAATACAAGGAAATGTACACACAATATTCAATTGTTGTATAGCATCCATTTTGGGCATTATTCAATAATAATACTGGATTCTCCACATAGACAGCCAGTCTTCAATGACTGTTGCTAAGTGATTGACATAGACATGTGCAAGTCAATGAACTGACAAAACCACAGTTAACAAGCCAGGATATATCACAGCCATGCATGCCAGAACAGCCTAGCCTATTCATATCCAAAAGATAGATCCTTGTTGTAGATACCTTAAGCAGACCCCTGAGATTATGAGCCTTAGAATGCAAATCCAAATTTGATGAAACACAACTGACTCTGGGCATATCCAAATGCTACACAGTGTTTTGTGTATGTGCAGTATTTGCTAATGGCCCATGCTACATCATAGGAAAAATGAACAAGGGCACAGCAAAGTTGACACAAATCAGGAAGTTTGAACAGCCTAGCACAGATGTATCAATACTCTGTATAAG